CATCTTCAAATATCTAAAGGGTAGGACCTAGAATCATAGAATCATAGAATCATAGAGTTGGAAGAGACCACAAGGGCCATCGAGTCCAACCCCCTGCCAAGCAGGAAACACCATCAGAGCACTCCTGACATATGGCTGTCAAGCCTCTGCTTAAATACCTCCAAAGAAGGAGACTCCACCACACTCCTGACCTGAACCAATGGATTTAAATTGCAACGAAGGAGCTTCCAGCTAAATATTAGGAAGAACTTTCCGACGGCAAGAAGCGTTTGACAGTGGAATGGACTCCCTTGGAATGTGGTGGAATCTCCTTCCTTGGAGGTTTTTAAGCAGAGATTGGATGGCAGAGATCTGTGAGGAATTCTTTAGCACTGGATCCCTGCATTGCAGGGGGTTGGACTAGATGACCGCTGAGGTCCCTTCCAAGCCTACAATTCTGTGATTCTAACCCATGCCCTGATGGTGCAGCTATATTTGGGTTGGCTCTTTGTTCTTGCGGCTCACAGGGTTGTGAGTGACATGCCGTAGACGCCTGTCATTCCAGTAGTCAATGAAATGGAGGATAATTAGGTTTGTGTAAGTATTGATGTTTGGAATGGCATTATCTCTGCTTTTAGGCTCACAGAGTGAGGAATGTCGATGTGTCTGTGTGGCGTTACTGTGCATGCCTCCATATTCCTTCAGTGTTCAGTAGACAACCTATGCATCACATATTTGGGTGCCTGAGAGAAGCATTGTGATGCCCGCTTAAACCTCAGCTATGTTTTGAGTCTGAAGCTGTGTGCGCACGGTGCATATGGCTTCCCCCATAGAATCCTGGGAACTGTAGTTTGACAAGTGGAATTGCAGCTCTGTTAGGGGTAAACTACAGTTCCCAGTATTCTCTAGGGATGGTACAATTAGCTACCAGGCTATAAGTTCAAGATGCTAGTTTGGTCTATACACAGTGTGGGACCAGGACACCTGAAATATGGTCTCACCCCTTATACGCCCGCTAGATCTACAGCTGACGGCTTCCTGCAGGCACCACCTTATCAGGAGGTCTGTTCCGCACAATGAAGAAACCGGACTTTTAGTGTTATTCCACCTGCCCTTTGGAATGTCTTCCCCTTGACCATCAGATGTGCGCCATCTCTGTTGTCTTCTCGGTGCTTGCTGAACCCGAACATCTTCAACAAGCCTTTGAATCTGAAATCTTTCCCAGTTTGCATCTGTGCCAAAATCGTTTTCATGATATGCTTATTGTTTAACCCCTTGTTTGCTACCATCGGCTCCTTTAGAAGGAAGGTGGGCTGGGCTATAAATGCAGTCAATACACACGGTGTGTGTATACAGCCACGGTGTGCAGTTGTGTGTGCTCACACGCCCTTTGTTGATGTGCGTACATAGCAAACCTGTTAGTTTTGGCTGCCTCTGTGTTTCAGTGTCTACTGAACCCATCAGGTGGATCAAATGAGGATATAGTTTTAACCCAAGCATGCATGGCTTTTGCACGCACATGGCGATCGTGCCGTTGTGCGTGCGCCTGCATTGTGACACTGCCACAAGTATTGGTGTGTTTCCCCAGGGACCACATGCACATGTGATGCAGTCCTGTTGTGTATTGGTGTCAAACTGACACCGTCTCCCTGGGCTGGTGTCAATGCTGGTGTCTTTTTCTGTGGGTGTGTCTGTCCTATGTGAGCAGAAGGCATTTGTGTTTGCTCTCTCTCTCTCTCTCTCGTTCTATTTGTACGTGCTTCTAAGCAGGGGACCGCGTGTGGGTTTTATTGGCAGGCCCTGGCTGTTCCCGAAGGTGTGTTTATTGCTGTGTTGTGTAGAATTAGAAAGCTGTAAAAGCAGTCCACTTTTCTGCCCAGAGCCAGAATTCTGTTCCCACCTGTCTTTTTAAAATGGCCGCCCCACCCCCTACCCCAGCAAAGCTCCTCCTCTGCCTTGTACAAACTGCACGCCAGGCAAAATGTATTCCGTTATTGCATCTCCAACCTAGAGAAAGCTCTGCCAGTTGAATTTCTGTCTGTATTGCAGAATAGGAGGTCTGCAAGGGGGAAAGAAAAAAGCAGTGGGGTGGAGGAGCAACTTCACTTACTCATACTCCCCTGACTTAGAAATAGAGAGGCCCATATGCAAACCACAACTGTAGAACAGAAATGGATGCCCAGCGGTGCCTGGTAACTCGAGAAAGTGAGCCAAGCTGCGAGGGATGGCAATACCCTGCCACACATGTCAAACTACGCAAGGGTCAACCCTGGTGAAAATTCTGTGTGCCAATTCAGACCCTGAAGCCTCAACACCGGCTGTCTCTGAAAAGCCATTTATTTCCCGTGGAGCAAGATCACCATAATCAGTGATCCTCCTGCGTGTGCTGTATCGCCCAGAAATATTCCTGATTTGGAAAAGGGAAAGGGCCTTTTTTTCAGTGGCTCCCTCCAAAGGTTGGCCTGCCTAGTAGCATCTCAAATGGCTTTAATTATGACACTCCAAAATCTTATCTCTTTCGAGGGAGGACAGATATAAATTGTTGCTCCGTTTTTGGAAGTGACAAGTTGTATCTAGCTAGATTAGACCCACTAACCTAAGTCATGTCCATTCACTTCAATGACCCAACAGGACTAGCATTGGATAAAAGCCGTAGCAATTGCTATGGTTTAATTACGTTTAATTAATTTAATGATTGCTGTACTGTTTCTCTTCTTAGTGTTTTATGGCTGCTTCATTGAAGGCGATTAAATTGTTAATTAAAATTGCAAACTAAGCCTGCTTCCCCAAGCTCACTTGTTTAGTAGAAATATTATTACGTTTTTAAATTTTCATTTGACACTTACAAAGTACCCACAATTTTTAAAGCACTGTACGTATACTAAAAAGTACACCAGTCCCTGCCTGCAGGTTCATAATCTTGAGTCATGATCCAAAAGGAATAATGAATGGGGAGGGAGGAGGAAAGCAAGTGTTTGAGCAGCTGAACCTTCACTGGCCAATGGATGGGGCCAAGCTGGTCTGTTTCCTGCCCTGATGTAATTTCTGGGAGAAAAGGGGGTGTATCCTCCCAGGGACCCCAGGTCTCCTTCAGCTCAGCAGTCCCTGGTAACTGGCAGTCTTCTATACAGACATGTATCAAATTCCACCATTATTTTCACTTGCGTGATTAACTGCCTTGAGCTCATGGAGAAAAGGCAGAGTGTAAATGTTTTGAATAAACAAAGAGACCATCAAATATTGTGTCTGCCTGCCTGTCTTTATACTCAGCAATATGGGTAGTTTTAATGTGTTTGTGAAGTAGAGAATTTGCAAGTGAGGGAGGTAGAGAAAACATGCTTGTTTGTGTGTTTGTGTGAGAGAGATGTGCATTGTTTATGTCCTTTACTGTGTCTCTAGCTCTACGGTGTGTGTGTGAAAGAGAAGGGGAGTTTGGTGCTTCTAACCAAAGCGTGATTGTGTGTTGTGTCATGTTGAAAACCTGCAGAACAGATACACGGTATTGCACATGCTTTGGCTACATACACAACATAGATTTCAAGCACACACACACACACAGAGGAATGCTGGCAACTGTGCATTATGAAAGGAACTGGGAATTGTAGCTCTGTGGGGGTAAACTACAGTTCCCAGTATTTTTTTTGGGAGAAGCCATGACATTAAAGAGGTAAATGGGTTGTAAATGAATGGTGTGCACTCAGCATCCTTCCCTCCTTCTCCCTCTGTCACACCCCTGGTGAATATATTTGTATTTTGCTAGCCATAAAATACCATGATGGGAACATAGGCATTGCCCTCAGAGAATGTATGCTATTAGCCTAGCACATGAGCCTAGTTGGTATTCTGTGTGTGGCATGGTGCTGTGATGAAAATAATGTTTACCATTTAGAGATAACTCAAGATTTCCTCAAAGGTACTTGTGGACATCTCAGCTACAAAAGGGCAAGCAAGCAAAACCCACAACAATTTCCATATTCCTTTTTTTCACACATTTTTTTTGAGGCAGAGAGTACACTGAGTATCTTTGGACAACCTTGTGATATCTCTACACCAGGGTTTGACAAGGTTTTCCTCGCCTGGGCCTGTTCACTCCAGCAGAGATCCCTCCGTGGGCAGGATCGCACCCACTGCGCAGACACGATTTTCAGTGTCTGAATGCGCAGATGTGATTTCCGGTGCCGCGGAAGCAAGTCCCCGCGCCACGCTGCGCTGGTTTAGCGCAGCGCGCGGGAACTCACTGAGCGGGCAGCTTGGTTCAAGGGTAGCTCGTGGGCCGGTTAAACGACCTCTATGGGCCACTTGTGGCCCATGGGCCTTAGGTTGCCGACCCCTGCTCTACACCCTGTGGTAAAATTAATGGGATCTATTCACTTTTCCAGACTGTCCTTTTCTGTGGTAAAGAGCCAGTGAGTGAAGAAGAACCATACAAGTATCATAAAAATAATCAACGCTTTAAAATACAAATGCAAATAACAAGAATGAAAACGGAAGTATAAAACCAATACATTCTGGGTTTAGAAAACTATTTAAGAGTCCATTTAAAGCACATGGCTTCCCCTCAAGGATCTTGGGAACTGTAGTTCGTTAAGGGTTGCGAATGAATGGTGCCTCCGTGAGGAGGGGTAGCCTACAGTTCTCAGGATGCTTTGGAGGAAGCCATGAAGTGGCATAAATGTGCTTTAAACGCATGGGGCAGTTGTGACCAAAGATAACTCAGCTATCTGGGTCCCAGGCAACCTCAGACCCCCCAAGTGTCCCTATTTTCCAGGGACAGACCCGGATTTAGAGAAGCTGACCCGGTTTCTGATTTGATCATGGAAGCTCCCACTTTTTCCTTAGGATGTCCCTGTTTTCTTTGGTGAAATGTTGGAGGGTAAGGAGTTATCTGGCCCCTGACCCTAAGTGGTTTCAGTGGCCTGAATTGCACCTGAAAATGTTTTGTGTGCATGATGTGTCCTGGTCCTGAAACGCTGTGACCCTCTTGCGCATCTCGCCCCTGTTCTCGCAGCTTGCCGTCCACCATGACGTTGCCTTCGGCGCTGGCGGGTGCCGGACCACGGCGTGGGAGCATGCCTTTGCCCATCAAGCACCAGCTGGTGAGGGCGTCGGCGGTGGACGAACTGGACTCTCCCCCCAGCTCCCCCGAAGTGGGAAGCACTGGGGGGGCCAGCCCCGCAGGAGGACGCGGCCCCTACAAAGTCATGTTGCTTGGCGAGAGCGGGGTGGGGAAGACCACCTTGGCAGCCATCTTCGGAGGCCTTAGAGGGGGCCCCCACCACGAGGAAGAGCACACAGGTGAGCCCAGAAGATGCCTGGGGATGGTGTTGCAATATTTCACTCTGCAAAACAGCAGAAGTGCAAGAGGCCCTGCTTTTCTTGCCATACATGCAGCAGAAGGGGGACAGGAGAGAACGGCGTGCTCCACCTGAGGACATTTTATTTTTATTGATTTAAATAGACAGGAGAAGAGCCATATTGGATCAGACCAAAGGCCCATCAAGTCCCAGCATCCTGCTCTCCATTCACCTGTTGAATTTCTGCCTTCCATGGCATTTTTGTTTAAGAAGGGGAAGGTCAAAACTCTCCAGATAAATGGAGGTTTTGTGTGGAATTTAAGCTGTTAGGCCAGAATTTCAAAGTGACGCCTGTGGGAATTGACTTTGCGCCAGTGATTTTCTTAAAATCCTGAGGGGGGAAAGTATGGGAAGCTGGGATAGATCTTCTGGAAAAGTTTCAAATCGCTGCTATCTTAAAAACCTGACATCATATAATATATATAGAGTGTGTGTTTGTGTCTAAGGCTGTGTACACACTAAGCCTTCAAAGCACACTTGCAAATAAATAATGGGCAGGATGTATGCTAAAGGTTGCTGGAAATTGTGACTCGGTGAGGGGTAAACTACACTACCATGAGATGTTTCTCAAAAAATAATTTCATTTCTCTAATTCCTACCCCACATTTATACCCAGAAGGCTCTCCTAGGCTCCCCTTAACTTTTCCAACCATTAAATGTATAGGGTTGCAGCTAGTCCTACTCAGAGCAGACCCACTGAAATTAATGGCCATGGCTAATTTAGTCCTATTAATGGTCTCCTTTGAATAGAATATGATCAAATTCTACTCATATAACTTGACAAATCTGCCACAAAGTGGATATTTGATGGTACAGACATATCTGGCAATAGTTTGTAAGGCGATACTCAAGCTATACTAAACCTCCTTTTCCCTCCACATTTCTTTTATTCCCTCAGAGGATTCCTACGAAAGAAATTTCTACGTAGATGATGAAGAAGTCACTCTAATATTGTACGACATCTGGGACCAGGTAGGTGCATTTTGGTCTCCTTCCTACCCATTGAGATGGGACGTCATCCCCAGCAGGGGAAGAAATATTACAGCAAGAAGTTCTCCATCCCATCTTTGTTGTTGTTTAGTCGTTTAGTTGTATCCGACTCTTCGTGACCCCCTGGACCAGAGCACGCCAGGCACTCCTGTCTTCCACTGCCTCCCACAGTTTGGTCAAACTCATGCTGGTAGCTTCGAGAACACTGTCCAACCATCTCGTCCTCTGTCGTCCCCTTCTCCTTGGGCCCTCCATCTTTCCCAACATCAGGATCTCTTCCGGGGAGTCTTCTCTTCTCATCCCATCTAAAAGCTGATAAATCTTGCAACACCGGGAACATTTTAAAATTTATTATTAATGCAAGTAGTTGTGTCAACCATAAGATGGAAGGCATGACCATATAGAGTTACGTATCTCTTACACACAAACAAAGGAACACCTTTGATTCTAAAATAAGCATCTGCTGGGGCACAGACCACTTGTAATCCGAAACAACAAAAGGTGATATAGTCAATGAAGTTTTACTCAGTGCAGACCCACCAAAATTAACGGGCCTAACATCGTCATGTTTTGTTCCTTTCAAGTGGGTTTACTTTGGGTATGACTTATCTGAATACCACCCACAGAAAATGTGCTCTGGTCTTCAAAGCTGTTGGCTTGTTCATAAGCAAAGGCATGATGACTGAATCAAAACTCGTAACCGGACCATACAAGGGAGACTTGTGATTTGATCTCTCATTCCTTTTAGTTTTAACATACAGCTGTCATTAGGAGCAGAAGGGGTGGATTGGGACCGTAGCGGCATGGGAGGGGAATTTACTCTTCCTCCCCAAACAGCATTTTGTGAGTTGCCCATCTTCCAAAGTGGATTCATTGCCCCACGAATAGTAATATATATCTTTAAATGGGTGACAGCCCCAATCTAACCAGTCTAGCGCAGAACATAGCAGGCTTCATCCTGACGAGACTGAGAGTATTTACACCGGTGGCTCCAGCATCTGCCCTGGTTTTCTGTTTTCAAAATTGGGGTATTCCACAATTTTTCAGGTCTACAGAAATTCTCAGTCAGTTACAAATCCAGCATTCTGAGAATCTCTGTTGTTATTGTTTATTTGAACCAGTTTTCTAGATCTTAAGGCTTAGAGAATATTGTGGGCAATGCCAGGCAATATCAGAATGTTTTAGAGATTGTGGAGTGGGATTTCCGGTTGGCAAGGGCAGTTTTCTCTGCAGCTCTTGGTTACTGCAAGGGGCAAACGGAAACAAGGCAAAATTATGCAAAAAACAAACAAACATGGCATTGCTATGATGAACGTATGCAATTATATCCAAGATTTACGCAAAGCTAGACAACCGGATGGAATTGCCTTGTTTTATTATTGTTTTGTTTTAGCATCTCGTTTGCATGGAAATGCGTTCCAAAATTGCACAGCATCCCTGAAGTGAGGGAGAGTGGTATGCAAATTTATGCAAATCCATATTAAATTAACACAGCCGTTTGGGAGTCAGGCGGGGGTGTATACCACTGACATGCACGAATATGCAAATTGTTCTGGAAACTGGCAGCATTCTTGGGCGGCTTGATTGCAGCATACAGTGCCATTATGCAAATATAAGGAGAGTGTATCCAACTGCCAAGGAGAATAAGCAACACAACCCCCATTATCTGCATTACAATTATCCAAATTCCTCGATTATCAGAATCTTGCCATTTTCAAATACCTGCATGTCTTCTCTCCTCCCGTGGCTGCCAATTCAGAAGGGCCCAGGGAAGGATCCTGAGGAGCTGCTATATGTTTCAATATTATCTTAATTGCGATTTTGATTATTGTGTTTTGACTTTAGTTGTAAAGTCACCTTGGAACGATTCGTATCCTTAAAGGTGAGATGTGAATAATTATACTGTAATAAAATAATGTGTAAAACACACTCCTGTTTATCTGAACTTTCCAGTATCCAAACACACCAATCGGAAACATTCAACAGCCACCCTGGTTAATATCGCTGTCACATTCACTCTGGTAACATGCTGGATTGATCCATTACACTTTCCAATATATTTAAAAGGTGCAGCTTTGGTTAACGTAATTCTTTTTAATATCACCCACGTATACAAAAAATGCAGGTAGCTCTTGTAGAGAGAGAAAGAGGTTGCCTCTTTTAACATGTTGCTGGTTACGACTTCCAAAACTGTTATATTTTCTTCAGAACAGTTTTCGTGTGTGTCTGGTTTTTTAAAATCACATACAGATATAGAAGAATAAAACCTGCATGATTTACTAGCTAAGATTTAACAGGGGAAATGCCCATAACAATATGTAGCTGTGAACTATAACTGGGTAGAATTACCAAATAATCCACACCAGTGTGGCTCTCGTGAAAGGTCTCAGTAAATTTCCCTTCCAAGCCCCCCCCCAAATATATGGCACTGTTTGGGAGGCAGGAGTGGGTCCCCCCCCCCATACTGTGGTCCTGTCTCTTGTTCAGGTGGGGAAACCATTTTATCTTATTATGCCACACCCCCAACGACGGCCATTTTGTGACTGGCGCCTGCGGCACTTCCCCCAAGATGTTCGCTGTCAGACAAAGGTTGGCAGCCCTTGATCTGGACACGCACATGGCCTCAACCATATGTCAGGAGTGCTCTGATGGTGTTTCCTACTTGGCAGGGGGTTGGACTCGATGGCCCTTGTGGTCTCTTCCAACTCTATGATTCTATGATTCACTTTTCCTGACTTTGACCTCTTCCCTCCCCGCGAACTTTTTCCGCAGGGAGATCCCGGAGGCTGGATGCAGGAATCCTGCCTGCAGACGGGAGACGCCTTCCTGTTGGTTTTCTCGGTGACCGATCGCCGTAGCTTCACACGGGTCCCCCCCACCCTGCTGAGCCTACGGGCTGGGTGCCCTCGGACAGACCCCCCTATTATCCTGGTGGGGAACAAGAGCGACTTGGCGCGATCCCGGGAGGTCTCACGCGAAGGTGAGTTGCCAGAGGTGCCGCTCCTTAAACATTGGGGAGATCGCCTGCACACCATCCAGGTGGCTTCCAGTCTACCATTTTGGAAAAATTTGTTCTTTCTGAAGGGCCGAGGCGGGAGAGGGAACCCAGGAGAATTGTTTGCTCGTTTATTTTCTCCTTTTCATTTCATTTTTAATTTTTAATTTTTAAATTTTAATTTTTAATTTTTTAATTTATTAATTTTTTTTTTGAATTTTATGAGAAAAGAAAAAGACAAAGATAAAGAACAATACATCACACTATAAACACATTTATATACATATTTTCCAAAATACAAACTAAAAACTAAAAAAGTACCCATATTACCAAATTCATGCTTCAAACATTACAATCTTAGTTGAAATATTATAAAAGACTTCCACCGCATTCACCGCACGTCTCTTATTTATCTTGCTCGCCTTTACATCTGTTCTTCAATCATTTCCCTTCCTTAGATACTTTCATAGTCAGTCAAATCTTTATGTTCTCTATACTCTTCACAAGGTTAGTCTAGGCACAACCAAACTTTCGTATTTGAGCCCTGCTTGTATAAATACTCATTTAAGCATTCTATTGTTTCTGAATTATAGCTTTTGATTTATGCCCTATTAAATCCGTCAATTTTGCTAACTCCAGGTACTCGCATAGTTTACATAACCATTTCCCTTTTGTTGGGATATAATTTCCTTTCCAATGACTGGCTACCAACGTTCTCGCTGCTGCTGTTGCATACAGAAAGATGTTAATTTTGTCTTTTGGGATAGCCTTACTCAAGATTCCTAGTAAATATGCTTCTGCCCTTTTGATATATGATACCTTTACCAATTTTTTCATCTCTTCATGGATCATTTCCCCAAATTTTTTGATCTGTGGACATATGTGGTATGGTTTATTTTTCTCATGTTTCTTGCCTCCATATCTAGAGGGCCGCAGCCTAGCTGTCATGATGAACTGCAAGCACATCGAGACGTCCGCGGCGCTGCATCACAACACGGAGGAGCTCTTTGAAGGCGTCGTGCGGCAGATACGGCTGCGGCGCCGTCGGCGCGAGGGCGATGCCTTCAGCAGGGAAGGGGCCGGGGGCCGGCGCGAGAGCCTCACCAAGAAAGCCAAACGCTTCCTCTCTAGCCTTGTGCCGAGGAATGGACGCTTCTTCAAGCAGAGGTCAAAATCCTGCAACGACCTTTCAGTGCTATGAGCCCCATGGCTCCCCATCGCCAGCATGCCAGAAATCTCTGCGACGAAAGGAAACACATAAAACTCCCCTTATTCCCAGCTGCCTCGAGCTCAGGAGAGCAGCCACGTCGACCCAGGGGCAGTTCCCAAACATAGCAAAGCTCCCAAAATCCTCCTTGGCTCATCTCTCCTCCCATCATCTTCAATGCATAACCGAACAAACTATTTGCTTCTGTCCTCTGCAGCATCTTGGCTCCTTGAGAGGGCTTCTCAAACAAACAAACACACGAGTTTTACAAAAAACACACCTTTAATATACAGTATGCTTTACAGGACCTGGAGACACCTGCTCTCCAAACTCACGTGCCTCTCACCTTTTCAAATATTGCTCGTGGCACTCTTGTGAGATTTATTTTCTTGTCTGCCTTTAAGGGTGTCTGTCTTAAAGGTGCCCAACTGGTACAAAACGCTTCAGTTAAGAGACTCAGGACTTTTGTTCGGGATTTCTGTTCCTTTCTCGTCTGTGACGCTCAGGTGCCCATAATCTCTCATGGGACAAGATTTTTTTTTTTCAAGGCACTAACTCTGGAGTGAAACGTTAAGTCTACTGTGTATGTAAACAAATGGCCCCTAGACTCTTTGCGCAAAGCCTTATCCGTCGTGCTACTTTGCTATATCTTAGGAGGTATTTTTAGAGGTGCTGTTTTTTGCTGCCCTCTGCGTCTGTACATATACCGAAGAGGATATAAAATGGTGGAAGTTTATTTTCTCTATAGTTGTGCGGCGCACCTCGCTTTTAAGAGGCCCTTGCTTAAAGGCACCGACTTTAGAATGTCCCTTCCTGTATGGTCTAGCAAACAGGAATGCTTTGTGTTCGCTTAAATGTTCAACTTTGAAAAGGTAGTTAAAGGCACCAGCTGGGGGATATTTCAATCTCATTGCATCGACACAGTAGAGGAATAGCACCTCTAAAGCTTTGTGTACCTCACTTTTAAAGAGCACATAAGGGCATCCCCCAACCCTGTGCTTATTTCAGCCAGCTAACTGCAGCTTTGGAAAGCTTAATTCGTTTGCTTAATGATGCTTCCTATGCCAATGCTCACCTTTTAAACAATTGTTCTGTTTTTTTAAAAAATTATTATTAAGGAATTCATCAAAGGAATTGCTGTTTTAAATACCAAACACATATGCTTCTCTTTTAATATCATCACCCACCTGAAGGGCACGCTCTCCTTAAGGAGAGTCGTTGTGGAAGATGGATTATCAGTTAACCGCCATATCTAGCACATCGTTTTAAAGAAGCCATTGCAACAGCAGCCTTTTCAATTCAGCTACAGATGGAGAATTCTCCACACGCCGTAGCTTATAACCTCCCTTTTAAGAGGCAGACTAAAGGCACAAACCTCAAAGCATTTGTGACTGTGGGGCAGGGATATGTGTGCGTCTTCTGACTGACTTGCTGGACCTTTTGTTTCGAAGGCTACAACCAATAATGAAATGGAACAATTAATGATTAACCAGCTTGGAGCCTGGTTCTTTTCTTAAAGGGACAGGAATTTTATTCCTGGAAGAAGACTGCTTTCAGATTCCAAAATGACGGATTTGAAGGATGTAGCCTTATATGTACACCCCACACCTGCCCAAAAAACAAAAAACCACCTTGAGGAAGAGTGCCTGACAAATGCGGTGTGCTTATTTTCCAATTAAAGCCATTTTCTATTATAGTACCTTCATTTATCTAACCTGTAGCGTCTGGGCCAGGGGTTGCTCAGAACCATTAGAAAGCGGTGTGGGGTGTGGGGAGCAACAAAGGAAAGGGATGTAAAAGGATGGACTGGCAGGGAAGCTGCAGGGAGGGCAGGAAGAATGCAGGAGGCAAGGCAGTGAGTGGTAAGCCAGATTACTTGCAGAAAGGCCATGAAAATTATGTGATCCTGGAAGTGCACAGCTCCTACTCAAGAAATGGACGTTAGGATGATTTGACAGCAGGGTGGGGCGTAGGATGAGAAGCTCAAACGCACTGGACATCCATTGTGTTCATGACCGGATCAGGGCAGTTATACGCGAACCCATTTTCCATGTTTGCCCTCAAGTGTTTTGAGGGAGATTGGCTGATCCACACCTTTGCTCAGCCTGTTTCCCCTGGGTCAGAGCGCTTTTCTTGTCATTCTGTGCCTTGCGAAATAGAAAATAAAATCAATCCAATCTTACCCACTGAATTGGATCAGATGCACGGAAAAATCGGAAGAAAGGTTTTGCTGAACCGAACTTCAGCTCAGCAGGTCAGATCACATTTTCGCAAGGCAGAACAGTGAGAAAAGCTCTCGAACCCAGAGGGAATTAATCAGGACGCAACACAATCGAAATAAGAGTCAACCCAAAGGGTGGCTAAGCTCACGGCTTTCGGCATGTGTCCCTTAACTTCCTGGTGAAATCCTGCAGGATTTTATACCACAAAATCCTCTTTTTTGTTGTGCTTTAGTGCAGGATCTCCCCTCCAGACTCAGCAGTGGAGGAAACATCGCAGAACGACTTGTGAATTAGAACCATGTGTGGACGACAGGGCAGTGTAAATCCAACACTAATTCCCTATTAGTGAGTCAGTACTCAAAGAAAGTACTTCTTCGTGCAATGCATAGTTAAACTACGGAACTCGGCTCCAGAGGAGGCAGCAGCAATGATCGACAACCAAGGTGGCTTATAAAAGAGGACTGAACAAATTAATGGAAGACAAGGCTATAAACAGCTACTAGGCACAATGGCTAATGCTACCTTCGCTGAGGCAGTCATGCTTCTTGAATTACCACTTGCTGGGAACCACAGGGAAGATGCTGTTGTGCTGAAATCCTGCTTGCGGGTTTCTCACAGGCATTTGGTTGGCTGACAAGACGGGGTGGTTTATTGGCCTGATCCAGAAGTCTCTTCTTTTGTGTTCTTAAAATTGCAAAGTGCATCCACAAAAAACAAGCCAAACAGAAAACCCACCAGTATAGAGGACCCGCCAATATGTGATTTTGGCTCAGCTTTGCAGGGACTTGGCTGTGACAAGAAAGAAAGGCCTTCTGCGCATGATCTGTTACCGTCCATTCCTTCATCTGTTCCTTGGGCTTTTACCCATTGAGAGCAGGTTTCAAGGGGCTGTACTCTATAGGCTGGGGGTTGGGGTTGGGGAAAAGGCAGATCAGGAGCAGGAGAGGGAGGAAGAGGAGGCGGTTTGCCTACAGAAGCCGAGGCCCGATGAGCAATGAGAGCGGCACAGCAGTCAGCGGGCCTAGAAGCAAAAGGCAGTGCAAGGAGCCTGCTTAAGATGCAAGCCGTGTGCCTCCCCTCATCAGCAGAGGAGACAGGCTGACGGTTCAAGCTGTCAACGCTTGCCAGGGGCCCTCCTACGCCTGCCTTAAAAGAGAAGCACCTGCAACGAAGATTGCTATTCCCTCACCACCGACACTCCACTTTCTGCAAAGCTTACCTTTGCACAGATCCAAAGCACCCGCTGCCACCTTCAAAACCTCCACCCTGAGCCGTGATAGGCACCCTTGATGTGTCACCGCCTCTGCCCCTGTGTCCTTTCCACTGCTAAGGAGTAGGTGGGGAGAGAGAGAGAAAGGGGCTTATCAAAAACTTCAGAAGCGCTTGCATTTTCTGAAGGAACCAGCTGGTCACACCTCGCAGCCACAAGGCAGACTCGAGGTGGGCGGAGGGTGTCTGAGTCAGCAGGTTCTGCAGAAAAAAGGGGACCTTAACACCTGCATGTGTTGTGTGTTCTGCAACCCCTTTGCCCCTTACAAGTTTTTAAACTTGGGAGGGCATTAAAAGAGAACCAGGTCAATTGAGGAAGCAGAAGGCTATTGAAGGTATAAACGGGTATATATTCTAGCGGTGGCCGCTGTGAGAACAGGATTCCTGACTAGATGGACTGCTGGCCTGATCCAGCAGCCTCTTATGTGCCTGGAGGCGGTTGTAGGATGGATGGCGGCGAACAGATTGAGGTTGAATCCTGACAAGACAGAAGTACTGTTTTGGTGGGACAGGAGGTGGTGGGCAGGTGTGGAGGACTCCCTGGTCCTGAATGGGGTAACTGTACCCCTGAAGAACCAGGTGCACAGCTTGGGAGTCATTTTGGACTCGCAGCTGTCCATGGAGGCGCAGGTTAATTCTGTGTCCAGGGCGGCCGTTTACCAGCTCCATCTGGTATGCAGGATGAGACCCTATCTGCCCGCAGACTGTCTCGCCAGAGTGGTGCATGCTCTAGTTATCTCCCGCTTGGACTACTGCGATGCACTCTACGTGGGGCTACCTTTGAAGGTGACACGGAAACTGCAATTAATCCAGAATGCGGCAGCCAGACTGGTGACTGGGAGTAGCCGCCGAGGCTATATATACTGGTCCTGAAAGACCTACACTGGCTCCCAGTACGTTTCCGAGCACAATTCAAAGTGTTGGTGCTGACCTTTAAAGCCCTAAACGGCCTCGGTCCAGTATACCTGAAGGAGCGTCTCCACCCCCATCGTTCAGCCTGGACACTGAGATCCAGCGCCGAGGGCCTTCTGGCAGTTCCCTCATTGCAAGAAGTGAGGTTACAGGGAACCAGAGGGCCTTCTCGGTAGTTGCGCCCGCCTGTGGAACGCCCTCCCTTCAGATGTGAAGGAAATAAGCAGCTATCCTACCTTTAAAAGACATCTGAAGGCAGTCCTGTTTAGGGAAGTTTTTAGTACTTACGGTAATGCTGTATTGTTTTTAACACTCAATTGGGAGTCGCCAATCGATGGGGAAACTCAGCCAGATGGGCGGAGTATAAAAAATAAGTTATTATTATTATGTTAAGCTATAGATGCATTAACACACACACACACCTCCCTATGTATATTAGGAATCCTTACATTACACATTCTATGAGTATAATGCTATACTGTTGGTGCACACTGGTTGTACACTTGCTGAATGTAATGTATGAACACCCCTGCAGTCAGCTACATAGCCAAGTGGGGATTTGAAAATCTCCCAGCTCCTAAACCAACCCTCTGAGCATGCTGGTCCTCAAAGTGAATATGCCCCCCATACCAGAACTGAACCCACAAGAGAACCAACAGAATGCATCCCCAAATTGAATTTACTTTCAACCAATGACGAAACATGCCTCAATAATGTACTCTTTCCCCTTCATACGTCTCCAAAACCAGATAACTGGTTCGAAGCAGACCCTCTCATTTTCATACACAGGAGCACGTATCACTGATTGCTCATCAACTATAGCACAGGTGTGTTCACCATGAAGATGGCTCTTTTTTTAGAAAACAAAGAAAAGTAAAAAAAGTAAAAAGAGATAGCATTTGTTCAGTAAACACCTAAATGCAATTTCAGGTCACCAAGGACGGAAGTTGCTGCCATACAAATATTGCAGAAAGAGGGTGCGATCTTTTTGCAGAAGGAGCAAGGAATGCTTTCGACTCCACTGCCTCCTAGCTTAGCAAAACCAAACCCACATTGCAGCCCCTTTTTCTCTCTCCCCTCCCCAATTCCTTCCTTTGCCAGCAAAAGCTATCAAAGCTATCACACTTGAGAAAACAATGAGGAACAAAATGTCTTCCTCTTCCCCTCCCTTCCCTTTCCATGGCTCAAGTATTCAGAAATTGGATGAGCAAGGAAATGGGGGGATGGGAAGGAGATGTGCATCTCTTCACCATGGAAACACCCTTATGGGTCCACAGCTGGGGGGTTGCCATGGAGACAAAATGTTTCCCATTGCCATAGCGATGATCATCGATTGAGCAAGCTGGCAGCCAGACTGCCACCCTAGTCTTCTGCAACAGAAATCAAGGACAAGGGGCTTGGGGGGTGGGGCGGTGGAAGATATGAGGTCCCCACAGATGAACCCAGGCTTGTAATTAGGGGAAAGGAACGCCATTTGGGAAATGGGAGAAAGAGGTTAGAGTTATTTATGGATCATCACTCTCCGTGTCCCTACGGGAGGCCATGCAGGTGCATAGCTAGAGGTTGCGGGAGGCTGGGGGGGGGGGGATGCTGAATTTGCCGACAGATTTCGCAGTACATTCGGAGCCATCTGCAGCTCAGAGCGAAGCAGCACCTGGGAGCCAGGAGCAGGCAACCGAGAAGTCGTGAGCAGGAAGCAGCAGCAGCAGAATGGGTCACATAATTTACTCCTGGGGTGTGTGAACACCCTCCATCTCCAAAGGAAGAAGAAGAAAAAGATCTGCCAAGATATCCATGAGCAAAACCAGCATGGGGGTGGGGGAAAATAATAATCTCACACCCTACAAGTCACACATTTCTGTCACAAGGATGGAGAAGGGAGCTGGAGGGTTGCTCCTCCGCTCCCACACCAGCTGGATCCTGTGGCTTTCAAGCGACAAACAACAGCCACAGCTGAGCAACTTAATGTGGCGCCATGAGCAGGCTCTGGCCATCTTCCTGCAAGACCAGGAGCAAAAAAAACCCCCGAAGCGCATCAATGCATGTACATCTGCACTCACCCAAGCAGTGAACGTTTGACCCAATTACCAACATATGCCTTGTATTTCACAACTCTCTAAACACGGTGAAGAGAACGAGAGAATCAGAAAATAAGACAAGGTGGCAGCTCAGAGCAACGTGCGCTGTGAACAGCCATTTTCTCTACGCCAACCACACTCTGCCGGGCAAGAGGATCACGCATACTCAAGGAACCCCCCGGGAATAAAAGCTGCAGGAAATCCTGCGGGGTGGGGTAGCCCATGGCTCTTAGCTGTTTCCCACCAGGAGGCAAGCTTAGGTGGGCCAACCAGGATCAAAAGACCCCTTTGAGTCACAAGGAGGGTGTGTAGGGATGAGTGATGGCGAGCGGGCTGAATTTGGCCCAGGGACACCCAGGCAGCCTAACCGCGGATGTTGACTTGCACCGTTCAAGCAAGGCATCCTGCCCAGAGCGTCGGTGGAAAACAGTCCCTCTCTTTCTCAAATCAGTCATTCCTGAACAGGGAGCCATGGGAAGACTGGTGATGTGCCATAAACAAGTTAAAAACCAAAGGCTCCTGGCAAGTCGACAGCAGGGGAAAGCAGATCAAGATCTAATGGTAGATCTCAAGATCAGCTGTCGGGACCAACAAGGTTTCAGACTCCCAGTTATTTGACAAGAGCAACAAAAACGTGACTTCTTCTGCCTACATCAGGCTGCCAAAACAAGCTGACAAACTCTGGACTTTTTGTGTGCGCAAATTCTGGCACGGAAAGCGAATTTCAAGGCTGTTGAGGCACCTTCTTACTCTTTAATTCTAATTGTATAGCTTTCAGACCTGGCTCTCATTTTGAGGAAACAAAAGTTGATCCAGCAAGCCTGAAAGTCTGCCCACCCCTAGTCCAGGGCTGCCCTGGACTTCCTCCTCTGGCCTTGGGGCCTTCCACTCATCGACTCTGCCAGGGGTGGCAATTTTGCCAATTGTCTGGCATGAGGTGTGAGCGGACCTGTCAATCACTCCTGATGGAGAAAGGCTTGGGTAGTTTTGAGGATGTTTCAGTTCTGACTTAATTTGGTGTACACGACTGAAGTGTGCATCTGCCCCCAGATGGTTTGGAAACATTTATCTAGACTAAGAACCACAGCATCCTCCCTGTCTCTCCAACCAATAGTCTTAATCTGACAGACCCTCCCAATAACACTTTCATCCCCATATTTCAGCCTCAACCTGCAGATGTGCATCACCTCTGCCCCTCAATTCCAGGAGTAGAAGCAACCTCACCTCTTGCTGCCCTTTTACTGCCACAAAATGAAAAACACACCTAGCTACATTTGGTGACTTTTTATTATTCATTTATAAGCAAAAAAGAGAAAAAAAAGAGAAAAAAATTAAAAGAGACAGATAAAAAGAAAACCAAAATACACCTTCAAATTTGGGGATGGAGGGGGAAGGGGAAAGATGTGATCCAAGGGACTCGTTTGAGGGAAGGTGCGGCAGAAAATGGGAACACCAAGAAGAGGATACAGACCCAAGTAAAAGGAGGGGTTGAGGGAAAGGAAAGGGAGGAACGGGACGACATCCCCACACTATAGGCAACCTCAGAGAGATTGAGAGGGGATTACAAAACACTGCTTGGGAAGGAGGGGGGGATATCCCCTCGGGGCCAGGCCTCCCACCCAAATGCTGGTTCTCGACTCTCCCCATTTCCTCCCTCTCTGCTATGTACAAGACACACGCGCACACCCATCTGCAATGAGCTCAATTCATGAAGCCGTCCAGCAAAGACCCACAACACACCACTGGAGAGCAGAGGGTGGGAAAGAGGAATGGCAAATGTACACCCTGGCGATGCAAGCCCCGCAGGGCCTCTGCCAGGAGGCGGCAAAAAACAAGAAGAGATGCTGAGAGCCCACGTCTGTGGGGGAAACGGGTCCCTGGTCCTCTTGAGGGTCCCATGCAGGGGATTTATCGCAACCCCGCCCCCCCCCACATCCGATTATGATTCCAGAATCAAGGGGAAGAACACCAACCCCCTCCCACCCCCAGGCTCCTGGTGGGAAGGGAATCGGAGTAAAATCAGTTCGCATTGAGAAGGGGCCCCGAGGAGGACGGGGTGTTCCTTCAGAGTCCATCCCGCTCTGCCTTGCATTCAATGAGGGCGGTGATGTGGTGATGATGTGGAGATGATCATTCCCCTCCTGGCTCCGTGGGAGAGGGAGGGCAGGGGGGGAACCGGGTTGAGTTACCTGGGGGGAGAGAGATACATGGATTAGGAAGGTACAGTATAATCCCTCTCCGTCCAGCATCCAGTTGCACAGATTTCATGCACGCAACCAACATAAAATACTGAGGGCAGATGAGGCCTTTGTGTGTCGGTTTCTAAAAGTAGAATTTTCTGAGCCACAAGGTTGCAGACAAAAAAAAAAAGAAAAGAAAAGAAAAAAGAAAAGGCTGGAAAACCATTTCTGGCAAACCACCTCTCTCTTTCCACCTCACTTTGCCACATAGGTTTCATGCCAAAATATTGCAGCTCAGAAAAATCACACAGAAGTTGTTTGATGTGAAAACTAAGTATATCCTGAGGAGAACTGTCAAGACACTGGTGGGCATCCTGGCATCTGTGAGTAGCAAGTTTAGAAGTGAGGGGGACTCGGGGATAAGGGAGGAAGGGAGCTGCCTGGCAGTGCATTTTGGGAATGCGGGAGAACACTAGGCCAGCACGACTCCATTTCCACACACCAATTTAAGAGAGTATCAGCCCAATCTAGCTGAGGCAAATTAAACAGGCACCATTGTATTTCCCGGCACATAGTACACAACCCTTGCCCCCCACCCCACCCATCTCTGTGATTCAGCCACTCACATTGTCTGGGGAGTGAAGAGGCCCGAAAGCTGGAAGCACTGGGAAGCCAATGTCTGTGAAGCCAGGTTCAGTGCTGGGCTGAGAGCTAGAAGTGGAGAAGGACAGAGGAAAACAATAAGAGATATTTTTGTTTAAGGAAGAAATTCCCAAACAAGACAGTGGTAAAACAGGTTCATGCCTTAGGGAGCTACTCAAGCTTCTTAGCTGAGACCTATGTAAGCAGGCTGGGCAAATGTCTGGTTGGATTAAGGCCAGGGTAGCCTTCCCTTGGATCTGGGTGGCGCTGTGGGTTAAACCACAGAGCCTAGGACTTGCTGATCAGAAGGTCGGCAGTTTGAATCCCCGCAACGGGGTGAGCTCCCATTGCTTGGTCCCTGCTCCTGCCCACCTAGCAGTTCGAAAGCACATCAAAGTCCAAGTAGATAAATAGGTACCGCTCCAGCAGGAAGGTAAATGGTGTTTCCATGTGCTGCTCTGGTTCGCCAGAAGCGGCTTAGTCATGCTGGCCACATGACCTGGAAGCTGTACGCTGGCTCCCTCGGCCAATAAAGCGAGATGAGCGCCACAACCCCGGAGTCGGCCACGACTGGACCTAATGGTCAGGGGTCCCTTTACCTTTTAGCCTTCCCTTACTGGGTGCCCTCAAGAGATTGGACTACAAATTCCCATCAGCCCCAGACAGCATCGTCAATATTAGGCGGTGATGGGAGTTTATGGTTCAAAAATATCTGAAGAGCACCAAGTTAGGAAAACTTGATCCACTGGAGAATAGCAGAATGCATGCCTTGAACGCAGAGTGACCCGTATTTCCGTAATCTGCAGCATCTCCAGTTTAGAGAAGCTCATGTAGCAGAGGTAGAAAGGACCTATCCCCAAGACCGTGGAGAACGCTGCCAGTCAGAGCAGACAAATGGGGCCAAATCTTGCTCAGTATAAAGAGGCATCTCCAGACACAATTCCCAGGAGTGTACAACAACGGTCAGGGGTCTGTCTCCTTGCTAAAGATGCTTTATTAAAGATTGTGGCTGGACCTCATGTCTCTCAAGGTTCTCATCAGGGTCACCTCCCCCACCCCCAAACAAGCCCATCCAATGGATCGCACACATTCCCCACCTTACCTGTCAGGGCAGCTGGGTTCAGTGCTCCCAGGGGTATCGCTCCGTTGAGCTGCAGGGCCGCCTGAGCCGCGGCTGTAGTTGACAAGGGAATCCCGGAACCTGCTGAAAGGGGAGAAGACCCAAAGGGGAGACTCAGCCACAGACACATTTTCATCCAACAAGCATTTCCTTAGCAGAAGGCATTAAGTGATTTAACAACTCTTTGCCCTAGGCTGCTGCCTGAGCCACAAGTATATTGGGACGTGAATGAGGACCCTTTCAAAAGTTTCCCCTGCACTCCCCGCAAACCCAGTCTGAGGTTAGTGATAGGCACTTTTCGGTGCACAGAAGCTCCCTCCAATCTCCACCCCTCAACTGCAGGTGGCCACACAAACTCTCCGAAGCAACTGAAGGATTCCAAGGGGATCTCTCATTTAGGATGACTAAATGCTCAAAAACAGTAAAAGCTGTTATGATGAATCCAATGAACTTTTTTTGCTCTCCTTCCCACAAAACGGTCAACTGTAATCTTTTCGGACAATTCTGCAGGAACCGCAACTGTCCTCTTAGTGTCTCCTCTCCCCATCATATTATTCTGATTTCCTTCCCAGCATATCACGAAGGGCCAGAGAGGACAGCACCCTCTAATAATTTATCCTCGCAATCTTATGAGGCAGGCTATCTGGAGATCATAGCAGAGAGCATTGACCTCTGTAAAAAGCAAGACTCCTGTCATGTTGAACTGAGGGGCCTGGGGAAGAAGGGAAGCAGACCCTACTCTGCAGCCAAAGGGAGGCGCAGTGTTCCTGCTTCTGCCACACTAACTCTTTTCTCCATGAGAACAGAAGATGAAGTACATCAAAGGGTTCTAATTTAGAAGGAGCTGTTATGTGCTGACAGAGACAGAGGAAGGGATACAGATTTATTCCATCCCCTCTAATAGAACCAATGCAAGAAAAGGTGTAATTAGCCAACAGGTGTGGGTGGGGCTGAAGTTCTCTATACCTGAACTAGGGGGCAACCTACTTCTTCTTCTCCTTGCCCACTACCATAACTGTTAATAACGAAAATATAGAAGAGAGGCTGGAGTATTGTGATTTCCTCATCCCTCCACCCCACCCTCACCCTGGGTGTGCATAACCTCCGGCTTCATTAAGAGTTCTGGAGAACTTGGAAGGTTGCTCAATGTTTTGTGACATTTCAGCTGGTCATAATACAAGAACTATTATTATTGTTTTCTATACCACCCTTCATTCGAAGATCAGAGGGCAGTTCACAATAAAAAAACACAAAAATATATAACATAACAGCAAACAAAAACAATACACCACCCACCCGCACAATTAAATTCGACAAAGGCCAACAGAAAAGGAACCTTTTCATCTGGCATCTAAAGATATCCAATGAAGCTGCCAGGTGAGCCTCTCTGGGGAGAGCATTCTGTAAGTGGGGAGCCACTGCAGAAAAGGCCCGTTTGTGTGTTGGCACCTTCTGGACCTCTTGTGGAAGAGGCACACAAAGGGCCTCAGATGGTGATCGCAGGGTCCGGGTTCATATATGGAGAGGCAGTCCTTGAGGTACTGCGGTCCTGAGTATTGCCCAACTACTTGATTTTGGTGTGTTCCCAGTCAAAGAGAGTTCAAAGGTTTTAAGACCAAAAAGGCCTGGGAAGAGGATATCTGAAGGACCGTCTTCTACTGTACAATCCTTTGAAAACAGAGATCTAGAGGTCCTATTTGCAAGGTACACCCCTAGAGGCAACTAGGCAGATATCTACTAGAAGCAGGTGCCTTCCTGGTGGCACCCGTTCCCTTCCGTAAAATTTCCTTCCCATCAAATCAACACCCTCAATTGTAGTACCAAGCTTTTAAAGACTGCTGCTCTCCAGACATCGGTCTTCTTGTCTCCAGCCTGTTTTAATATTGCTTTTATTGCTCCCTGCGTGGCATATCACTTCTTAATAAACAAATCAGTTTGTTTCCATGATTCATGTGAAGAAATCTCTCCCAGTTTCCTCGTTGCTCAATTCCTACCAGGAAACTCACCTTCTGCCAGTTTGGCCATGAGCTGGAGCTGGGAGCCAGTGGTGCTGAGATTAAGGGCCGACCGCTCGGGCTCATCACCATCCGGGAAGGTGATGTCGGTGGTGCCGTCCAGCCGCTCAGTGACCTGCCCCACCCGCATGGGTCGGCCGGCCAGCTCAAAACCATTCAGCTGCTCCAGCGCACGCCGGGCACACTCAGCCTCTGCAAACTGACAGGGGAAGAAAGTGCTTTAAAAGGGAAGTATCTGAGGCTCCCCACCCACCTTCAAAGCCAGGTGAGAAGAGATACATACCGTGATGAAGCCATAGCCCTTGGACTGCCCGGTATCCTGGTCGCGCATCAGCACAATGCTGTCAATCTGCACGCAGGACGAAAAAGCCACAAATCAGAACTCCGTGAGCCCCCACCACGCTCCGCCCACTCGCTCCTCCAGCCCTCCCACCTCACCCCAGTTATGGCCTCCTACCTTGCCAAAGGGCTCAAAGATCCCACGCAGCATCTCTTTGGTGATGTTGCAGTGAAGGGAGCCAACGTAGAGCCGCATGGGCCCCCCACTGCCTTTCTGAAGGTTGTTAGCCATGGCTGCCAGCCGGTTCTTCTCTGCCTAAGGGCAGGGAAAACCAGGCAGGATTAGAAACAGCCGCAAGCATTAGGCATTATGTTTTAAAAAATCAAATCAAAAATCAAATGTTTTTTGCAAACATTTGTTCCCACAACAGGGCTCGCAATATTAAAAACAGTAACAGTGTTAAAAAGTTGAGAACCGGGTATGAGTCTTACCCAAGTGTAAGCAGCTCCTCATCCCCTGGTCTTTGGGCTGCACAAACATGCCCAAAAGAGTATCTTAGTAACTCTGGGCTTGGGCTTTAAGAACTTCCATCCCTTTCCTTAAAAACCCAACCCTGCCAGTTCCTCCCAACGCCCCTTTGCTTCACCTCTCTGCACCATCTCTACTCCATTTTCTGCCGTTAACTTGTTCACCGGGTCACACACACCTACCGCAATCCACACCCCTCCTCCTCTTTCTCAGGCCACACATACAACGTTTCTTTACCCACCCCCCTCCCACCTCAAACGCGTCTCGCACCTGGGAGGCCTGGACAATGATGGGCACCCCGAGGAGGCGCTGCCCTGTCAGCCCAATGGCCAACGGTACCGACTGGATCTCACAGAACTCCACGTAGGCGATGCCCTTGGAGCGGCGGGAGTTTCGGTCGGAGATGATCCGCACATCGCGCACCTGCTCGGAGGTACAAGGGGAAGCAAGTGAGAGACTGAACGGCTGCAGGGGAGGCCACTAGGGGCGCATTGGAAGATGGCCGACAATACCATCTCTCCGACCCACACGGGGTAATTAAGAGGCTGTTATGGGAGTAGGCAGCCTCCCTTGTTGCCCCAAGGGAATGGGGAACACTGCCCTTGCCTGCTGTGCCCATAAATCACCCCCAAATTCGAAAGAAGGGGGTGAGGGCACTAGGCAAAATGCCCCCGTGTGGACCTCGGCTCTCCTGGATGCTGTCTCTGATCGCGCACTAGCTGCAGCAATTTGGAATAATTAATTACAAAAGAAGCAAATGCACATATTTCAAGTGAGGAAGGGGAGTGAAGTCTGCTAATTTAAGTGACCACTGCAAAAGAAGACGACGGGTTGGAGAAACAGGAATATTTTACGATGAAGATACACCAAAGGCTGGGTATGTCGGCAACAGGACTGAATGGGGGGGGGGACCTTTTTTACTTTCCTTTTATGTGATTTACTAAGAACCCCTCCTCATTAGAACCGTCGGTTGAACTGACCCAAGCAGGATGATTAAGGTCTGTGTGGAGATAAACTTTAACCAAAAGTATGCTTTATGGAGATCAAGAAGCAATAAGAGCTTTTGGAATGGCGCAGCAATTAATTCAGAGTCGCCATCTTGCCAAAGGATTTATAGCCAGGAGGAGGAACGGACTTGTTTTCAGACTGCATTCCTGGTGAATCTCCTCAGAGGTTTTGAGAAAGGAGGCAGATTGGTGAAGATTAATGACACTAGACTGTTTTGATGTATGGAAGTGATGTTATATGGAAAACGTCTGGATATGGCTACTGGATAAAAAAAATAATATCCACGCAGGATTACAAACTGTTTTAACCAGCTTGTGGAACTATCAGAGGTCACAAAGAGAAAGGAAGCATATATGAAAATAACAACAAGAGATGTGGAAAAACAATAAGAAAGGACTGGACAGTACTGTGAACATCATATGGTTAGATTTGTGGACATTAAAACAGCAGCAAGAAGCAAGAAGTTGATTGGATCCCCTTCGGAACTTGAAATATGGGTACCCCCAACAAAAATTTAAAATTTGGCTGTGTAATTTGGAATTTATGTAATTTGGTTTGATTTGATTGGTCGGTTAATAAAAAATTATTCTCAAAAAGAGAGACTGAACGGCTGCAGGAAGCCCATAGAAGTGCAGCTGAGGATGACTAAAAAGGCGTTTCTGGCTGAGATCACTGGGTACCATACAGAACACAGAGGGAACTGTGGGTTTCAAGTCTGCACTTGAAGGGTGGGGGGAGAAATAAGCAAATGTCAAAGCCCAATGGAAGGGCGGAGGGGAAATGGCCAACCTTGCCGACAGCAGAGAAAAAGTCCTCAAGGTCACGTGGGCGAATGCGGGCAGCCAGCTGCATGCAGAAGACAGTGCGGGCATCACGCTCCTCTGGGCTCAAGCTGCCCAAGGGCTCCCTGTGGGAGAAAAGCAGAAGTTGCCAAGGAGGTTCAAACCTGGGAAGAGGAACTCAACAAGCCTAATTGGTTCTGGGGGACAAGGGGTGGGCAGGTGTGGGGGACTCCCTGGTCCTGATTGGGTAACTGTGCCCCTGAAGGACCAAGAGCAGAGCCTGGGGGTCATTTTGGACTCACAGTTGTCCACGGAGGTGCAGGTTAATTCTGCATGCAAGGCAACTGTCTACCAGCTCCATCTGGTACACTGGCTGAGACCCTACCTGCCTGTGCCCTGTTTTGCCAGAGTGGTGCATGGTCTAGTTGACTACTGCAATGCGCTCTACATGGGGCTACCTTCGAAGGTGACTGGGAAACTACAACTAATCCAGAATGTAGCAGCTAGACTGGTCACTGCAAGCAGCCGCCGGGACCATATAACACCAGCCCTAGAGGATCTACATTGGCTCCCAGTACATTTCCAAGCCCAATTCAAAGTGTTGGTGCTGACCTTCAAAGCCCTAAATGGCCTCAGCCCTGTATACCTAAAGGAACGTCTCTATCCCATTGTTCAGCCTGAACACTGAGATCCAGCACTGAGGGCCTTCTGGCGGAAGTGAGGTTACAAGGAACAAGGCAGAGCACCCTCTTGGTAGTGGCACCCACCCTGTGGAATACCCTCCCATCAGATGTCAAACAGATAAACAACTTTTTTACTTTTAGAAGACATCTGTATAGGGAAGTTTTTAACATCTGATGTTTTGTTGTGTTTTTATATTTTGCTGTAAGGTGCCCAGAGGGGCTGGGGCAACCCAGTCAGATTGGTGGCATATAAAAAATAAAATTATTATCGTTATTATTAATGTGGCCCAAGAACCACCACCCAGCCCTCCCCAGTCACAAACACTCACCGGAGGGGGCTTTTCTCTCTGTACAAGGGACTCTTGCTGTGCCCAAACCGACGCCTGCAAGGAAAGGGAATGGGACAGAATGCAAGATGGTCTAGTTCAACCACGAGAGCATAAACAGAGCAACCACTGTCAAAATACACAAACTGCCAAGTCCTTTCTCATTTGCTTGAGATCAAAGCCAAGAGAAAACATCCCAAGGCAAGTGACAGCCTAGCTATCAAAGGAAAGGCTACTATCTGCTGCCATATATTACCCACTCCCCAATACTGTTGCTTCCTTCTTTGCTCTTTCACCTGAAACACCTTCCAGGGCAGGGTTCAGATAGGAAGCAGGAATCCTTTACTGTTTATATACAGATTGTTTAGCCAGTGTGGGGAACCTTTCGCCATCCGGGTGCTGCTGAACTACAACCCTCCTCAGCCCCAGCAATAACGACAAAGGGTCAAGGATCATCCGGGCTGTGGTTAAGCAAACACTCGGAAGGCCAAAGGTTGATACGTACATTGATTATTGTACATATCATTTGTATTGTACAATACATTTGCATTTTTGTGTATCGTCAGCCACTTTGGGCTTCCAGTTTGAAATTCATTTTTAAAAAGAGAGACTTGTGCATTAAATGAAATTGGGGGGGAGGACTGTTTCTGGGATATGCAACGGGTGGAGAAAGCTTCAAGCCAGGTCATGGAGACGCTGCTGTGGCAGAGCAGGCCGAGGATTTGGGAGAGATGGAAAGGAGACTGAGGGAGAAGCTCAGAGGGACATGGTCCACTGCTATGACATGGGCATTAACTCAGCCTCTCGAGCCATCCCTGTTGCTGACACAGCTAAGACGAATTATTTCCTCTCTTTGCATCAAACATTTGATCACCCGGGGCTTTTGTGACAGGACTGTGGCAGTGTCCCTTACCCAGGGGGTGGGGGGCTCCGGTAGCGCACTCTCTCGTCCCGCCGGCGCTCTCTGCTGCGAGACCGGCTGCCCCGCCTGCGGTCCCGGCTGCGGCTCCGGTGGCGGCTTCTGCTCCGGTGGCGGCTACGGCGATCTCTGCTGCGGCTGCGCCTGCGGTGGCGGTCTCGGTCCCGACTGCGGCTAGAAGAGGCATGAAGAACGAGAAAGGATTATGAAACACGGCAGCCTCCCCCAAACTGTCCTCGTTGCGCCTCCTACCTCAGGACAGGGAACTAAGCGTGCTGGGCGATACCAGGCCCTCCTTTCACCCCACGGTCACGACACATTTAAAGCACGTTCAGAATCCTGGAAACTGCAGTCCTGCCCCCCCCCCAGTGCTCCAACTGTCAGGACCCTTCCCCCGGGAAGTCTGCAGGGAAAGTCTGCGGAATGCACTTTAAATGTATGGCATGGATCTGCCCAAAGATACTGGATGAAATGCAGGCATGCAGCTAAAATCCAACCATCCTGGCCCAAATCCTCCAATTTCTGGGAAGCATGCAAGGGGAAGTGCTCCCCCTCTCACAGTCCCTGGAAAAGGAAGGACGGAAGGCAATAAGCTCCTGACAGCTGCATGTTTGCCAACCATGGCAAGCGGGGGTCCTAGACTAGCAACCCACGCAGCTCCTTGCTCACTGCTCAATCCTCTCTCTGCGCTCGTTGGAGCCCATCCCTACCTACCTATGTCTGTGGTCACGGCTCCTGCTACGACTCTTGCTCCTCTTCTTTTTGCTGTAATCGGGAAGGAAGGAAGGTGAGAGATGCGCAGGAAAGAGGGAGGGGAGAAGGAAACGCCAGAGGAAGCAGACCAACTCACCTGCTGCTTTCCCCGCTGCTGCTGGGGGCGCTTTCTTTCTTTGCGTCCTTTGCTTGCTCCTCCTGAGGCGGCTGGAAAAAGGGTCGGAAGACAGAAGAGAGGGGGGTAATATGCAGCCCCTGCTCCTCCCTCGTATGCCTTGTAGCCCAGCCCCACTCTGCCCTCCCCCAGCTGCTCCCGACCGCTTTCATACATTACCTGTGCTGTGGGGGGATCAGCTGGTGGCTTTGAGGGTCCTGGCTGGGCCTGGAGCAAACACAGGAGTGATGGGCCCAGCAGGGAAGGGTCACTGAGACACACAGGGAGAGGGGGCATACACACACTCCACCATTCCTCACCCCACTCAAACCAAGAAAACAACAACAACAACCCAAAACACGTTTCTTCCCATATATCTAGCACAGAGCAGCACATCTGAGGGACCTGGGAGAATCACTGGCACTACGTCCAAGCTCATTAATTATACAAGGCATGGGAGGGGGGACCCAGAACCCCAACACTTACAATTAAAGCAGCTGCACCCTCCCGTTCCTTGGAGGGTGCAGCTGCTTTAAGATACTACGCTTTTAATGTTTTGTCTTTTGTAAAAATTAGGAGCACAGCTGCAAGAACTGAGTACTTAAGCTGCCTCAGCAGACTGGGACATAAGAGCAAAGCACACACATGCACCCCAATATAGGCCTGTCCCCCACCAAATGCTGGGAGGGGGACCTCCAGGGCTCTTTGGCAGGGAGATAAGCCACTTTTGAAATTTGGAAACCAAAGAGATTTTATTAGGAAAGTTAGAATTATTAGCTTTTCATATCTGGCATGTACCAAAACTCCCCCTGCCCATCATTCTACTACCAGGAATTGTTTCCTTTAAAAATATCACAATATACTGTTCAGCGCAGAATTGTCGTAAGTAGTTGATATTCAGCAACTCAACTTTCAAGGGGGGTTCCCTCTGCTTAAAGAAGGGTCAAATCTGCTTGCCTTACACCCACTTTGAAACTGGTGCAGGATTTGCTTCCCTGAGAACCCCAACTTCTACTGTAAAGAAAAAAAATGTTTCACCCACTGTTTAGCCTACCCAAAATACCAGTGATATTAAACTGAGTTCTCTCCTATTGCCAAAACCCACTCCAGGAACATTTACCTGGCAAGCATTCAGTTTCCAGGGGGGGACCGGGACCGGGGACCTGCAGTCGGAATCATCAACAACAAAATTCCTTGATTTAATTAACACAGAATTTGTTGTTTTCGAGCTAATAACTGCATGAGCCAAGACTCTGCATGGGATGCTGTTGTTCTGGTCACAACAGCAGGTGGGGCGAAATGCCACATGCAACCAATGCTTAGGAAGAGATAAACGCCAAAATCGTGGCCAGATTCGCACCCACTGATTTCTAATGGGAGCTGCTTCTAAAGAAGTGCATTCCGGAACTACCTTAAACAAATAAAGGCCAGGGGGAAAACAGCATGTCGCACAAATGCACATAGCTTTCTTTGGAATGTGTTATTCTGCTGCAAAGTTTGGGTGCTCTTTGGCAGGGATGGAGAGGACAAGTGGTCTAACGCTTATAAAAGAGAAGGAACGTTTTTATTTTATTTTCTATACCCCAGGCAGTATGGTGACTGAATTGTGGCAAGCAACTGGCAACCCCTGATCCAATAAGCTTGTCTCTGAATTAACATGATTTCACATCTTCAGTGGCCTGCATCTATATGCAAGCCAATAACCAATTTCTTTGGTGGCCTTACATTAACAATGGAAACAATAAAATGCAGCTACGTAAGCTAGAAACGTTACTTTTTTTAATAAAAAAAACCAAGTTGAGGCCCTCAGGGAAGGGAGCTACACAAGGGACTGCATTAGGCACCACACTGCAATCTTGGTAACATGGCTAAGAACCCCCTTTTTTCACAGGTTGGGCATGCTGCTGCTGCTGCTTTCAAGAACTCACTCCTTACCTCCTCTTTCTTGTACGGGGCCTCCAACATGGCCTCTATCACGATATCAAAGTCATCCGAGGCCATGCCGTCCTCTTGGCTCTGCAAGTAGGAAGAGAGAGAGAGGGGGGGGAAGGGTTAAACGCAGAGTTCCCTGCACTGGAACCCCACAACACTACCTTCCCGAAGAACAAGAGAAGGGGGTGAGGGTGGGTACTCACTGGGTCCTGGGATGGATTGGGGAACGCCGGATCCATGGCTGGCCCAAACGGGTGGGCTCCCCACCACCCCGAGACACAGGAGCTGCTAGTGGAGAAGGGCTTCTAGCAGGCAAAGAATTCGATCACAGCCTGGAGAAGATGGAGGCATGAGTGAAATTGAGAAGTGGGCTACGCAGGGGTGGGCAGGGAGGACCATGCATGTTGCTTGGATACGCCAGAGTTCTAGAATCTACAGATCTGTAAAACCAACTGGAGCCCACCATGTGACCTCTGGGATTCTGGAATGCCAAGACAAACGTGAAAGAGCATCTCAGGTTGCCTGCCCACCTCCCATGCAAACGATCCCTCTCCTCTAGTAACCTGCCCCTGCCTCCTTTTCTAATCTAGAATGATCTCAATCCACCCAGTAAATTCCTTCACATGGGGACCTGCACTCCACACTCCTTCCACAGACCTCACACTGCAAAACATCCCCCAGGAGAGTAAAAAATAAAAACACCCCACTTCTCCATCTGGGTAAAGGGGTGCCTGTCAGATACACCTGCAAAATACTGGCTGCAACATTTTTGCTTTAGAATGAGGTGGGCAGGAGTGAATGTGGGGAAATAATTATTATGTGACATATTTTAATAAAATCGAAGTTTGGGCACAGAAACCGGTAACGTTTTTAGAGGGGGAGCAGAGAAAGGACATAGAGGAACTGTGTATTGGCAACCTTTGTAAATGAGGACCTGTATTTTCACTCTAGAAAACCAGAGATCTTTACTAACACCTTATAATCCCAAATATCTCTACTCTGAACTGCCTTGCACTTATTTCTACAGGACTTTGCATAGGATGGAGCAGTTAAGTCTTTAGCAAACAGGAGAGCTGTTGTTTTCTCTGTAGCCATGAAGTCTTCACAGGCAATATCAGATTTTACATGAAAATGGTGAGATTCTTGTCATACCATTGTAGCAGTACTGAATTTTAGGCACACACCACACTGCCAAAACACATTGTTCTTCAAACCTTTTAAACTCTCATATTCTTCTAAGTTTACTCTACGTACCTGAGCTAGGAAGTTACTATGCAGAAACCTTGCACACTTTTGTACGTATACTGTGAGTGTAAGGATCTGAGCACGGGGGCACTAATCCAACACTAGCAGTAGAAGAACCAGAAGTGGGCATCTCTTATCCCCTCCTACAGCCAGTCAGTCATTCAGAGAAGAAGGAAGAGCTACTTGATCAGAAACTCTAGTCTGTTCCCTTCCTCTTTGCTGCTTTCACTGTTAGCAAAGTAGATTGGGTTGTTGCAAACTTCTGTTGACAGGAGGAAAGCATATCTAGCTCTGTCTGTTGCAGGATCCACTGCCCTAAGAGTGCCCCACAGTAGATTCACACAACCGACAGTAACCCTAAGGCTAAGAAAAACCTGTAATTTTGGGATGCATGGAATTCATGTAGTTTGTGTATTGTCAAATACCTCATGAATAGTGAGTCTGTAAACATGCAATAATTTATGAGGGGCTTCCTCTGAAATTCCTAAGTATACATGTAGGAAAGAACCTTCATGTAGCTTTCCAACAGTGAAAAGACTATCACAACATTGTTTTAAATTTTAAGTTGATTCAAAGTTTCTAGTCCTTGTTGTTTCGTTCAAACAATTAGTTTTGTCACCGCTGTAGAATTCGCCGCACCTTTGCCCTGGAGTTTTTTGGACTTTAACTCTTCCATAGAAAGAGAACCTTGCTCTAGAATAGTAGCTGATCATTTACTGGGATACAGAGGCAAAATTTTCCCACCTTCCAGTGATTTACTCAGGCAGAAAGATAATACAGAAAGATAATTATCCACTAGATAATACAGTACAATTACCGGTAATTTTTTCATTTCTCTCGATAAATGCCTAAGCTTTATTACAACAGTGACAGCTTTTAAAGGGCACACAGTCTACTGAAGACTCAGAAGCTAAAAATGGACTTCAGAAGTATTCCCAATGGCCATGCATGGCCTAGAAAACTCTCCATAACTCCTATAGGCTACCAAACACAGCCTAGATTCTGGGTTGGGTGGTGGTGGTCTTTCTTGGGGTTTTTTAGCTTAAATATTCTGGTGAAGCCTAAAAAGTGCCCCCAACAGACCATGCATATTCACATGCAGATATCTGCCTAAGCTTGGGGTTTCCTTGGAATCTGGAATGTGTCCAACCTTAGTTAAGATCTCTCATGGTGTACAGCTGCATTCAGTTGTGACAACATGCATGGGCTTCTTATGTTAACAGACAAAAGATGCAGAGGAGCTGCTCTTCCAGTCACTTGCAGATGTTTTCTGGAGTATCCAGAGTTGCCCAGCTCTAGTCTTCATGGTACAGTAGAAGCTATTATGTTTCCATCATGAGGAATTTAACCACGCCAAAGAAAGCTAGCAGAGAGAAGCTAGAACATAGGATCTAAACCACCCTGATAAAGAACTTGCTTGGATCTCAGGCTTTTCAAATCTTTGTATCCCCTAAAACAGAAGCAGCCAATGTGGTGCCCTCCATCCCCACACCCCTAATGTGAGCTGGCAGTCCAACATCTGATGGAAGGTGCCAATAGTGACTACCCTTGCCCTAAAGCAGCCCTTCTCAACCTTGGGTCCCCAGATGTTTTTGGCCTACAACTCCCATCATCCCTGACCACTGGTCCTGTGAGCTAGGGATCATGGGAGTTGTAGGCTAAAACATCTGGGGACCCAAGATTGAGAAAGGCTGCCCTAAAGCATCAAAATGATAAAACGTCTATGAAGATCGTCAAGCCTCAAATTTAAGGATTCACCATGTAGAACCTGCTTGCTCCCTACTCTCCCCAATTCCAGCCTTTAATTACTGCTCAGGTTTTATTACAGTGTGCAACTTTTCCATCATGAAATCTATGACCAGCTTGATATACATACCTGTAGCTCCAGACACCCACTAGTCTAAGGCAGTTGTGGGGAGCCTTTGGGCCTCCAGCGCTGGTTGGACTCCAACTCCCATCAGCCACTGACAACAAGGCCAGTAAGTGAGAGGTGATGTGAGTTGTAGTCCAGCAATATCTGGACAGCCACAAGCTCCCCACCCCTGTTCTATTCTATTCATGTCAGATATAGGTGAGGTGCCCTATGGCCACAAGACAAGTCCTCTTGAATACCAAAACAAACAAAACATGCAACTCCAACTCCATCATTTGTTTACTAGCCTTTGGTCAAGGAGCTCACACATGCATTCCAGAAGACCAACTCACAGCCTGCTCCAGCTGAACTATTCCCTCTCCACCACAGGGCTACCTACAACCAACTGCTCTGTGGGAAGGATTCTCGGCAGACAAAAACCACCCCAGAGTCTACTCTGGCTACACTTCCTTCACTCTCCCATAGGGCAATATGGCTGGATGGGAAGAATTGTGACACTGATGTTGTTTATTATTATTATTATTATTATTATTATTATATGTGGTTGAATGCTTCTTGCAAGTTGCCTTTGAAGAATCGTTATCCTGAAAGGAGGATTTAAGGAAATGAGCAGAAGCCACCATATTCTCAGGGGTAGTCTCCAAATGTTCTTATACTGTACTACAATTCCCATCTCCCCTGACTATTGGGCGTGTTGTATTCCAACAACATGAGGAAAGCACCACATTGCCTACCCCTAGCATTAAATAAACCCTTATTTTGACTTTTCCTAATATAACTCAGTAGCTTTCCAAACTTCAATCTAGCGGAATCTAGAGACAGACAAGAATGGTTCACAACGTTTCAAAGTTTTCCCCTAAACAATATCTCTAGAGAATTCCACTCCAGCAGGCTCTTCTTAACTCCCTGCCTACCCCAAATAATCTACTGAACTTTGAAATATTAGATTCCCACAGATCACTTAATACCTGTTCTGCCTTCAACTCGACTGTCAAAGTTACCCATACTTCAGAGTTGATAAGGTTGGCAAACCACAAGAAAAACAGCATTTCTTGTGCTTCAGGGACTGCAATACCATGCATGCTAACCTGAACACAACAGCATATACTTTTTAGGAAAGATACACTGGTCTATACTAGATCTGCAGTCTAACAGGGAACCCAACAGGCTGCAATCATGTACTTGCAACATCAGAACCTCACAGCATCCATATCTATGTATATGCACAACCCACTTTTCCACCAAAGTCTTCAAAGGGCCTCTTCACGTTTACCGAAGTACAATGGATACACCACAACAGACACCTCCCCCACTCCAAAGTGTGGCCTTAAGCTTTCTTATCCCGAGGGAGATTGGCCCTCCTCGAGTCCTAACTCTCTTTAAAAACGGAGTAAGCTATACCACCACTCCAAAAACAAACACCGCCTGCAAGTAGGAAATGAGCCACATACATCTTGAACATTTATGTTGCAAGCCGCCCTGCGATTCTTGGATGAAAGGCGGCATATAAATTTAATAAGGATGAGCATACATACATATATAAAACACACCTACCGTCATGTTTAGCGCCCCTCCCCCCGCTCTCTTTTAGGCTCAGAGGCACCATCTTGTTACCTGCCTGGAAACCCCCTCCCCCCCCATCGGAAGGAGACCCTGCACCGCCTACCTGGCCTTTCGTCCACCACCTGCCCCCGCCCGCAATGCGGGAGGCGGGTGGGAAGGAAAGCGGGAGGGCAACCCAAGGCCAGGCCACGCCCCCTCCCCAAAGCCCCGCCCTTTGCCTCTCGCGGCGTCTGCGGCCCTTCGGCCCGCGCTCCCGTCTCTTTTTCAGAACGGCGGGGAGCCCTAGAAACCCCTCCCGCTGACGTCACCGCCGCGGCCGTGACGTCACCGCCGCCACTTCTGCCCGTTCGGCGCCTCCGGGCTCTTCCCCCTCCCTCCCCTCAGGCCTTTCTCGAAGTCACTCACCCACCTCCCCCTCCCCTTTGGCCGTTAGACCCCAGAGGTCTCTTTCCGGCCCGGGTCAGCTCCAAAGTCTTTCGCTCTCTCCTCAGACGCGGCCGCAACAAGCAACAGCGGCGATGCTAAGATGGCGGCGAACACTTCTCCCTCCAGAAGCTCCCCCCTCCCTTCTCCTTCGCCTCGCGGAGGCCCCAAAGCGCATGCGCGTGGACTCTAACGCTGTTGATTGGCTAAGAGCGGAGGAGGAGGAGGAAAAAGAGCAAGAAGGGTCGGGGGAATGGGAGGGAGGGTGTCATTACAATCAAGACGGCGATTGGTCGGGCTACGGTACGAAGGCGGGCTTTCAAGCCGTGATCTCGATGCTCACTCGATAATGGCTCAGGAACGTTTGCGGTAATGTTTTCCTTTCGCCCCCGCCCCCGAGTGGAACCAATGGTTGCGAGGCGGAGGTGGGCCGAAGGCGGGATATACTTAAAGGCGATTGGCCAAAACGACGGACGAACTGTGAGGACGACGTCTGATTGGGTAAAAGTGCGGGGGAAAATAAAGTGTATTGTTCGCCATGACCATCAGTATTGGCTGTCATTCCTCGAAGGAGAGGGGGCTCCTCAAGCTATTTAATTTTATGAAAAGCTTAGGAAACGGCACCCAATCGCTTGAGCTGATTGGACGGAGGCCTACATGGTGGAAGCGAATCCCTCATTGGCTGCTTCGCGGCGGCGGCAAGGCCTCTTTTCTGGTAGAAGCCAAAAGCCGCTGAGCTCCTGTGAAAAAAGATGGAACGGAGGGGGGGCTGTGCCGCGCAGTTGCCATGGCAACAGAACCAGAGGCCTGCTACGACTCCCGCGGTCCTACGGGCTGCGGTGGAAGCCAATCATCGCCCAGCCCGATCCAAGATGGCTTCTCTCCCCGGGGCACCTCTCGCTCCACCTTTAAACCATATAAAGTGGGGGACACATCTAAAATGGGACACCCAAGAGCCGTATTTTGTCACCCCCTTATCTTCCCCGTGAATCCTGCATCAAGCACAAAGGAGCCATTTCCTTTTAAATACCTTTGGGGGCAAAGGGCACACCACCAAATCAGATAAAATGATAATGGCAGCAGTACTTCATATAAGCTGCTCCTGCGGCCAGAGTGTAGCCTTATGAGGCTTTGCCCTCGGGTGGGAAAAAATATTGCGCCCAGGAAAGGGAGATGGGATCACCTTCCTTCAAGAGCACATATCGGATTTAAACTGGTTTGCAACTAGTTTTGGCGCTTGCGGGTCCACAACCCTGCCCAGCAAGGAAGAGCTGAAGCATTTTTGAATGAGAAACTTCCGCAGGTGCCTTGCCCTACATCCAGGGCCTACTCAACCTGTTTGGGCGCTGTGGAACTCCCTGCCTCTTGAGATCAAGCAGGTGCCTCCACTGTAATCTTTTTCGGTGCCTGCTGATGCTTAGGAAGTTGAAGGAATTTTAACCCGTTTTAGTATTTTAACTTTTGTATGTTTTAAAGTAGGGTTGTGATTTTTTTCCCTCAGTTTGTCTTATTCTTTGGTAAACTGCTTCGAGGTTTTTTCACAACCAAGCAGAGTATAAATTTAGGAAATAAAATAAAACAAGCCAGCACTGCATAGAAAATATTTTCATAACAACTGTTGGGTGTTCTGCTTGGTAAGACTGGAGCGGCTCTGGGATGCTTGGGGCCTCCAGCTGACGTGCATCCTGTTGGCCCTGGTTCCTGATAGACTGCCTCTGAACATGGAAGTTCTACTTAGCTGCGACAGTTAACAGCCATCAGCAGGGCTATCTTCAACTGGTTTTAATTGTTGTTTAAAGGCATCTAAGTTAAGACGTCACGACAGAAGATGGCAGCTAATTCCATAACAGTTGTATCGCTTTCAAAACCAGACGGCAGCTCCAAATACACATTTGTATGACTTTATTGAAATTTCACAGACCGGAAGCAACACATAGAACAATAGCAGGTGTTAAGAATGGACCTTTCCTGGACCTACACCCGCAACAAGGTTGGAGCCCCTCCAGGCCTCTGCACAGTCTCTGATGCTACTCTGAGTGGAAAAAGGATTTCTTGTGTCTCAGGGCTGACGGCAAGAAGAACTTGGTTAAGGGGAATGGACTTGACTCCTCTCATAGTCCAATGGTGTAGGAACGTCCTGTGGGGTTGTGGATGACGGAGCACATGGGAGAGACTACGGCCCACTCGTACCACACTTTCTTTGAGTTGCTGCAGCGCCAGAAGGCCACGCGAATGCGCTCACCTGCCTGCACATTCATGGGTTGCTGGGGGGGGGGGGAGAAGAGCATTAATAGCTGAGGGTACATACACAAACCAGGATAGCACCACCCCAACACAGTGTTATGTCAGGAACCTTTGTCCACAAGTCCCTTTTCCCTCAGCGGTTCCCTTCTCTTGTTTGGTTGTAAGTCATTTTGTGTTGCCTTGGGCGAGAGAGAGGTTTAAAGACTCTCTCGAGGCAAGTCTTTTAAAATGTTGCATAAACACAAACAAATGGGAAACACTGGCCTGCGAGTGCTCCAGTTGGAGAACAGCCTTTACCAAAGGTGTCATGGGCTTTGAAGACACTCAGGACGAAAGGGAGAAACGTGCAAAGAGGAAGGCACATTTGGCAAACCCTCACCATAATCAGTTCCCACCTGGAAACCTATGTCCCCACTGTGGAAGGACGTGTGGATCCAGAATTGGCCTCCAGAGTCACTGTTAAAGCTGTTTTCATGGAAGACAATCTTACTCAGCTACGAGTAATCGCCAAAGAAGAAGAAAGCACCTAATAATTTGAGAAATAATAAATAATTTCTCCGCTGGAGGCAGTCTACTAGGGCAAACGGGGCACTGCTCCATCAAGCTCAGCCTGTGCTCAGACAGTTCTCACCTGCCTACTCTTGATGAAAGCCTTGTGCTCTCAGCCCTAATCCTAAAGCATTAGGAATGTGTGGGCTAGCTGGGAGCATCCTGTTTTGTTATTTTCCCCCCAAATAGGTTTTCTTATAGATGTGAAAACCAATTTAGAAGAACCACCCAGTCCTACCACCACCAACAAAAAAAAAGGAAAAAAGTCAAAAAGAGATCAAAAGCAAAGAAAAGGTGTGTAAGAGGGCAGAGGCAGAGAGACAGTGGGGGAAGAAGTGGCAAAGACAGAGATGAGGAGACAGAAACCGTGTTGCCTTAAATAGCATTTGATTATCCTGGCACACATTGTTGTGTTTTCCCCCACTGAATGTAAACCTCCTACAGCTGTTCTTATCACCTTGGAGGTTCCCCTGGCGCAAAGTCTTACCGCCCAGCGGTAACAAGGGATGCCTTCCTCTCTTACAAGGGAGCGTTCAAGGAAGCACTTACCTTGAGAGGGAAGAAGATAGGGAACCAGGAAAACATGCCAGGTGAGTGAGTCTCAGGCCGAATACCTACGTGGAGGAAACATTGAAAAAGGCACATTCTGCAACATCAAAGCAAGACCGCTCACTCCACACCTTCAGCCTCTGAGGGGGCACACCTGGTGGTTCCCCACCACCTGGGCTTCTGTTGGCCTTTGCTAGGAACCAAACCTTCAGTGCGACACGTTCCCTATCCTGTGGAACTCCCTGCCATTAGAGGTTCAGCAGTAACCATTCAGCAAGAATGGCTCAGAACTGCAATACCTCAACACCGCCTCTCTCCCTATGAACCTACCTGGACCCTGAGATCATCATCTGAGGCCCTTCTTCGTGTGCTGCCTCCATGAGAGGCCTGAAGGTTGGCAACAGGAGAACGAGCCTTTTCTGTAGTGGCTTCCTGTTTGTGTGATGCTCTCCCCCAAGGAAGTTTGGGCTGGCACTTACATTATACACCTTTAAGTGCCGGGCAAAAATGTTCCTTTCTGACCAGGCCTTTGGCTGACTGACATCCAATGCCCTTTGAAATGTGTTGTGGAAGGGGGACTGTTGAGTTGTTTTTGCTCTTATTTTTATTATGTATTTTGTAGTTTTTTATATTGTAATTTTACCCCTATATCTACAGATATGGAGCGGTATACAAATTTAATAAATAATGTAATATTAATTCTTGCCTTTTGGGAGTCTCTAAAAAAAACCCCTATTATTCAGACAGGCCTTTGCAACACAAATTTATTTTTACCTACCAGTCGCTACTGACGTTTTAAATTGCTTTTGTTGCAGTTTTGTATGCTGCACACCGCCCTGTCATACTTTTCACAGGTTTAAAAGTATTTAAATGAAATAAATAACCCCCCTTATCTCCCCCTCAACTTACTGAGAGTGATGTCTCCATACAGAGTGGTCTCAAAGTAGCCTGCGAAACCGTGAAGCACTGTGTTTACATCCACGGGGAACTCCAGTGTCTGGTAGCGGTTGTTGTCTTTGACTCTGTCTACAAGAAGGAAGAGGGTGTGGTCAGCCAAGGCCACGCTCCCTCACAGGACAGCCCACCTTGCTCTCTTAAGGGCACAAGCTGATCGCCCACCACTCACCTGGTCTGTGCCAACCCAGGTTCTGTGGCAATTCAGTTTTTAAAGGTGTGACTAGCAGTTCCCCCCACATCGTGTGGCTAGTTGAAGCCCCACCCTCCTCAGCAGGAAACGTATGATTCGCTCCTCTGCTACCTGGGTTCTCCTACCTGGGTTAGGGTGCTTGAAGGAGAAGCATGCCTGCGGGGGTGCCAACTGGTGGAAGTTGTGAAGCCGGACAACGTAAGGCATTTCAAACTGAGCCTGGGGACGTGAAAGACAGGAACAGGACAAAACACTGTTAGGACATCGTTCTAAAATTCACCTTGCATACATAGGCGCCGACTGCTTGTCGTACTTGACAGAGCCATGTTAAAAGGTTTGCAATTATTTCCTCCTATTATTTGGGATGGTGGGGAGTGAGACAGTTGTACAAAAACTGTGTTAGGCCTTCTTCAAAAGAATACTGTCTTCCTTCGTCTGCTGGCTTCGTGGAACTTGAACTGACAAGTTCAAAACAGCTCAGTTCATGTCACTAATCTCTCCTGTCCCTATGGACCATGTCATTCCCCGTGCTCTTAACACTGATTCTTTTACGAATCTTTAACAACAAGTGTCTAGTCCTTACTGTAACAAGCTCTTCGCCTCTGATTACATTTAGGCTAGAAGCCAATCCTTATGGGGAAACGTTGAGAGAGCTGGGTGTGTTTAGCCTGCAAAAGAAGAGTCTGAGAGGTGATATGAGAGCCATCTTGTAGCAAATGGAAAACTAGCACATTTATTATGCCGTAAAAGCCATCAGTAACGAACACTGTGCAGTCCAGATGTTGTTGAACCACAAGTCCCATCATTTCTGGTTGTTGGCTATGCAGGTTTGGGCTGATGGGAGCTGCAAGTTCAATACTGACATAAGCTTTTCCGGATAAGAGTCCATTTCACGAAAGCTTATGGCCGTAACATACATTCCCATCTTCCAGGTGCTACAAGACTGTTGTCTTAGCTGAATTTAGCTGTCTGGTCTCATATCCTTCCAAATACATTTGTGTGTGTGTGTGGTATTGAAACAATAAAGGGGTATTTCTTTTTAACCGTGACCCAATGTTTTCATGCATTACTGGTGGTTAGGAAAACTGCCATTTTCTGCCTGTGTTATTCACAGAGATCACAGAATCCTGCTTTTTCAACATACACCAGTTTTTATTTCTTTTATGCATGCAGCAGCTGCAGAACTGCAGATCACGGGGCATGGAGAAAGTCTCACCTCGGGGTCGCGGTCTTTCTCGCGACAGACACGCACTTCGTTGTAGAGCTTTGAGGACGAGATTGGGCCCAGGAAGGAGGTGTAGTCGCCCGGGATGCTCACCCCTCCTTCTGTGTATGGAGAGAATGGAAAAGGCATCAGGTGTTTGGAATTGGCTGGTAGCCCCAACCCACTTAGCTGCTAGATGCTCAAAGCAGTGCTCCCTCCCCACTCAAAACAACCCCCCCAAATTATACTCTCCCTGTCCGTGGGCTGCCCTTTACTGTACCCCACTCACCTTTCAGACAGTGCTGTGCCCCATCCAGGCACTCTGGGGACAGCTCGTTGTCAGCAAAGGACCCCAGCAACTCCGACACCATGAGGTCAGCCTTCTCGGGGGCTTCCCACTCACGCATGTCGCAGGAGACCACCGTCACCTGGGAACCCCATTCCTCGTACTGCCAGCTCTCCAGCCTGCAGGAAGGGAAGGCAGAGGTCAAGGGCCTCAAACTGGCACAGTTTCACCCTCAGCTGCTGTTGCCCTCAGGTAGGTCCAGCTTGTAGGTCTCCCAGAAGAGGAATCTGGTTGGTCACTGTGAGAACAGGATGCTGAACTAGATAGGCCCAATTCAGCTGGGCTCTTCTTATGAGGCTCCTTAGGAGGGTCATAAAACACCTTGGTGTGCAGAGCAGGTTATCCCGACATTTCAATCCCACAAGGACATCAGGGAGACTCAAGGAATGGGCATGTGGACCCCTCAACCCCACTCAAAGGGAGGCTGGAATGAGTAACTGTTCCCAGCTTTTTCCTTCCCTGGCTCTTTGTTCTGGCGACGCCACAGCTCCACCACCTTTCCCCTTATTGCCACAATGCAAAACGAGGGGTTTTATAATCTGTGTGTAAGAATACAGAGGAAGCCCTGCTGGATCAAGTTACAGGCCCGTCTGGTCCAGTATTATCCTCTCACAGTGGCCAACAAGACACCTTGGAGAAGCCTGCAAACTGGAGCTTAACAGCACTGCAGGTTTTTTTTATTAAATTTTGTTTTACAATTTAGAATGCACATTTAAACAACCTTAAGATATCAATGACTTCCCTTCTCCTCTTTCCATGCATATGTTATATAAACTAAACCGTTCAGTATTCCATTATTACATCCATCAAAACTTACTTACACTGTTGAATTTATCTTTATGCTGCCAGTGTTTTCAAGTGCACACAATTTCCCTCCATATATTCAAAAAACATTTTAAAATCTTTACGAAGAACGAATGTTCTTCTTGTTCTCTTATTTTATAAGTTAGATCCGCAAGCTGCACATATTCCATCAGTTTTAAGTTGCCATCCTTCTTTGGTTGGGACATCGCTCGCTTTTCATTTTTGGGCTAAGAGAACACGGGCCACCGTAGTGGCATACATAAATAACCTTTTTTGACACCTGGGAATTTCCATCTGAATTATCCCCAACAAAAAGGACTCTGGCTTTTTTGGGAAAGTGCTTTAAAACATTTTTTTTCAATTCATTATAAATTATTTCCCAGTACTCTTTTACCCTTTTACAGGTCCACCACATATGAAAGAACATTTCCTCAGCCTCATTGCAATGAGCGCTTCAGTTTCTCGTAACTGGTAATCTCAGCAGCAGAAGGAGAGCCTTACTATAAGGGTTAGTAGCCATCAATAGCCTAATCCTCTGTGAATTTCTCTAATCCTCTTTGAAAGCCATTCAAGTTAACCGCCACGTTCGCACAAGGCTGAGAAGGAGAGTCACAGGAAAAGCAAACTTTTGCTGTTTCCCATTAATACATCTATACAGTGTGGACTGGTTGTGGGGGAGCCTTTGCTGTTGCTGTACTACAACTGCGATCAGGCATACTTGCTAGGGCTCATGGGAGTTGTAGTCCAGCAACAGCCAGAGGACCTCAGGTTCCCCAAACCTGGCTAGGACAATGCCATTTCCCTGGGGGCACTGTGAACTAAACTCCCCACTTGACTCACAGTATGAAGCCTCCTCACCAGTAAGGAAAAAACGAGTGTGTCATCAGGTCTCCCACCTGCAGCTTATATAGGGAATACGACAGGGTTGGGTGAGGCCTCTAAGAAGGAACAAAGCCTTTTCACACCTCATGCCACAATGACGTAATAGTATTATTGCTGTTATATTTAGTAACGGGGAGTGCAAATGTGCCTGTAATTATATTTCAGCAGCCTGCTAAAATCTATTGATTAATTAGGAACCTGCCCAAAGAATACAAACCAATGTACAAGGTATCTGCCTAGAAGCTTCCATTTTAAACTAACATATAATACAAAGGGAAGGGGGACAGAGAGGAAACCCAAGCCCTCCCTAGTTCAGAAGGCATTTTCTCTTCCCCAGTTAAGAAACAACAACAAAGAAGGGGGGGTGCCAGAGAGCAAAATTTGCACTATCTGTTAATCTGCAGACAGCAAAACATTCTAGATTGCGGTTTCCTGCATTATCTCCCATCTCAGTTCCTGTTTTGGGGCATTTGCCTGAGGCAATAAGATGCAATGACCTGCGGGGGACTTACTGATGCAATCTTATACCTTCAAGTTATCATTACCACCAACTATTGTAAAAAAAAAAAAAAATCTTTCAATTTGTTAGTTTGTCCAGGATGAAGAGCAGAGCCCCGGTCCTGTAAACCTTCCAAAATCCTGCAGTTTTCCAGTTTCCTTTTCCTCACAGCCAGTACGGGGGCCTGTGTGGGTTTCACCTGCTCTCCTCACAGAAGAGTGGGTACAAAACGTTTCTTTTCCATTTCCACCCAGGGGGAAAAAGGGCTAAAGTACTTACGTCACCACAGCATTGGGGTTTTTCTCCACAGCGTAAATCTTGATGTGTCTGTCGGCCTGTCGCGCAGCGCGGAGGGAAGCATTCACAAGGGGCCCCCGTCCTGCTCCAAGCACCATCACCACCCTGAGCAGATGGGGAAGGAGAGAAGGGAAAAAGGAGGAAGACGCTGTAAAGGTAAAGGGACCCCTGACCATTAGGTCCAGTTGTGGCCGACTCTGGGGTTGCAGCGCTCATCTCGCTTTATTGGCCGAGGGAGCCGGCGTACAGCTTCCGGGTCATGGGGCCAGCATGACTATGCCACTTCTGGTGAACCAGAGCAGCGCATGGAAACGCCATTTACCTTCCCGCCGGAGCGGTACCTAGTTGTCTACTTGCACTTTGACGTGTTTTCGAACTGCTAGGTTGGCAGGAGCTGGGACCGAACAACAGGAGCTCACCCCGTCGTGGGGATTCAAACCGCCGACCTTCTAATCGGCAAGTCCTAGGCTCTGTGGAGGGGTGCTAAAATAACAGGCAACTAAGCAGCTTATTCTCCAGATGGGGGCAAGATGGCTGACCAGCTGGAAAGAGCCGTTGACGCAGACCCCAAAAGCACAATAAACTCAAGGCCCACATACGTCTTGTGAGGGAAGGCCATTATCCGTGCTCCATTTCTGAAGGAAGTACGCCAATTCCCGCTAGGCCACGTTCAAACACAAGTTGGGCTTCTTCATTTTAACCAACACACGCAGTTGGATTTTTGACCTTTACTCCTCAGGAGTGGTCCTGCAGGGTTCAATGGTGTTCGCTCCCAATTTAAGTGTGCGCAGGAAACAGGCCTAGCGCTCCCGAACACAGTCTTCTCAGCGAGAGAAGAGTTAAAAGTGAAGGAGTGCCAATTTCTCTTAAAAACGAGAAACGCTGCTTCTGAACTGTTCATTCCTCTTTATTTATTTTTAATGTGCTACAAGAAACTGCTGGAGCCTGCGCTCAGGGCAAGACAGAGACAAAAAAGGAGAAAGCTTCATCAAACGGTGTGTTTCTCTGGGTGCACCCTGTGGTAGTTTTGATGTCAAGCTTTCTTGGAAGAGCCGGCAGTAAATTTGTTGCTCCTGCGGGTGGGGGGCGGCTTGAAAGACACTGTGCAGATCACAGGATCTGGGAGTTCAAGCCGAGTAAGAAGAAACAGGGAGAGGGCCCTTTTCAACTTATAATCCACATATATGAAAGGAAAATGGGGCAGGTGGTGCCAAACAGGAGTTTCATCCCCACTAAAGTGGCACCACAAGCTGAACAGAACTGAAATGGTATATTACCAAAGCTTCCCTGACCGCTCATCTACTACTGACCCTGCTGAAAACTTTTCTATTCCATCAGGCAGTTGGAAATACGTCCTTCCACAATGGTTAACCGATGTTTGTTGTTAACCTTTTAATATGTTTTTATTGTACGGTTCTATGCTTTTATTGCTTAAAACTTTTTTTATATGTTTTTATATGTTTTGTATTGCTTAAAATTCTTAGTTTTAGATTTTGATTTATGTGGAAATTGTTTCCCATTTGGTTGTGTATTTTTTTGATGTGATTTATTTATTGTTTACGGCTTTTGTAATTATGTAAATTTTGTTATGCTGTAAGCCGCCTTGAGCATTGTTTTTTTAACTGTGGAAAGGTGGCATACAAATAAAAATGATGATTTTATTGCTGTAAACAGCTTTGACGTGTGTGTGTGTGTGTGTGTGTGTGTGTGTGTGTACACACACACACACACACATATATACACACAAACACACACACACATATATACACACACACATACATACATACATACATATATATGGACATACTGATATAGAAATGTTTTTATAAACAAATATAACGTGGCAATAAATGGCTGGCTAAAAAGTGCCAAAGGGTGCCTCCCACATCCTCCCATTTCCCAGCATCCTCCGCAAAGGCGGTCAAATGAGGCCAACCCGGCTCATCGTTGGGATTCTTACTCACTGAACGTTAGTTTCTTTCTCCTCATCAGGCACACGGTCTAGGAGGCACTTGTATATCGCCTAACAGGGTGAGAATAATGGGTTGGAGTGCGTCTGTAAAAGCCAGTTCCTCTCCCCGCCATCGAGAACTAGCTGATAATGTTCCCACTCCAATCTCCCCTTCACAAAACACGTTCCTTGTGAGGCCTCCTCTCTCTAGACCAAATGTGGTGTCCTTCAGGCACTGCTGGACTACAACTCCCATCACCCCTGACTATTTGCCATCAGCTGGGGCTGATGGGAGTTGTAGTCCAACAACACCAGGAAGGCCCATTAGCAACCCTTCCCTCTAGTTTTCCCTCCTTCCCACAACATGTTGGCCCTTCAGTGCTCCAACCAGCTTCTGTGTTCCATCCAAGCACAAATATTTGGCCTGTGCTCCTCCCCACATACCCCTCGCCCCACCCTTTCCCTCCCCACTTCTTGGCTCTCTCTCATAGCTCCAACCTCCCTCTCAGCAAGCCCCACACCTCTTCTCCACCACACACCAACCTGTTGGTACTGGGAGTACTTGATAGGGTCCTTCTCAAACACCTCATAGGTCTGCGATTCCAGGTTGTCCATCAGGGGCTGCGCGGGGAAAAAGCACCACAAGGAAAAAGGCTTCGCACCCAGTGTGGGCAACACAGCAAACAAAGGGGCTGGGTGTTTGTTAAGGAGCAGGACTTCCAGCATTGCGGGTAAGGAAATGGGTGGATGGAGAAGACACACCAAAGTAACACACTACAGAGGTCAAATGGGAAGATCACAGAGCTGCAAGGGACCCCGAGGGAATTCTAGTCCAACCCCTGCAATGCAGGAATCTCAACTAAAACATCACCATCACAATTTATTAGCATCCTAAAGCATGCAGAGATAGATAAGACTATTTTAGTCCAACAACAACCTGGTTGTTGTTGGGCAACAATCCTGGTTGCAGTGGAAGTCAGATGAGGAAGAAGAGGCAAGTGCAAAAGGAGGCGTTGGCACAGGACAGCCCAACAGGGAGGGCCCCTTTGCCTCTATAGGCCGGGGGAGGGGAGGCAGTCTCACCTGCTCCCTGTCATGCCCCCACCCCCAGAGCAATTTGGGAAGGGCGCTGACCAGCCAGGAGAGGAGGCGCTCGGGAAACCGTAGCCAAGCAAGTTACGCCAAAGCAAAATATGTGCAGACTTCCTCAGTGTGGGTTTCTCACCAGGGTGGTGGGATTCAGCCAAAACACACAACAGTCCTCTTTGCAACATCTTTTATCTGATGCTTCTCGCACATCCAAAGTGGTCAGTTTTCAGAGGTGGACAATGAAGGCCGAGAGGGAGCAACTCGCGTATTGAGAGCTGGAGAGGACCTTGAAGCCAGGAGACTCACCTGCAGCGGGGACTGGAGATAGTCTTCATAGCCCTTTGCAAAGAGCTCGTAGGCAGAAGGAGGAGGGCGGTTCTGGCTCAGGTATTCCAGGTACTGCAGGTAGGAGCAGAACTCCTTTTCCGGATGGTGGTGGGAGCCTGTGATGATGAACTGCACCTCAAGCTGGGGGAAGGGAGTGGAAGGGCCAAGTTTATTTCTTTACATCCAGCCTTTCCCCAAGGAGCTCAAAGTGGTGTACAGGGTTCTCTGCCTCCCTCCTTTATCCTCACAACAACCCTGCGAAGTAGGGTCAGGCTGACAGTGACAGACCCAAGGTCACCTAGCCAGCTTCACAGCCGAGTGGAGATTTGAACCTTGGTCTCCCGTCTCTTAGTCCAACAGTCTAACCCCTACACCGTCCCGGCTCACACTAAAATATCCGCTCATCCACCCTGGTGACCCATCGCTCTGCAAATTATTGTTAGCGTTAATTGTGTACATGACGCTTCGGGGAACCTTCCCGGCCTGGCAAGCCAGTTCCTCACCTCCCCTTTGCAAAGCCTGCCTATCAATCATTTGATAGTTGACTGACACCTGTCAAAGTCCCGTGCACAGCACTTCGCAAATGCCTGGCAACCACCGGACTCTTGGGAAGTGCCATACAATAGGCTCTGCAAATCAAGCTCAGCTTTTACCAGCCCCGCATCTGACATTACGTCTAACGTGGAGCAGGGAGGCCTGGATTAAGCCCACATGCTGGATGTTCGCACCCCAGATCTAAAAACAGACCCAGAGAAACAGGGGAAGGCGAGGGATGGAGACAGGAACAAGCAGGCAAATAATATAAGATTATTTCAATCACAGGTTATTTTGGCTTAGCTAGATCTCCCAGCAGATGCCGGCTTCAACCTCACAGACTGCAAGTCCCTCAGGAGTTACCTGCCAGGCACCTGCTCTAGTCATACATCTTTTCACACGTAGAGCTAACGTTTTCTCTTCAGGGGGATTAAATTTAGCAAAATCACGTGGGGCCGTCGCTCAGAATTCTCTACTGCTAATTCTGCCCCCCCCTTTTATTCCTTGCATGCCCTCGCAAAAAGGAAGGCTCTCTCCCAAAATGGCTTTGTTGCAGAAAATGGCGCCCTAGAGAGGATGGCGTCGTGCTCTTTCCAACAGCCAGAGTTGTTCTGGGAAAGGTAGAGAAGAATTTAGACAGGTAACCCTTCACACAGGCGATAAACTCAGGGTTCCAGTGATGGAAAGAAGCAGGTAAGAACGTGAGAGGAGGCTGCTGGATCCGGCCAATGGCCGATCCAGCCCAGCATCCTGTTCTCAAGGCAGAAAAGGGGGAAGCTGACCTTCAGCAGGCGGAAGACCAGGCGCTGATGCATCTTGGAGAGGACAGGGAAGCCTTTCTTATTGGTCAGGAAGATGCTGGTGGGCAGTATGGCCGCTTTGATTGGCTCCCCCAGCCAGCGGTCAATGACGTGGTTGGACGGCAGGTCGGAGCCCACCTCCAGCGCTGAGGAGAAGGCACAAAAAGGTGTCAAAGGAAGAGAAGGGGCGCCAGTCTCTGCACCTTGAGGGTGCCATGGGGTGCAAGCCTCCCTCCCCCAGCCTCTGGGGGTGCCCCCCCCGTCTCGTCACTCACCCACGGCAACACGCTTGTTGTAGTCACACAGCGTCCGGAAATTGTGCCACCTGGAGAAAGAAGAAACTCATGTGGCCCCATGAGAAGGCTGGCATCCCCTGTCTCTTCCTCTGACCTGCATTGTCCTCTTCCCCTCCCTTCCTTCCTCTCTTTCTCCCTCAGGACTTGCTTACGCATCTAGTGGAATGACTGATGTGTTCAGGAGGTGAGTCAGAAGACTCAGGTGTTGAGTCTTGGGAGAGGCGAGCCAAAAGGGCAGCCACACTTTGCCACAAATGGCCACACGAATTGAAACAGCTGGTATTGAAGGATTGAAACCTTTTTTTAAAAAAAGAACACAGTATCTAGTTCTTCAGCAGCGTAACAAGAGTTCCAAGAATGAATCTGGATTCCGCTCCTGCTTTTAAAGAGAGACAATAACCTCTAGCAAGGTCAAGAGCCCTCGATTCACTTCTTGCCCAGTTTGGGATAAATGAATATGGGGTTATGGAAACCATCTCACTTCTGCCTTAAGTACTGGGCTGCATCCAGGTGAAAAAGGGCCTCTTTGCAATTGTTTGTATACAGGTTTATTTATGTATATGATTGTCCCAACTGTTCTCATAAATGAAATTATGTATTTATTGCCAAGTCATTTCAAGAGGTTTCATAAGAAGAGATTAATTGTTTTTTTTAAAAAAATTAAAATAAATTTGTATACCGCCCTTCATCCACAGATCTCAGGGCGGTTAAAATGAAAATAAAACAAACAAAACCTCAGCTTTAAAAGTGTGACTTGCACTCTGTTCTTATTCAGTAGCAAACTGACTCTGCCTTCCCAGTTTCCACCCAGGTTCCTGCTGCCAGCCAATTCCTCACTCACCACTGCCAGGTCTTCTCCTCGCCTGCGGACTCGTCCTCTATCTCCTGCACTGCTTCGTTCTCGATAACGTCATCCCGCAAGTCCTCAGGCGCCAGCAGTGGGACCCGCATCCAGAACTAAATTTGGGGGAGGGGGGAAATGATCACATGCATGAAGCAGGAAGGAAAGTGTTGGTTGGTCCTTGTCTTCAACAATGGCCTGAGTATATTGACAAAATCAGAGAATCGTAGGGATGGAATGAACCCCCAGGGGTCATCTAGCCCAACCCACCCCCGGCAATGCAGGAATCACAAGGAAAGAATCCCTGGTGGATGTCCACCCAACCTCTGCATAGAAACCTCCGTCACCTTCTGATGAAAGATAAATTCCGATGAAAGGTAAATTAGGGTTTTCGTTTTGGAAACTGACTTTTAGAAGACACCTGAAGGCAGCCCTATATAGGGAAAATTTCAGTGTTTGATGTTTTATTGCGTTTTTAATGTTTTGTTGGAAGCCAGCCAGAGTGGTTGGGACAACCTAGCCAGATAGGCAGCATAGAAATGTTGTTGTTGTAGTATTGTGTTTCATTGCATTGCTTTGAATGGCATTTATTTTTTCATTTGTACCAACAAACATGTGGCATGTCAGAGGGATGCAGGTGAGGTTTTTGCAGGTGTACTGTGGATCTAATGGCAGGGGGCGAAGTATTTGATGCCCTTACCATGGAAGTGTGATGCCCAGTATTGATGTGGTTACACAGAACGCGGGCCAAGTTGGGGTTGTCTGCCTGCTTCAGAGGCAGCAGGAACGCTGGGAGTCCCAAGTACGCCCCAAAATTCAGCTCCTGTAACATGGCCTGCGGAGGACAGAGAAAGCATAGAATAGCATGTAAAATTATTGCCAAAATCAAACTTGTAAAGATATACTGTACAGCAAAACTGGAGGAAGGTTTAGAATGGCTGGTGTTTCCTTTTTGAAAGGGCAATGCAATAAAAGAAAGGAAACCTCATTTTCCCTCCACAAGAACTCCAAGGATACAAGGAAACAAGCAAACAAGAGGTTCAGGGCAAAACAAAAGGAAGAACTATTGGAAATGGCCAGCAGCTAAGATGGCGCCCTCCAGATTTTGTTGGACTACAACTCCCATCATCTCTGACCAATGGCCACACCACACATGCTGGGTATGATGATAGTTGAAGTCCAACAGCATCTTAGAACAGGGATGCACAACCTGCGGCCCTCCAGATGTTTCTGGACTGCAACTCCCATCATCCCTCATCACTGGCTATGCTGGCTGGGGCTGATGGGAGTTGTAGTCCAGAAACATCTGGAAGGTAGAGCAGGTTGTGTACCCCTGGTCTAGAGTGTACCATATTGGCTACTCCTGGCTTAGTGGCTCAGGGCCTGCTTTGCATGTAGAAGACTAGAGATTCAATCGTCGGAATCTCTAGCTAAAAAAATATCAGGTAGCAGATCTGGAAGGAGACCTTGGAGAGTTTCCACCAATCAGAGTGGCTGATGCTGAGCTAGAACGACCAAAGCTCTGTCCCTTTATGCAATACACATTTAATTTATGGAATTCAGTGCCACAGATGTCATGACAGCCATTGGCATTATTATTATTAATTCAATTTATATGCCGCCCTTTATCAAATGATGCCAGGGTGGCATACAATATTATAAACACATTACAGAACATCAGTGACAAAAACATAATAAAAACATAGTTAAAAAGCATACAAATGTACAGCCTAATAATCAAATAATCACCATCTTCTGTCCCACAATTTTACAGGTCATAGATTATTTAATAGCCATAGGCCTGAGTATAGAGGAAAGTTTTTGTCTGGCGCCTAATGTACCAATGGCACCAGGCGAGCCTCTCTAGAGAGAGCGTTCCACAATTGGGGAACCACCACAGAAAAGGCCTGTTCTGTTGCTGCCACCCTCTGAACCTCTCTGGGAGGGTGAGGACATAGCGAAGGACCTCAGATGACAAGTGAAGGGTTGAGTCGGTTTGTATGGGGAGAGGCGGTCCTTAAGCTATTGACCAGTTACAAGTACCTGGTCAAAAAAAGGAAGCACATACTAATTTATATTTCAGACGATATTAGTTAGGATAGTTAGGACCAGGCATTCCCATGCCAGATACCTCCACTTTCCACATGCCAGGAACACACAGAACATCATCTGCTGAAATGTTTATTCAGCACGTCAACAATAAATTGAATTTACACAGATTTTAATAGACAAATCAGCATCCCCTGCTTATGATCTGGCTGGTCACTTCTGAAATGGTGGCCAAGACGGAGTTTTGAGTCTAACATGGCAAGGTAGTTTTTAAAGTCTTGGTGGACAGTTTCCCCCTCTCCCAAGCACTGCACGCAAACCTTTGTAGACCATTCTAGAAACACCTCCCAACCCTTCGTTGCCAAGCTCACTCACCGCCTCAGAATTCCTGCGAACCTTTTCCACGTTGGAGTCTGCTCGGATCCATGGGGACAGTTTGCCCACAATCAGGGTGTTCCAGTCTACAAGGAAGCAGGATGTCAAGGAGAATGTGACCATTCATTTGGGGGGAGACAGACAGCTTGTTCAGAGCCAATAGCCACAATGAGAATGCAGCTTGCCCTTTAAAACCAAATGAAAGCTTTTTTTCATTAAAAAAAAACTTGTACTACTCAATGGGTCACACAGTAACAAGTACTCAGTGACCTCCTCCTAAGGAACTATCTCCCCTCCCCAAATTTTTATCCAAATCCAGACCTCCCAGCATTTGTAGTGGAAAACATTTGTCTGAACTGGCAATCACTGGTTAAGGATATAGAGATGGGCATACAGTCGTACCTTGGATCTCAAACGCCTTGCAAGTTGAATGTTTTGGCTCCCAAACGCCACAAACCTGGAAGTGAGTTCTTTGGAACCTGAAGGTGGCTTCCGATTGGCTGCAGGAGCTTCCTGCAGCCAATCAGAAGCCGCACTTTGGTTTCCGAATGTTTTAGAAGTCGAATGGACTTCTGGAACAGATTCCGTTTGTCTTCCAAGGTATGACTGTACTTTTTATTGTGATTTTGTTCCTTTCTTTTAAACTTTGTTTCTGGTAAACTGCATAGAGGTAAAGTAAGTGAGATATATATATATCTAGAGAGAAAGAGAGTTAAATAAATAAAAAATAAACCAAAGGGCCTTCCCTACACCAAGCCCTTGAGAATATCACTATATTTTGACAAGTAAATAAATTCATTACTTCCCGCCCAGTCTTTAACGGACAGAGAAAGCAACAGCAGCAATCTGGGCTCCCAAGTTCTCACCTCTCCCCGAGAGCAAGAGGTCAGAGCGTGTCTGGGGTCCCGGTCGGTTTTTAGCTGGCTCCTGGAAAAACTCCCTCTTGTAGCGAGGGTGGAAAATGGGCATGCAAAGGAAATCAAACCTACAGAGTGAGGAGAGAGGAAATTGAGAAGTTAAGATCCTGGTACTGCGAGTTAAAATGGCAACACTGCATCCCACCAGCACCTGAGATATGTTTGGTTGGGATGCAGAAAAGAACCTTCTCTGTGGATGTCTCTGGAGTTTGACAAGGGAGTTGCATCTTAACAAACAGACCCCACATTTTCTATACATTTAAAACAGTATCATGCCACAGTTTGCAAAGGGTGCTGAGAATTGTCAGGAGTTCCCTATTCCCCTCAAAGAGCTACAATTCTCTGAGTGCTTTAATAAATCAATCCTTTTTCCCAGGGACCTCTGGAGGAAGCTATGTCTGTTTGAACTCGCATGATATAGCTTTAAAGTATAGTGCAGATCCACTCATTCTGTTGGCCTTCAATTGTTGTGCAAGACCATTTCCTTCCCACTTGGCCAACCAGGCAATTAAATTTAACCTCCCTGATAATGTTAGTTCACGTGCTACCTACTGCCTCTTCTCTCTTTAATCGCTGATTATTTCATGGTTTTTTGTTGTTGTTTTAACCTGCCAATCAAAACATAAGCACCTTCAGCATCTCTACTAATTGAAAGATGGGATAGCAAATGCTTAAAAAAAAAGATAAGCTGCCTGTAGTTTTTCTAAGTTTATTAATTAATGGATTAAAATGATTAACTAGTGGATTAAAATTTTAATACGGTTGTACAGCTTATACCAACATCCCTTCCCCATTTCTTTTCTTTTGGGGGATGATGTTATCTTTATAGTGGTGATAATCAACACTGTCTCCCGTGAATTGTTGAGTTTTTTCTATAGAATCCCTTGAGACAGAATTGAAGCTTGAGCAAGAACTGGGGGAAACGCTCACTTGTTGGAAAAGTTAATTTCTTTTCTCCTCCAAGGCCATCAATATGTCACTAACAATGGTCACATTAATAGCCAGGTTTCACCTATAGCTCTGCAGGTTCGTGACCGCAGGAATTTGACTGAGAAGAAATCTTACAATATACAGTACAAAGACCTACAAAATATATACGACGAAGGATGTAACTACAAAGCTAGAAAGTAGTGTCTAAACACAGCAACTCACCCAGATGATATCAAAGTTCATGGCTGGCTAGGTGGTTGCAAGCTACTTCCCAAACAAGGCTGAGGGTGCGGAAACTCACAGTTTAAGTGTTTCCGCAATGAATCATAGAGTTGGAAGGACCCTAAGGGTCATCCGGTCCAACTCCCTGCACTGCAAGAATCCTGCCCACAGCCATCCCTGGGTGGGCTCAAACAGCCAGACTGACCCACTGTGCCCTGCTTCACTCATCAGTGAGCTCAGTGGCAGAAATCAAGCAGAGTTGACACCACACCCTAGGGCAGCGGTTCTCAACCTGTGGGTCCCCCAGATGTTGTTGGACTACAACTCCCATCATCCCTGAGCTCTGGTCTTGCTAGCTAGGGGTGATGGAAGTTGTAGTTCAACATCTGGGGACCCACAGGTTGAGAAAGGCTGCCCTAGGGGAAGGTTCCTCTACGTCAGAGCTGGGGAGCCGGTGGCCCTCCAGATGCTGTTATAGACTCCAGTTGTGTCAGCCCCAGCCATGGCGGCCGACCCCTTGACTGGGTTACAAAAGCTGTAGGCCAGCAAGATCAGGAATGCCAAAGGTTCCATTGTCCTGATCTATGAAGCGGATGCAATGATCCCCATCTTTCTGTTCAAAAGTGGAACGGTCTCCCTCGGGTGGTAGTGGACTTTCCTTCACTGGAGGTTTATAAGCAGAGGCTGGATGGCCACCTGTCATGGATGCTTTAGATGAGATTCCTGTGTTGCAGGGGGGTGGACTAGATGACTCTTGGAGGGCCCCTTCCAACTCTACCATTCTACAATCTTCTATGGTAGGGGAGTCTCTGCCTGCTGGGAAGCTGTTGAAGCCACACAGAGGCAGCACCTTTGCATTCTCTGAGGTCAAGGGTCAGGTGGCATGACCTCCCCTGGGGTCAGAGGTCACCCCAGGGATCCTGAGTAAATGGGAAGGCATTAAAAAAAATAAATCAAAGCAAACCCAACCAGCCCTCAGCCCAGGATGATCCCAGGTGACCCGCAGGTAGAGGTCAGGGGTCACCATGGCACGCTTAAGGGAGGGGTCAAAGGTCAGCAGAGGACCACGTGGTCCCTCTCACCCCTGCCTGGCGACCGCTCCCAGGGTGCCCGCCACTTCCGGGACGCAGCTCAAGTCCCTCCCGCAGGAGACGCGCGCCGCCGCCGCCCCCGGCCCCACTGCGGACGCCGCTGCCGCCGCCATCGCCGCCGCTGCGCTCGCCGCCATGTCCCGCCACACAAGGAGCCGGGAGCCCGGCAGCCGCGCCCCCTTCCTCGCCCTGGCCAATCAACGGACGCCCTCAGAGGGGAAAAAATAATAATAAAAGGTCCAGCCAATCGCAGGAGGTCTTTCCCGAGCAGGACTGAGAGGAGGAGCCAATTAGACTCCAGGCCGGGGGCGGGGAAATAGCTTTCTAGCTCAATGAGGCTTCGGGGGAAAGAAATCGGTTTCCCATCATGCTCTTGGGTGGAGAGGCGCTTGTGGTCTTTTATGTTCCACTGATGTTAAGATCGGCATGCCTTGCTCTCCGCTCGTCTGCGGACTGCAGTTCCCGTCATGCATCGCGGCACAGGTTTTCAGTTGTTCGTCGCGCTCGCCCGGTGTAGCGTGCTCTATAGGGAAGGCGCTGTGAAGCTCACAGAACGTCCAAGGGCCAGTGGCGCAATGGATAACGCGTCTGACTACGGATCAGAAGATTCTAGGTTCGACTCCTGGCTGGCTCGAAAAGGGCGTAATTTTGCCCCCACCACCCAAAAAAGACACCAGTTTAGAATTTGAAAATTTTAACTAGGTAATATTATTGCCATTTAGGCATTGGCGTTATTTTACATCTAGCCTCCGCCTCATACTGCAGGGGGAATCCGCATAAAAATAAGCCTGCCCTAACGTGGCAGAAAGCTTTGCCCACAAATTATAAATAAATATTTTCATATGAACCCCTTAAATTTTATCAATATTTAAATACAGCAGAGAAAGTCCTAATTTTTCACACTGGGCTTAAACAATTGAATATTTCCTTCCAACATCATACTTGCATTTTAAATTCCCAAGCGATGAATATTTGCTTGCAAACTTAAGAAACCCTTTAGCTACTACTGGGAACAAGATAGAAAGCTGGTTTTCTTTAATGCAGTTAAATATGGGCTGCTGGCAGAACGCCCTTATTTGTTTTTCCTAAATAATGCAGTAGCTGAGCACATCATTGCTGAAAAGGCATCCCTTCTTCTCGCCTTCAATAGGTATTTTTTTATGCATCAAAGTTAGCCTCTTTTAAAAGCAATAACGCTTTAAAAAACATCAAACAACAAATAGCAACCATTACAAAGTTAATTAATTGAAGTTGTCTATGATATATGGAAAAATACTGCAGGTGTCTTATTTTTAAATCCCTTTTTACCAACAGCAGTCTATTTTTTATTTCTGCGTTTTTTAAATTTCTGCGTTTTTAATTTCTGTGTTGCACTGTATGGCTGTTTAGTAACACAAAATATATCAGGAAAACTGTCTATTCACAGGTCTGGAAGCAGATAGATAGATAATATTCATGTATTCATAATTCAGTTGAATATTATATTTATACGTGCCTTTGAAACCAACTGGCTCACAAAGCAGCTGAAAATTACAGTCCAAACAGCAGCAGAACAATTTATTTTCGGTACAGTATCTGGAGATTTTTAAGGCTCTCTTTCAGACCCTGGAAGCCAATACCATGTTCTGGGTTCTTTCTCCAGCAGGAGGCGCTGCAGATGGAGCTTAGGAGCTGGTCAAGATGCCAAGCCACAAAAGCCATCCTTCCACTTATCTGCACATTTCACCAAGTAAGAAAACACGGGGACAAACGATTGCAGGGTTTATTTTTTGCTTTTGGATAAAGAGCAAGCCAGGAAAAGCCACAAGGGCAACCACAGCAACTGCCGGTGTGATTCATTTGCTCTAACTAACAAAAGGTTTGCCGACTTCACCAACACAATGCGCAAATCTGGTCATTATGGAGGACGCAAGTGCAAGTTTTTCTTCTGGGAAATGCTAATGTTTTAGGGAACTCGAAATGGATACCACGAGAAACCCAGCAGTCTGTTCACAGGGCAGGGGAGAAAAGCAGGACCCAGGTGTCTATCCATTAGAGGGAAAGCAACAAAGACATAATCCCCGTGACGGGGTGAGCTCCCGTTGCTCGGTCCCTGCTCCTGCCCACCTAGCGGTTCGGAAGCACATCAAAGTACAAGTAGATAAATAGGTACCACTCCGGTGGGAAGGTAAACAGCATTTCCGTGCGCTGCTCTGGTTCTCCAGAAGTGGCTTAGTCATGCTGGCCACGTGACCCGGAAGCTGTACGCCGGCTCCCTCAGCCAATAAAGCGAGATGAGCGCAGCAACCCCAGAGTCGGTCACGACTGGACCTAATGGTCAGGGGTCCCTTTACCTTTTAACAAAGACATGTGAAGCCAGCCAGCCTTTCCTCCATACTTTATTGTACAAAACAGTCGTTACACACTAAACGGAGCAATATTCAACCAGTTCGTGCCCAAACAAGGCCTCAGTCTTTGCTGAATTCTCTCAGGGCCCAGCGCCTGTTTTCAATGATGGCTTGCAGCCGGGCATATTCCTTCACCAGTTCTTCGAATTCTGGGCCCAGTGTCTCATAGTTGGAGACGATCTTGCGAGAAGTGGCCAGGTCTTGCTCCTCTTGGCTTAGTGCCGCCTGCAGTTTGTCCCTAGAAAAAACGAAGAATGAAAGACTAGCGTGTTGGACGAGCTTTTGCAAAATCTATGCCAGAGACACACTTTTCCAGCCTCCTAGCAGCTACCCAAAACCCAGCTTCTTTCCACAATCCGTTCCTGTCCGTCCGGAAAAAAGTCAGAGTAGAGTCGTGTTACTGAGAAGGTACTTCCTATCTCCATAGGTAGCTGAAAGGAGCCTCTTCAGCGTTCTCTCTTTGTGCTTTCCAAGCCTCAAGAACAAATATCATTCCTTATATTTCTGGTATGACATATTGGTTAGAGCAGGGGTTGCCAACCCAGCGCCCGTGGACACCAGGGTACCTGCAAAGACTACCTTCTCAGCCTAGCCTGCCTCACAGGGTTGCTGTGAAGATAAAATGGGGAGGTACACCACCTTAAACTCCTTGGAGATAAGGAGGGATAGAAACATAATTATTTAATTACTGTATTATTTTATTGTTGTTAGCCGCCCTGAGCCCGGCTTCGGCTGGGGAGGGCGGGATATAAATAAAAATTTATTATTATTATTATTATTATTATTATTATTATTATGGTACTCAGGCTGTGAGTGCTATTGCTTTTGACAAAGCCAAAAATGGCACCACACACACACAGAAATGAGACGTATTGGCAGGCCTGGGGAACCCCACGGTGTACAAAAAAAACCCCCAACTAGAATGAAGACTAAGAATGCTCAGAGTGCCGGCTGACCTTGAGAGGTAGCGTATGGAGGAAGAAAGAGAATGAACAGAAAGCCAGCCAGGAGGAAGAATGGACTGGATCAGATGGAATCCTGAACAGCAACATTTTTGTTGCTGGTCCCACTTCTCCAATTCTCTATGTAGGGCTGGACAGAGACCACAAACAAGCAAGTTTCCTGCACTGCCGGGGGTTGGACTAGATGGCCCCCGAGGTCCCTTCCGACTCTACAATTCCATGATTCAATAAGATCTTGGCATTATCCTCTAGTGCAGATGCGAAGTCAGCAAAAGCTCTGCAGCACAACTCATCGTGGCTTAGGGTACCTCAGAGATTTTTTTAAAAAAATAAATAAAAGGGAGATGCCTGCCAACAAAACACCATTTGCTGGTAATCACCTTCCAGCTGCTATCTGTATTCACACCTGCCACAGCAGTGGGACCCACGGGAGTCTCTGTGTTTAGCTTTACGGACATAAATAAAGACTGGCCGCCTCAACACACACACACACACACACACACACACACACGCTTACCTCATCATCCGATGCACATCCACTTTCTCAGGCGTGTAGGTTTCCAAAAGGATGCTCAGCTCCTCGAGCCTGTGGCAGACAGAATTATTTGGAGGAGCAGGATTGACAGACACTAGAGTCCACTTCCTATAACGCCTCCCATGTACAGCTCTGTCCCTCACTCACAAATGACCACAACACTCCTAACCGCTCAGCTGTATCCGACTGTATACTCGCAAAAGGCCTGCTCAAATTAACAAATCCGAGTCAGTCACGTCCCGTTGTTTCAAAGGGTCTGCTGCGAGTACGACCGACGTTATGCGCAAACCAAAGTTGCAAAGCGTCTCCTGGATTCTAATTCTCTCTTGGGAACTACAGAAAACCTCCCATTATGACCTTTAGGGACATAATGACTTGCTACCCTATGACAGACAGCCCAGGTTGGATACAAGGCAGATCACTAAACCATATTCATCAGACAGATCTGATCTGGGTGAGCATAGGCAGTTGCCTTACACCGAGTCAGACCATCGGTCAATCAGGCTCCATATTGTCTGCACTGACCGGCAGTGGCGTTCCAGGATTTTCAGACAGGGTTCTCCCCGCACCCTACCCAGAGATGCCACCAGGGATTGAAGTCAGCATAGCTTACTTGTGCTGAGGAATAAACCTTATCAACAGAAGGGTGTCAGGCTTTGGCCGTAGATAAGCAGGACAAAGCGAAAAGATTCGCTTACCATTTAAAGAGTCTTTAATGATCACAGCAAAAGAACAAAGCAGCCATTCTCGGAGCGAAGGTGCTCCCAATTAAGGTTTTCACCCACTTTCCCCCTTGTCACTTCTATGCCTTGCAACCTGATCTTGCAACCACTGTGCTTTTTGTGTGGCCACCTTATCTGCTCTACATGACCTTGGACTGATAGGCTGGACACTTTCCAGTGAGAGAGAGTCTGTTAGCTCAGACTCTCTCTTTGCTGTTCACCCCCCAGTACGTCCCAACTTTTGTCTTCTGAACTATGCCCCTCAGCAAACCACTGGTCCAAATCTATACTGCTCCATTGCTCCTGGGCAGCTTCAGGATCCTGGTCAGGAGCAGGGGGAGACACAGGTAAGGCCTCACCGTATCTTGAAGAACATGGCATTGCACTTGGTCTCCAGGTACTGGGTGCTGAAATAGTCGAGTTCAGACTGAGCATTAAGGCGGAGCTCACGGGCCAAGCGTTTCAGGATGGCCAAGCAGCGTAATAAGACCTGCGGCACATGGGAGAGTGAAATTAGTGCTTAATCGATTAATCAGTTGCTTGCTACGTTAAGACTTTCTCAGCAACTTACGAAGCTTTAAAAACATAGGGCTGTGTTGGACTAAACCCTGATCAGAGCATTGAAATTAATGGACCTAACTTAAGTCATGATGTATACAGGCAGAAGCGAAGTCTGAACGAAAAGTCCAGCTTGTTTTCATCAGCCAAAAATGAAGTGACTCTGTTTGATATACAAGGTGTAAATATGCATATTTAGGCAATGATAAAGCGCAATGTTATCTGGCAGAGGCATTGATTCATTTTAAAGATTTGCTGTAGGGCTAGCAACACATTTATTTCCAGGTTATTTACTATTTACCTGGTTACTAATTATTCAAGAGAAACAGGGTATTTTGCACTTTAAAAAAATCAAAGCAGTCGGTTGTCTCCAACATTTTTGGAATGCTCAGAAAAAAGATTGGACTCGTTGAAACATTCTGATTTTTTTTTTAACAAGGTGCTCCACTTACACAACAAGACTTTGCTTTCCTCTCCTCTCCCCATGTCTCCCAAAACATGTCCTAAGGGGTCCCCTGTCCTTCAGGAGCAAATTTTGAGAGAGGGTGAGCACAAATGAGAGGTGGGAGAAATTTCATTGCAAAATATTGTTTTTAACTATGTTATCAATTTTATTCTCCCCATTACACACACACACACACACACACACACACACACACACAGTGTTTTAAACTGTGCAAGCTGAGTGAATATATACCCCTTTCTTCCTTATTTGCACATTTTTCTTGGCAAAATGCGCACAGAGACTTCTGGCACGCCTAAAGCCCACACTGGCAGACTTCCCTCCTCCAGCTGTTACCTGGGGATAGGCAGCTTTCTGCTGCTCCAGCAACCCCACCAGTTCCTGGTGCCGAGCCTGGCTTTCTCGCAGGCGCCGCTTCTCTGCAGCCAAGCACTCTGCCAAGGTCCCCAGCATCGCTGCCCGTGCAACTTCTCCAGCGCCATCTGAGAAGAAGAGGGGTCAGGTCAACAGGCAGCCCTGACCCACACAGCACCCTTCAATCCCCCAGAATTGTCATGGGCGTTCCCACCCCACACACACCTGCAGGGGGCTCCCCCCATTTGTATTTCAAGTGTTTGTACCCTGCTCTTCAGCCAAAAAAAGGCCCTCGGAGCAGTTCGTACACAATCCATTAAAACTAAACGGTCCCTGCTGCCCACAGGCCTACAAACTCGAAAACACGACACGCGAGGGAGAGGGGACAGGGAGGGAAGAGGGGGAAAGCAAACTCAGGCAGCGCTTCCTCCGATAATGACCAGCTGGCGCAGAAACAGCTCAAGGGCAGAAGGCGCCCGCTGGAGCCGGTGTCTCGGCAAAGCTGATGGAACGAGAGAACCTCTCCTGCTAAGGCAGCCTGGGGGGAAGAACAGCATCTCACCACTCTCAGGGAGGTAGTAACCGAGTACGGCAAGGCATTTGGACTTAAGGCGTTTCTCCAATTCCGCGGGGAGGTGTTTTCGCATTTGCTCCAGCTCCTGTGGCAAAGCGCAGAAAAGAGAGGACTATAAATGTGAACGAGCTTAACTGTCGCCGGGGATTTTTTTAGATTGCTTTCAGGTAGCGTTGGGCACATTGGATCTGTACATCAAACACTCGCAAACCACGTCGACTGAAGTAACAGGGAGAGAGGAGATAAAAGCCCCTAAAGGAGCATCCCCTCATGCAGTGACCATACTAATAGTAATACAGTGGTACCTCAGGTTACAGACGCTTCAGGTTACAGACTCCGCTAACCCAGAAATAGTACCTCGGGTTAAGAACTTTGCTTCAGGATGAGAACAGAAATCGCGTGGCGGTGGCGCGGCAGTAGTGGGAGGCCCCATTAGCTAAAGTCGTATTACAGGTTAAGAATAGTTTCAGGTTAAGAACGAACTTCCAGAACGAATTAAGTTCTTAACCTGAGGTACCACTGTAGTTTATTATTTATACCCTGCCTATCTGGCTGGGTTTCCCCAGCCCCTCTGGGCGGCTCCCAATAGAATATTAAAAAAGCAATAAAATATCAAACATTAAAAACTTCCCTAAACAGGGCTGCCTTCAGATGTCTTCTAAAGGTCAGATAGTTGTTTATTTCCTTGACATCTGGTGGGAGGGCATTCCACAGGGCGGGCGCCACCACCGAGAAGGCCCTCTGCCTGGTTCCCTGTAACCTCGTTTCTCGCAGGGAGGGAACCGCCAGAAGGCCCTTGGAGCTGAACCTCAGTGTCTGGGCTGAACGACGGGGGTGGAAACACTCCTTCAGGTATACTGAACCGAGGCCGTTTAGGGATTTAAAGGTCAGCACCAACACTTTGAATTGTGCTCAGAAACGTACTGGGAGCCAATGTAAGTCTTTCAGGACTGGTGTTACATGGTCCTGGCGGCCACTCCCAGTCACCAATCTGGCTGCCGCATTCTGGATTAATCGCAGTTTCCGGGTCACCTTCAAAGGCAGCCCCACGTAGAGCATATTGCAGTAGTCCAAGCGGGAGATAACTAGAGCATGCACCACTCCAGACTAGTAGGCCTTTCTTTCTTGAAATATAGCTTCACTCACACCTAGTTTGGTGATAAAAACATGGATTGTGGGGGTGGGAGGGAATACCACTTGGAAGCATTTTTAATTTTTCAAAGGCTCTAAGAGCTCCCTTAGAGAGCTAAGATTCCCAGGGTTTATTGAGAGGAAACGTGGCAAGTTAAGCCATGTTTTTCTCTGCTAAAAACGCACCTTTTGGGGGAGGTGGAGGTTTCATGTTGGCCCTGCCTGTGTCCTGGGACAGGATCTCTCATATATTAGCCACTGCCCTACAGATGAATCTTCACCAGGCACCCCCAAACTCAGCCCTCCAGATGTTTTGGGACTACAATCAGGGCCGTCTATAGCATATGCAGTGCCGGGATACAAAGATCCCCCCAGCGTCCCCAAATGTTCATTTTGCTGCTGACGCCGCCACCTCCCAAGCAGTAATAAATGCTACTTTCACAGAGGGAAGACTGGGGGTGTGGGGTCAGGGAGGGAGATGCTGCCTTCCCGCAGGGGAGCCTGGGGGTGTGGGGTGAGGGAGGGAGGCTTGGGAAGGAAGCTGCATGCCAGCCAGCCATATAGCTGGCGAGGCACAGCTGGCGGGCGTGCAGGGAAAGGGGAGGCTGCTGGCAAAGCCGTGCAGTTCCCCACTTGCTAGGGCGCTCCTGAGAGGCCAGTGCCCTGGCGCAACGAACCACTAAGCCCTATGGGAAAGACGGCTCTGACTACAATTCCCATCTTCCCTGACTACTGGTCCTGTTAGCTAGGGATGATGGGAGTCCCAAAACATCTGGAGGGCCGAGTTTAGGGATGTCTGATCTTCATGCACATTAAGCCTATCCTGAACAGGAGGGAAAGGCCATTCGGGGAATAACACGCCCTCTTTTAGCAGTACATTATAAGTTTCGTAACGCGATCTAAAAAGGAAGGATTGGGCCTCTACACTTGGGTCTCTCAACAGCTCTACTTGTGGGAAATTCTCCTGCTTATGCCCATCTTACTTGGTTAGGGGGAAGAAGCTCCTGTAGATCAGAGGCCTCCAAACCCAAAAGAGATGGTTGTGTGTCTTGCAGAGAAGGGCCAAGATCAAGCATCCGTTTCAGCTCAGCTACCGAAAGCTGTTGCTCCAGGACCTCAAGGAACTGAGGAACAGAAATGAAAGCCCCTCATCAGCGTCGCCAGACCTTCCACACACACAAGGCTTTTCTCTGAAGCTTGCATAACACCATCACATTTCACTGGTTCAAGGCTTGATGTTCCCATTTATCACCCCATGTTTCTTTCCCCGACAAGAAGCAGCCAGGAGTTGACCTGCTCCTCTAAACGGGCAGAATCTACCCAGACAAAGCTTCATCACTTCATTATAAGAACTGTAGGTTTAAGCTCGTGGGCTTAAGCTTGCTTCTCCTTTCCTCTCTCTCCCATCCCATTTTCCTCATATGTCACGGGTTTCTTAGATAGTAGACAGGCAAGATCATCTTAGTACTCATTTCTGTAAGCTACCAGAGTCTTTCTTGCTAAAGGGCACGGTGTAAATGCCTTAAACAAACAGAGATCTCGCTGTCTGTTTCTGAGCCTTGTTAGAGCGCTCCACGAAGCCACTTCAAAAGCCGATTATAAGCACAACACCATTTTTCTTCAGTAATGCTTATTGCCAAACGCTTTAGCCAGCCTTTCTCAAAGCTCTCTGCCTACTTCCAGATTCCTGCCGACAGCCCTCACTCACCCTCCAATTCCCCCCCCCTTCCCACTGTTTCCCTTCAAGCGTTACTTTTTGGTCCCGTGGAGACAGGCCAGTTCCCAGTTCCCTTAGCGCCTCCTGCAGAAGCCGATGGACCACTTCCCATTTCAACCAGTTTCCTCGGCACCGCTGCAGTTCCTTTCTTGCCTACGAAAAAGGAAATGTGTGGCCATGGGGATGGGAGGAGAGAGAGACAGCAGTGAGGATACCTCCTTAATAATAAAATAAACACACTCTTACAGTCATCCACTGCTGTACAAATCCTGCATTAGGCAATGGCGGAGGGAGAGAGGACCAATGCAGCTCAGAGGAAAGCCAAATCACGCAACCTGAATTCTATATAGGGCAGGGCAAACAAGTCTCATGGGGCTGGGCCTCTGAGCCTTGCCCATAATGGCTAGTAACCATCAGTAGCTGTTTCTTCCCCGAATTTGCCTAAACCTCTTTCATAGCCATCCAAGTTGATAGCCATCACTGCCTCCCCGTGGGAGCAAGTTCTATAGTTTTAACTATTCACTGCATGAAGAAATACTTCTTCATTTACCTGCCCTGAGGCGATCAAAACTGTGGACAGGATTCCAAATGCCGCTGCACCATAGATTTATACGAGGGCATTCTTTGCGTAGCAGCACAGCTGAGAGTCGGCATGTCAAATCCCTGCCACTTTCAGGACTCAAACGTCTGTCGCCATCAACCCTAGAATCTTACCGCGGCAGAGCCAGAAGGGACTCCCTCCCTCCTAAAAACGAGAGGTCGGATTTGCAGTCTGACGGCTTTTATTGTCCAACACCGTGGTCACGAAGCACAGACTAGCCTGGATGAGACAACCTGCTCTTACCTCCTCCATTTGTTGTGCCAAGTGTACACTGAGCCCACTGGAGTCCATATGGCTGGTCAGGCCCAAAAGGAGGTTAGCCAAGCCAGGATAGGCAGCCAGGTCCTCATCGGTGAGTGAGCAAGGGGGCAGGCAGCTCCCACAACCTGTGGGGACGGGAAACGACAAAAGAGAGTAAAGCTCTGCGCCAGGAGCAGAGAACCTTTGTCCCTCCAGATGTTGTTGAACTACAACTCCCATCAGTCCTGGAAAGAATAGCCAATGGCCAGGGATAGTAGGCGTTGTAGTTCAGCAGCATCTGGAGGGTCAAAGGTTCCCCACATTTGCTTTACGCCTTAGTCTCCCCTCAAATAACCCCAGTGAAGTTACCTGGCTGCCGCAGCAACTGAACACCGACGGTCCCTAAGGCAGATGCCATTGGCCCTTTACCAGGGAAAATCAGCTAGAAAAGAAAAGGGTGAGATGAGAGCTGTTAGCAGGCAGAAAGATAGACAGGTCCCTCGGGGGAAATATATACTTGCTGCCATACAGAATCAGCCCCTACTGTCTTGTGTGGCAACAAGCAAACCTGGAAGCACAGCTGGTCTCTGGCATATCAGTGCTGGCTGAAGAAGGACTCTATATACCTCTGCCAGCCAGATAAGCATATGTAAAAGGTGTCAGTGGAAGGGAGGGTTATGAGTTTGTCTCAGGCCAACTTTAGGAGATGCCTGTTGGAAGTGTGCCCCAACATATGTATAGGCACTGCTATGGAGGCATCTACTGCACAGGAATACATAAACTCCTCCCCTCCATCACCCCCAATTTCAGGAAAGTCATGCTAATCCCTAAAGGAGATGCATACATATGCCAAACTCCAACCTGACACTCTAAACTGAGGAAGACCATTTTTGTTCTCTCCTTACGGAATCGGATAGTTGTCAAGTTAGAAGGGACCTCAAGGCTCATCTAGTCCAACCCCTGCTTAAAAACCTCCAAGGAAGGAGAGTCCACAACCTCCCAAGGGAGACAGTCCCACTGTCAAAACAGCTCTTACTATCAGAAAGTTCTTCCTGATGTCGAGTCGGAATCTCCTTTCTTGTAACTTGAACCAAGTTGGTTTGGGTCCTACCCTCTGGAGCAAGAGAAAACAAGCAAGCTCCAGCCTCCAGGTGTCCCCCATCTTATATTTGTGCAGCTGGTTCTACCTGTCATTTGTCCCTGTTGAAATTCATTTTGTGAGTTTGGGCCCAGCTCTCCAATCTGTTAGGGTCACATTGAATCCCAATTCTCTCTTCAGCGGCATTGGCTACCCCTCCCAGTTTGGTGTTATCTGAAAATGAGCATACTAGGTCATGCTAACCTAAGAAGCATCCTTGAACATCCTCATCGCAGAGATTGTGCGATCCTGAGGTAGATCTACTTTAAGGCACCCCGGTTCATTGGTCCTCCTCTTGCCAATCCCACGGTAAGCCTGAGGAGAGTGTCCTTTCCATTTGCTCTCCCTCAAGGTGTAGGGCAAGTTGAGGGAGACATATGCTGCTGCAGCCAATCACACTGACCCCAAACCAGACTCCTCATCCCATTGTCCCAGAATGCAACGGGGCACGCACCAAGCTAAACAGCCCATCCTTTGCACAGACCCACCACTGCCATCCCATGCCACTCCCAGCCCTGTGCTTGAGGCAACTGGTCTTCAACTGGCAGGCCAAGGAGGCCACAACAGCAGCACTGCCACCATACAAAGATATGGCAGAAGAAAGAAATGGGTCCTCCCAATGCGTATAAATAGGATTTTAGGCGCTTCTTTCCAGGAAGGTCATTGCTTTCTGTGGGGAAAGCTCCACGGCCTTAAAAATCTGCGAGGCAGGCAGAAATTCAACTGGTGCAGTTTCCCTTTAAAACGAAGAGGGGAAGCTTCACCGGTTAAATGTCTGCCTGCCTGGTGTAAAACAGTCAAAAAGCATGTGCACCTTGCCATATATGGGTTTTTTTAAACCCACAAACACCCCGCCTACTCACCCCAAAAGCCCATTTTCTTTGCGAAAAGTAGAAATTAGCGTGAGTTAAACATCGAGGCACACCAAGATGCCCCCCCACCCAATTCCGCGCTCGTTTCTTTTTTAGGAAAAAAGTGGGGGTTCCGCCAGTGACGTCACCAGAAGCGTTCATCTTTCCCCACCTTTTCTTTCTGCCCCAGGGCTCGATCTGCACACGGCCAAAACACGGCTTCCAACCGTCTCCCCCGCGCGCCCAGCAAAGCTAAAGTTCGAAGAGGAGGCGGAGCCACCTACTTGGGGCGCGCCTTAGAAACCGGAAGCCAATGAGGAGCGGCGAGAAGAAAAGGAAGGCGGGAGGTTGGTGGCAGAAAGGGCGGGACCTCGTCCGCTTATTTACATCCCGATTGGTCTGTGTCTGCAAACCGCCTTCGTTGGGCGCTTTTAATATTCATTCTGAATCTTAAGGAGGGCTTCGCCCGCTGGGGCCGATGGGAGTTGTAGTCGTAAACATCTGGAGGGGCTCAGGCTGGCGATGAGTTTTGTTTTAGTCTATTCTATTCTATATAACATTCTGTAGATTGTGGCTGTAGATTTTTTAGTTATAATTTTTTTTTGTAAACCGCTTTGAGTTCTTTTCTACAATCTAGCAGTGTATAAATTTTATATAATAAATAAAAATTCCCAGCCAATGCTTTTAATCTGGTTTTTAAATTGTATTTTAATCAACTTGTTTTTATTATTGGTTGTTAGCCACCCTGAGCCCGGTCTTGGCTGGGGAGGGCGGGGTATAAATAAAATAATAATAATAATAATAATAATAATAATAATTATTATTATTATTATGTTTTGCACAACTCCCAATGTTCTTTCTCTGCGTCCCAAGCATCACAGATGCACCTCAGGACTTATTGGGGAGTGACACACTGACAACAGAACAAAGGGCTCCCTCTTTAATAGTTTACTTGCAAGCGGGAATTTTGTCAGGGCATCTGGTCATGTCACAGCACTGCAGAAGTGAAGAAAGCTACACTCAAAAGATTTCTCTCTCCTAGTATTATCATTATTATTCATTTTATTAGTCATTTTTTAGGTCACACCAACTCAAAGCCAGTTACAATATTTTAAGCAAAAGCCAAATACCAACCTTTTCTAAATAAATAAACCATATTAAAACATCCCCACTCGTGTAAAAAGGCCACAGATAGTTAAAAGTCGAAGGCCTGATTAAAAAGGAATGTTTTTGCCTAAAAATATGCAACAACGGCACCAGGCAAGCCTCCTTGGGGAGAGCATTCCTACAACTATTAAAGGTACAGGAGTCCCATCTGCTCTTTTTGTACCCAGCCATCATGGCAGGATATAGGGTTAGCCTTGAGACCAGATGCCTTAGTTCTTCCTCTGGCACAGACCGATTACCCGAGAGACTTTAGGAGAATCACTAGCTCAGCCTCAGCTTACCCTGTTTGTAAAATAGGTGTATTCTATTAATGTACCACCCAAACATTTTATAGCAAGCTTTTGTTTATTTTTCCATGGGGGGGTGTCTTATGGGCTCAATGTGAACCACTATGAGATTCAGCTTGGTAAGGAATTCGTTACAAAACTGTACAGCACTGTGTACACTAGAAACTGCTAAAAAGTAGTGTGTATACATGTAGTAGCTGGTAGTGGGAGGAGTCCACTTTTCCCATTACCTTAAACTTGCCTTGTGAAACCAGCCTAAAACTCAGTTGTTCCAGTATTGTTGCCACCCATATGACAAGGTGATGGCTATGCCTAGCATCTGCTGTTTTAACTGTCTCTGTCCATGGTAGCTTCTTTTGATTGATAGGTTTTGCAAGACCTCTCTCTATAGATTTCAGTTTGTGTTTGTCTGTGGAGCTGAGATTCTATCTGGACCAGGAAAACATAGCCAGGGGACAGCCGTTAGCCCAGATCAATTAATGAGGAGTTTTACAAGTGTGTTAGGTGCCTTATGCATACCTAAGATTTTGAAAATAAGAAGTTGCCTCTTAGACCACCTACCCCTGTGCTCTAGGTGGCAGCGTATCTCCATTCCAATGTTCCTGCCAGTGTTATTTCCCATCACTGGAACCTGATCTTTACCAGTGACCTACTGTCCCATTCTTTCAATGCATTCTCTTATGATCAGAATGGAGTTTCTGATTATTGCTTGTGACTGTAAATAGAGACAGATGGATTGTCATAGAAACCAAGATACAGGGTCATGGGTTACAGAGAGCAGTGAGTGTCGAGAAAAGGAATAGAGGGCTGCAGCAAGCATAATAACACTGACCACTCTTACACTTTGCTTTTTTCTAGATCAAACAAAGACTGATAACAGGTGTCTGCCCAGCCAGAGAGGAAAAGGACTATCCATCCTTTTGTACTATCTAAAAAAAGCCACTAGAGGACAGTGATGGCTCAATAAATATCCAGTTTATGCTTTTGATACAGTAGTATGCATAAGGATGGTACTGTGGCCCTCTTTTGGGGGGCTGCTTTGTACCAATGTCTCCACACCTGACAGCACCCTCTAAAATATGTTTCTCATAAGTCCATCTATGTACATAAGAACGTAAGAGCTTGCTGGATCAGGCTAATGGGCCATTTAGTCCAGCGTCCTGTTCTCACAGCAGCTAGCCAGGTGCCCGTGACAAACCCACAAACAGGATCCAAGCAGAAGAGACCTCCTCAGAAGCATTACGGATTCTAGCTGTGGAGGCAGAGCATAGCCATCGTGGCTAGTAGAGCCAACAACAGCCTTTTCCATAAATTTGTCCAATCCTCTTTTACAGCCAATATTAGTTGGTGGCCATCACTGCCTCCCGTGGGAGCAAGTGCCATAGTTTAATGACAGGTCAGTGGTAAGACTGACACACAGTTAATTTGAAACAAATTCTTTTAAAAACTTGAGCCGGGCAAGTCAACACGTACTTTTACTTAGTAAGAACAATGAAGAGTCTCGTGGCACCTTAACACACTTATACTTTTGTGAACTAGAGTCCACTTCATCAGATGCATGAAGTGTTAATGACGCTTCGCTGTTTTGGCTGCAACATTCTAGCACAGCTAATCCTCTGGAAATTAATTAGTGTACATTTGTGTGAATTAACATATGCAATTTTTTTTAAAAAAACCAAAAAGCCTGGTGTTTTACCACTGGTAAAAGAGATTTTTTCCCCCCTCCTGTTGTAGGGGACTTGGAGTTTGACAATAGAGAACCATTCCTGAAACCTAGCAAAGGGGAAGTTATCACAACAATGCAATAATAAAATCCAGGAGTGTTGTTTCTTAGCTCTTCTTCGTGTTCCTACACAAGATTTTTACTCTTCCTGCAAACGAGAGGGAGGCATAGGAACTCTGAAAGTAGGAGGGAGGTTTATGAAGGAATAAAATACACACCTGCCTAATGTTTTCACAGATACAGGTAAGAACAGTCAACTTGGTATCACTAAATGTTTCTAATTTAAAAGCATTGCTATCAATGAAGAGTCAACCAAGAAGCACTCTAAGTGTTCTCTTAACTCTTGTGGTCCCAAAAGCAGTTTGACTAAGCAATGAGCAATCCCCATAATTTCAGAAAACGTCTCAGACATTATTATCATTTTTTTGCGCTACTATTAACTCAATAGTATAACTGAGAGTAGTTTTGTAATGTGAAAGGTTCTCCAAAGTTTCTGATCCACCCAGTCCACAATGTGGTCAGTTTTTATGGAAATTCCTATTTATGTTTGAAGGTTGCTTTTATTGAAGGCTCAGAAAAGACTTAATTCCCTTTGCAACATTGTACTCTTCATGTTCACATCGTCAACCTGTTGGGTATAGACCAAACAGCCACATCTTTGTGAAGGGCTCCTTTTCCCAGTGGTGTCCCTCTCTATCCTCCATTTCTTCTCTATCATGACCTAGAAGTCATAGCTCCTTATGGAGCGAAGATGCGTCTCAGCCCACAAACGCAACCTGGCGCATGGCAGGCAATTTGCTTCCCTCCTCCTCTTTGGGAAGATACTGAGTTCAGCTGGTGGTGATCCTGTATCCTCTCCTTGTCTTCCTTTTGGCTGCCATATTAAACACGATCAGCATTCTCAGGTCACTCATCCTTTTCCACTTTGATCTCAACAAATGAGCTGAGGTCAGGACAAAAGCCTTTGTGGCTGGGCGGCCTAGGCGGTGTGCCCGCCCTGGCTCCTTCCTCTTGAAAATGGGGGTTGTAGAGGTGCAAGGGCAGGAGCTGAGCTTCAGCGGAGGGCAGGCGGTCAGAGGGCGACCCATAAACCCGGTTAGCTTTGGTGCCATGCTTTGAGTTGGCATCAAGTCGGTAGCAAAGCTGAGTGAGAGGGGTAGCGCGGAATCGTGGGGGGCGTGCCACCCACACACCTGGCTCACTTAGGCTGTCTTCCTCGTCTGACATGAGCTCTTCTGTCACGCCTTGCCACAGACGCTGCTCTTCAGGGCCCAGCAGACGCGCCACCCCTGAACGATTTGCAAAAAGCTAATGGTAAGACAAAATGAAGCCTAATTAGTCATTCTAAGAATATCATCTTTGCCTACACCCCTGCAATTACTCACCCCATCTGTCCTCACTGGTCTGTCTTTCCCAAATGTCTCTCCCTGCCCCCAAACTCCTATATCATATACCTTCCCTCCCCCCCATTTTGTCCTCCCCCTAGTGTTGGAGGACTCCAAAACTCGGCTCTATATTGCAATCCCCCACCACCTTAAGAATTTGCTTCCTTGCTGCCCAGTGTCTGTGGCATGTGTCTGAAAATCACAGCTTTCTGCTGCCCAGCATTTGACAAGCTAGCTTGGGAATCGTCTCTGCAGCAGAAATAGAACACATGCTCCAAGGCCTGCAGTTTATAAAGCAAACACCTCATGGCAGCTGTGGGTTGATGGGCTCATTTGCCCCACCACCCGAGTGTCTGCTCCCCTGGGTGAAGGAAAGTCTCTTCTGCTACAGGGAGGTCTCAGAAGAGAGTGAAGCTTTACTCTGAGGCAGGCTTCATTTTTCTTTCTTTTTAAAGGAAGACCAGCACTGCTTTGATAAATGATACTGGAAAACAAGTGGGATGCAGACATAATGATCCAGTTCCCTGGTTTTGTCTTCTTCCTTTTTTTTCTGTTTCAGGCTGCTGTCTTAGAAGCCGACACTTGCAAATAAGCCATATTGAACTCAATGGGCCTTATGTCTGAGTAAATACACTTAGGAACGAACTGCTAGGTAGGAAGCTAATTAGAATGAATAGTAGTTTGTTTAACAACTTTGATCAAGTAATTTATTTTTGACTGAGAGAATCCTCTCACCCTGCTAACAGACCAATCCTGTGCGTATTTATTCAGAAGTCACACTTTTTTCAATGGGATTACCTTATGTATGTTCATGAGACTGCAGTCTTTAAAAAATGACATTTCAGTTGCAATCTTAACCTATCCAGGATTATGCCATATTGGAGTCAATAGGACTTCTAAGCAGACATAGGATAGCACTACTCATTAAGGATTTAACCAGTTAAATCACTTCTAAAACTTCCATAACATTTTGTAAACCGTCTCCGGTTACCTTTGGCAACTTTCCATAAAGCATAGGCATATTTAACTCAGATGTAAGTCTCACTGCAGTTCATAGGGCTTATTCGCAAGAAGTGTACATAAGATGACAGCCTTAAGGAGTAAGCTCCATTGAACACAGTGCCATTTACTTCTTAGTTAGGATAAGGTTATAAAAAGGGGAATGAAATGGTGTTGTCTGAGGAAATGTCGTTACGGCTGGAATCCAAGAACAGTCAGAACTCAAATGTTATGAAAGTCACAGCTGAGAAGTAAACATGCACTTATTAATTAGGAAATCTGAGTTATTTAACACCTAAACTGCTTGATGAAACTGATGGAATGTCTTTGCAGCAGTTTGAACATATATTTACTTCAAGTAATTTCAACATCACATAGTTCACTGAAGATATATAGCATTTCCCACTACATGTAACCTATTCTAAGCTGCCTTATATAATCAGGGTTAGAAAGGACCCCAAAGATCTATGAGAGGGGAACCTTTGGCCCTCCAGAGGTTGTTAAACTACAACTTCCACCATCCATGGCCATAGGCCATGCTTGTTGGGGCTGATGGGAAGTTGTTATTCAACAACATCTGGAGGGCCAAGTCGAATCCCCCTGCCAATGCAGGAAATTCTCTGCTATAGCATCCCTGATAGCCATCTGCCGTCGGCATAAAAAACAAAGAGTCCAACTTCTGAGGCAGGTCTGTTCCACTGTTAAGCAACTCATCCCATTCAACAACCGGAGTGTGTTGAGCAGAGATGAAATGGGCCTAGAGACCAGCCCTGTAATGAAAATTTGGAAGGAGTTGTGGTATGTTTAGCCTGGAGCATAAGAAGCCATCTTTAAATATTTGAAGGTCTGTCATAGATGACAGAGCAAATTTCCAGGGAACAGGATATGAACCTACAGTTCAAATTACAAGGAAGAGAATTCCAGCTAAATATTAAGAACTTTCTTAGTGCACCAAACCTATTCCTTCACCTGTCATATACAGTGTTGCTTCTTTATGTTTCTAACCAGAATATAAATGCCATTTTCTACTCCACTTCAGTGTGGTTTTTGGAATTGATGGAGGAATGCATTTGGGCTTAAATAAAAAGAGGGGCAAAAAACTATTTTTGGTAGATAATGTAGTGTTGAGATAATACGGGAGAAATACTTGCTCAGAAAAATGGATTGGTCCCTTACCCGGTAGCGTCTACTTCGTAGTTTCTTCTCCTCCTTCTCCTTGAGTCCTTTGAAGGGATTCAGAGAGTTGCGATACTCACGTCGTTTGGTTAGAAAGTAGGCCACACAAGCACCTAACAGAACAAAAAGTAGGCAAAGCAATTGCAGGCATGAAAAGCAGGAACTTGAAGCACACTTGAGTAACCAGAGGATATTTATGTCTGCATGTCTGTGTATATGAACAGCCAGCATTTCAATGTCACCAGAAGGTAAAGACTTTTCTCTTTACCTGGGATTTTTGGCTCCTAATTTGAAGGGTGGCACTGTGGCCTCTTTTAGTGGGGTAGAGTTTGCTAATCCTGCCTTTTTTGTGCATAGCTGTGCTTTTACATTGTCATTGGATATTCTGAACTTCTGAACATAAGTCACTTTAGTCACTGTCTGAGAAAAGTGACTGACAAATATCACAACAACAACATCAGTAAGTTCCAGAGTGAACACCAAGAGAGATATTTATTTTCAGACCTGGAGCAAAATTTACCAGCAAAGTGTATAAGGATTACTCAACAGGTAAAAATGTTCTAGGTATGTTCTAACAATAAAATCCAGACATGAACCAAGTGAAGTATTTTTATTCACCCTCATCTTACCTTTTAGTTCTTTGTCTGTGTAATTGTGGTGATTTGATACCAATTCATGCTTCAGTTTCTCCAGCAAGAATTTCACTACAGAGATATTCCATGAAGATTTTATGCTGGGGTGGGGGGAGAGAGAAAGAGAATGGAGAAACGTAAAGACTAGAACAAATCCATCTTCAAAACCCATATTTTTAGCAATGCCTTCAGCACAACCTCCAGGTCCTCATACCATAATCTAACTAACCCTAAGTACATTATTCTCCCATCTTTACCGTGACTCTCTCCTTCTTCTCCTTCCTGTTGTCTCCCATGTGTTGCATTCTATATTACAAGCCCTTAAGGCAGAGACCTCTTGTAGTTTATAAAGCACGTTGCAAACAGTTAGCCCTATATAAGCATTAATAACATGAACGTTATTAAGGTGCCTTAATAAGGGATAATAATAATGAAAGCTTACTATTCAGGATGTTGAGATTAATTTCAGTGGGAACATGGGTTGCCAGATCAATAAAGGTGTTCTGTGCTTCTATTAGCTATGCAGAAAAGACCAGCTTGATCCATGCAACTTCCTTCTCCCACCACAACACAGTGAGAAGAGAAGCCACACTTGTTGGTTATCTTTCCTTTGCAGTTACTCTTCCTTATCTTATTTGCCAATCCCACCCAGAGCTCACCTCTCAGAGCCATCAAACCTCTTGTCATTGGTGATGTGGTTGTGGACATTATGGACCAGTTTCTGGAGAGTAAACAGAAAGAGATAAGTGCCCCTCCACAGTAACTCTGCAAACCCCAAGCTATTAAAACAGAGCAGCATGCCCCAGAAAGTTAATTAAAATAAGCTTTGCAGTGTCTAAGCTGCTGGGCCCATGCCAAGTTCCTTGTGAGACACAAGCTCCAATATGTGGCAGCTATCTAAGGCAACTAACCGAGAGCACCAAGTCCCTCTTGCGCCTTGCATTCTTCTGTCCCATGCTTCGGTTTCTACAAGGAAGACTTGCAAAGCCCAAAGAGAAACGTGGCTCCCCGCACATGTTGTCCTCCAAGGTGATGCTGTTGGGGGATACCTCTGGGCAGGAGAGAGAAGGATCATCCAGAGGTTGAGAGGAGGGGGAAGGTGGTGTGGCATAGACCCGTTGAATGGAGACATCTACTGCGGGTGATTCTTCTGCTCCCTGAGAACAAGAAAAAGACTTGTACAACTTAATATGATCTCCTTCATTCCAAACTGCAGCTACCCTTCCTATCGCAGCTGCTATTCCAATTCTACAGCTCTGACTCAAAATGTGGGCCTTTAATTAATCTCTGCTCTACTATCCTTTAAAGTTCCTCCAAACCTTCTTTTGTGTGTTTTCACGCACACACACAAAACGCATTGGCCTGCAAACACAAGTGCGTAATGGCCAAACTACATAGCTGAATTTTAAAGCCTCTTTTTATCTTGTACCGACAAAAGTTCACAGTTGGCTCAAGTGGTATGGAAGGCTCAAAGGCACTTCTCATAGCCCCATATATATGAAAACATTCTAACACTAACCTACTAGAACGTCTGCCAATCACAACGTTGCCAATGCCCCTTAATCATCGCAAACAGCTCCAGCCTGACTCCCGTACCAGCTTTAGTATCACATATACAAATACACATACGCTTTTAGCTCTTGCCAGTGCCCCCCAACCCCAGGCCACAACAGCAGAGCAGAGCTTGGCATGGCTCCCAGAATGCATCTCTCCTGAGCAGGTCATTGGCAGAGGAGGCGAGAGATGCCATCAAATATTCATGAGCCCATCTGTGTCTGACCGGAGGGACATGGGGACTGTGTGTATTTTGTGGGGTGGGAGGGACAAAGAAGCTCTTAATCTTCAGCCTACATACCCCGCCAAGCCCCCCAGGCCCCAGATGCACAGGCGAGAAACCCAAGTGTCCAGGTGGCCCTGCCGCCGCTCCCAGCTGCCGCAGCTCTTCAATGACCACCTGGACGCCACTTCTGAAGCCTTCGGCCTCTTGTTCCTCCTCATTCTGCTCTTCACTGTCCTCTTGCCGCTCCTCAGGACCACTCAGGGGGCTGGCTTTGACGACAGGGGCCGTCCTTCGGCGCAGTGTCCCCATTTCCTCCTCCAGCCGCCTCAGGGCTTCATTATTGGCTTTGGCCAGGCTCAGCGCCACCTCAGCAAGGCCCACTGCCTTCTCTACACGTTGATAGATGACATGGAGCAGTTGCTCTGAAGACTGTACCGCTAGCCCAGTGCCTGTAACCGTGATGGGGGTGCTCGATGAAGATGGTGGCGGTGGCGGCGTAGTTGCCTGAGCCCCTGGCTCCTGCTTGCAGGTGCAGCAGCAGCATTTTGCCTCTTTGGTGTTGGGAGGGGAGAACAAAATTGTGGCACTGAATGACATGATGGTGCAGGTTTATGAGGGATCCTTGGGTGTTCCCCAGCTAGTTCTCTTGGAGGAGGCAAGGCGAGCTTCAGATCCGGCCTTGAATGCTCTGCGGTGGAGGCATGCCCATGGCATTGCTCAGGCTGGGTCTCAGCAAACAAGAAGAAGGATATTAAAGAAATATTTCTAAGAGTACGACTGGTGAGCCATGTTGTAGTACATCTGAACCTACCTGCTTCTGATCATCTAAATTGCTTAGATTTAGGCTCCAACCTCTGTATACAGATCTGCTGTAGCCAAACCCAACAGGGCAGGCCATTTCATATTTGCATTCAATCTGATATGTCTAAATCTGTGGTTCGGAAACTTACCCCTCCTCAAAGGCAGCTGTAATGTCTTTTGCTAGATGCTGTATTTTAAGCTGCATTTTCCTTTGTCCTTTTATTTCTTATATCGTATCACGCTGAATTACAATTTGGATTCCATAGAATTCAAATTATAATTAAATAAATATGAGAAATAAAATAAGCAATTAAAATACAACCAAAAATCATTAAGGCAGACATGCCACAGACCACCTGAATAAAAAAACCTCAACAGACTATGAATCAGTTTGTGAACCCCAATCTAGATTTATGCTCAGTGTGATTAACATTAGGAGGGATTCAGCACTATCTTCCAGCCACCTGACTTGTCCATTTGGATCTATATTAACCCACAGCTGACCTCTTGTAAATCTTATTGCTTTTACAGTCTATATCTATTGATTATTTTGGCAGTCAAAGTCCTGCAATGAACTCAAGAGCTGAACTAGCAGTTCAGGTTTTGGCTACCTCTTTTCAATTTCTTTGTAGAAGCCCTGAGACCCTGCCAAAAGAAAAAAGTGGGGGAAAACCTCTGCTTTATTTCAGGAGTTCACACTGTGCAACGTTTGTTTCTCCTCCTCAACAGTACAGTTTGCTTTTAACCAGCAACGCATTCAGCTCTTGCAAAGCACTTGCAAACAGCCCTTAAATAACCAATGTTTTTGAATCTCCGTAACTTGGGGACGGAGGAGGGGACCGAGTCTGAGGTGATAATGGAAAGTAAAGCGGAGAGGGGGAAACTATCCATCCCCATCCCTAGGAAGCTGTTCCGTTTTTCCAATTTCAACTGCTCGAAAGTGGTTTTAAAGTTCATGCAAGGCATCTCTTTGCATATTTAAAATTCGCAACCCCCAAGGCGGGAAACGTGCCCGGGGCTTCGCTTCTCCTCGTTCGGTTCTGCGGCCCAACGGTTTGGAATCCTACGCTCCCCAGCATTCCATCCCGCGTGTGCAGCGCCCGGGGTTGGGTGGGGGGGCGGGGGCCGCAGGAGAAGCAAGAGCGCCGCAGTCGTGTACGAACGGCACAGCCCTCCGTCCGCCCCGCCGCTCTCCGATTGGCTATTGCGGAAGAGCAGGAGGGAGCCGATTGGTTGCAGACGGTGGCGCCTAGGCCCGGGGATAGGAGCGAGGGGCGGGGGAAAGGAACATGGACGGGGGAGAAGGGGGCTCTTTGAGGAGGTCCGCGAGGCTGGGCCCTTTTCAAGGCCGCCTTCCCCACACTGCGTGGTCGAGGGCTTTCCTTTCCGTGGCCCCGCGAAAGGCGCCGGTCATATTCTACGTTTTAAAATCCAATATAAGGACATGTCAAATACCCAGTAATTACACACCAACGACAACAGTGTATAAAATAAATGATTTCCAAAAAAAAGTTGCCTTGCCTGGGGTATCTTCCAAAATGGCTGACCAGGCCCAAGGTCATGTCAAGACTCGCGCCCCACTGGCACAAGGGCACCGACCATGGCCTTGAATAAGAAACCCACCACATTTAAATCCTCATTTTCTAATAATATTGTTTCTCCCTCCATTTGTTGCTGGGTTTTGTTGCCCCCCCTGCCCACCCAGTTACTGGGTATCTGATAAGTATTTTCCCTATAAGTCCTCCCTCAGCTGCTATCCCTGACTAGCAAAGCTGTCTGTCCCCAATGGGCTTGTGTGTCACTCACAATTTTAAAAATTACGTGGCCAGTCTTTCCCTTCTTAATTTACCCTTGCTTTCAAAGTGAAGGTTAATTTATTACTTGGGGGAGGGGAAATATTGACAGGCCTCACAGCGCCTGCTTCCCAAGCACCTGACACAACCCTTCCACACAAAATACTATACAGATCCTCCAATTTATTAGCTGCCATGTTCCCACTGCAATGTCAGGGCTAGCACACCCCCAGGGTCATAAACACTTAGAGTACTCTTTTATTCCAGGGAAGACAGGCGAACTAATGCCAGTGTACTGGAAGAAGCAAAGATCAATAGTGTCGAAGCAATGATTCTTCAACATCAACTTCGTTGGACTGGTCTTGATGTTCGAATGCCTGATTATCGTCTTCCAAAGGAACTACAGTACTCTATTCCAAACTTAAAAATGGAAAGCGTACTGCTGGCGGTCAACAAAAGAGGTTTAAAGACTCTTGAGGCAAATCTATAAAAATGTAGAATAAACACCGACAATTGGGAAACACTGGCCTGCAAGCGCTCCAATTGGAAAACAGTCTTTACCAAAGGTGTCATGGGCTTTGAAGACACTCGAACTCAGGACAAAAGGGAGAAACGTGCTAAGAGGAAGGGACGTTTGGCAACCCCTCACCGTGATCTACTCCCACCCGGAAACAAACCTATGTCCCTACTGTGGAAGGATATGTGGATCCAGAATTGGCCTCCACTGTGTTCATGGAAGGCAATCTTACTCAGTTATGAGTGATCGCCAAAGAAGAAGAAGAAAACCCTTTTATTCCAGGTTAATTTAAGTCCAAAATGATTCCGCAGCCAGTCAGTAATGAAAAATTGGGCCAAAGGAAATTCACTGTTTCACTGCTTTACAGCAATCCTGACAGGGTGAACAAAAGAATTAATAATGCATGTTAGCATATTTGTCACCCCAAATGATATTGAATAAGCCCCCTGTGCCTTTTCTAATCACCCTCTTGTAGAAACAAAAGCATGATTAGATTGAGACGAGAGAAGGTATATTTGATTAAAAAATCCAACAAAGATGCATGCATTATTCCTCTGCAAGCCTGATCATGTAGACACACATCCTGTGTGCCTAATTAGTATACTCACAGCCTCACCTCTCCACTTATTTTCCTATCCGCTCTTCTTGAAACACCATTTACCTCTACAGCATCACAGCCAAATCACATTACTTTACACAGCGTTAAATAATCCAGACTAACTGCCTTGTTATTAATGACCATTACTAATTCCCATTAAAATTCTCACATCATCCACAATAAAATGAAGAAAGGTATTCCCCCCACCCCCATTCTTTAAAGCCCCATAGCAGTTAAAGGGCTTGGAGGGGTAAACTAATCTATGATATCTGAGTGTTACCTATTTTCCTGTACACTTATCCATTCCTCAGCATTATATAGACCTCTTTCTCCCTCTCTTCGCTATATCCATGTACAAAAACCTCCCAAGCTACTCTGTTCCTGCATGTACATATATTTTCTGCCAAGCATATCCCTGCTCTCCTGCTTTCCCCCCTCCCACATTCTGCCACATACAAGCCTCTCTCTCCCTTGGCGTATATTTTCCCTGGCAAGGCCAAAGAAGGGATTGGGGTGCCTCCCTTTTCAATCCCTCCCCAGATCCTTTCCCCCCGCCCCCACCCCCCAATTCCATCCCACACGTCCCTGGGAAAAGGATACTGGAAGGTCGTGCAGCTCTTTGTATTCGTGTGTGTGCAAAGGGGGAGGATGTGCACCCTGCTGCCAACCGCCACACCCCCATGCTCCCCCCTTCTGCCCTGATTGGCCAATCTCCTGTACGCACACAAACACACACCAAAGCTGCACACGCATTCCTGAGCAGGGCCCCAGCAGGGGACACCTAGACTAGCTGGGCACTGCCAATTTCCCCCTTTCCTGGACATGTACAATCAGGCTGTTTTTTATTCCTCCAATTTACACTTCCCTTTGATCCTTGCCACCCTTTACTTCTGCATGCTATTTTGTTTCTCAAAGCCTTCCTCTCATGCTCCTACTAGTCCCTCGTGTCTCTTCTTCTATATTTCACTCTGAACTGTTTCTGTTATTGCTCTCCCCTTGGCTCCTGTGTACACACAGCTTTCACCTCATTGCCTTCCTCCTTCTGTTCATCCTTCTTGCCGGCTCTTCCCTTCAACCTTTGCAGCTGTACCCCCCGACCCAATCCAGGAAACCCCTTGGCCCATGCCTCACTCATTTTGTTGTGTACTGTAACCCTAATTTACTTCCTCTCCACCCACTAAACGAGCATGGGGGGGCAGATTTGGAAAAGGAAAGGCCGTTTACCCAGGCAGGTTTCTTTTGTTTTCGACAGTCTACAAAACTACGCCTCCATCTTGGCTGCTTTGTTCATTCTGTTCCTGCTGCCCTGCAGCTGGCAATAACCTTTTCTGTTCACATTAGGTTCTACGCACTGCACACACATCGCTCGCGTCAATTGGGTGGGAACCAGAAAATCCAACGGTGCATAAAAGTATTTGGGATGGCTATGCTTGGCGAGGGGGCCAGCATGGGTTAATATTGGCATGCACTTCTTCATCTGCGACTGTCAACATTCAACAAGCATAGATTTGGGGTGGGTGAGGGGGTGGGATCCCTATGAAAGGCAAGGGACTGGTTTGCTCAAACGTGTGTGAAGATTCAAGTAAAGTAACGTGGGCTATCATGGGGGAAAGGAGCAATTATTTAACAATCGTTTGACTTCCTCCCTCCCTTGGTATCGGCAGACACGTATGCTTCAGTGCCTGTGGGAACAGCCGACCTTCTGCTTTCTTGCCTAGGAACAATGAATTTCAAGAGACATTTATCTCCCACCTCCTGTGCCCAATCACTAACGCCCACAGAGGCAGCCAGCATGTTTGCCCCTCCAAGGCATCCCTCCATTGGCAGGAATCCAAAGCCAACAACACACCTCTGACGGGACTGGAGTAGCCAAGATTTCCCTTGCCCACTCTTGTTTTTCAAGTGAAGACAAAAAACAGTTTGGACAGCAGAAGTTTAATTCTGAACAAGGAAAAAACCAAATACTATATGAAACATGGGTTACAAGCATGAGACATCTTCCCAGACAGCGGCATCTGTGAGTCCCGCCCTTCCTCCAGTCAACAACCCTTAAAAGACCCCAAATCAGCACCCCAGCTTTCTCCCAAAGTCCATCATCTCAAGCGACTGTTTCTGTGGCTTTGTCATTATATAATTCATGCAGTTTGGACACGTCGTCGCTGGAGACACGGACCCAGCCATCCTGGCGTACGTGGTAGAGGTTGACTGTGCCCCCAGAGTAGGCATCGCGGTATGTAGCCTGGTAGATGGCGCGACGGGCCAGATCGCAGGCTTCTTCGACGGTGAGATCGTTAGAGTAGCCACGGTCCATCACTCCGTAGGCGTAGACAGAACCGGAGCCCACCGAGAAAACTTTGCCCGAGATGCGGTTCCCTTCACTGTCCACGTAATAAAGGCCTGAAAGGCAAGGCGGGGAAGTTTGTGTTACTGGGGCTTTTCACAAAATGATTACAATTATTGTATCAGCACCAAAGGTTGCCTTGCACACCCTTCTCCCCTTCAAAAATGATCTAAATTTCTATACCATGTTTTTAAACAGGTTGATGGAAGGGAGCATTCAGTCCTCTGAGCTTCTTCCAGCAACCCTCCCAAGTTTCAACACCCAAGCGCTACAGTTCCTGATGCTGCTGCAAGTGTCTCAACATGGGGCTATGCAACATCCAAAGGAAATGTGGCAACTGGAATGCTGGGGGGGGGGTATGTTTATTGGGAGGAGCTATAGCTATGCATTTTGTTCCAAGCTCAAGGATAAACTTGGCCATAGCTCCAGGCATCTTCTGCCCAGTATTCCCTGCTCTAATCAGCCTTCCTGGACCGTTGACAAAACCCAAAAGGATTAATTCTTCAAGATCAGTTTCCTAGCCTGATGTAACAAGCTACACAGATATCTTCACAATGAAAACACTGGGGTTTCCCTTTCTATAAAAAAGAGCTGCAACACACAGCTATGTGTCCTGTATCCTACACCAGAAGTAGGAAACCAGTATCCCTCAAAATGTTGCTGGTCTCCAACTCCCATCAGCTCCAGCAAGCAGAGCATATGGTCAGGGATGATGGAAGTTGCAATCCAACACCTGGAGGGGAAAGGTGGTCCTGCGAAAATTTTGCTTTTAAGTGTTTAGGTGGGTGACGGAATCCTTTGGGGAATGTTAAATGAAGACGTATTTTAGGATATTCTGAAATTGTAGGCACTGATTTAGAAAGAAGTGGGCGGGGGGGGGCAGTTTGCACTGAGAGCACAGCCTTGGTGATGGAAAGGGTAGAATATGATGTAGAATATGGAACAAGATGCCTAAGTCAGAGGAATAAAGGAAAACAGAAAGGTTTATATCCTAGTCCTTTGCATACTTGGATGCAAAGTATCACAGATTTCAGGGGAACCAAAGACTGCAGCTTCTCTCAGCCCCAACCATATGTAGACATATTGGGTATTCCACATGGAAAGACAGCATGTAACAAATAAACATATGAGAAAGGGATTTATCAAAGGGACTAGTCAGTGCAAACACTGAGGAAATTAAAAATGTGCAGAGCCCATGTAAATTCTTTGGATTTTTTCTCAGGAGAGCAGCCAACCTGGCCCAATGGTCTGCTATGCAAATATTAAAAGTAGACAAAACCATTTTAAATAGGATCACCACTGTGATTCTACGCTAGTGCAACCAAGTGCTTCCAGAGGAAGGCCTTCATGGGCAACAAGTACTGGGTACCAACAATCTATGTGGGGACTGTGGGGATTTTCCTGCTGACAAATGCAAGCCCAGTCAACTTAGTACATACACCTTTTCCCTGGTATCCTCCAGAATTCTTGGACCGCTGCTCCCATCAGTCCCAGACAGCACAGCTGTGGACTAAAGTATCTGGAGGAAACCAGGTAGGGGAACATTTAGTAAAACCCATGTGCATGGCACAGCTAGCTGTACCAAAGCAACAATGGCTGTACCAAGCACACTCTACCTGGAGATACCACCTCCCTAGTTAGCATATTCAACCTGGAGGCACAACCACCTTTGCTTCTAGACACATTTTTACACAGCCAGAGACTTTGCAAGAGTTTCTAGCAGCAGCCCTGCAGAAGCTAAATAGGTCGGGGTCTGATCTGTGCCTGAATGGGAGACCCCTTGTGAGCCCTACATGCATCATCTTAAGTTTCAAGATGGAAGAAAGCAGGATATAAAATAAGATACTTAATTGGTAAACTATAATAACCTCACCACTAGCAAGTTGGTTGTAAAAGTGCAGCAGTGTTCGGGGGAAGAAAGTTGCAGCTACGACTACAAGTGAGACATTGGCCCCAACTGTCCTATATATTTGAAGCAGCATCATACTATTTTAAACAGTCATGGCTTCCCCCAAAGAATCCTGGGAAATGTAGTTTGTTAAGGGTGCTGAATGTTGTTAGGATGCTCCTATTCCCCTCACAGAGCCACAACTCTCAAGACTTCCCAGGGAAGAGGGATTGGCTGTTCTGTGAACTCTGGCTCTTGTGAGGGGAATATAAGCCTCATAACAACTCTCAGCTGTTCCCAGGATTCTTTGGGAGAAGCCATGACTGTTTAAAGTGGAATGATACTGCTTTCAATGAATGGTGCAAACAGGGCGACAATCAGTCACTTTTCCAATACAGTGGACACTCGGGTTGTAAACGTGATCCGTGCGAGATACACGTTTGCAACCCGCAGCGGCGCGTCTGCACACACGCGGATTGCAATTCGGCACTTCTGCGCATGCGCAAAGCACAGTTTAGCACTTCTGCGCATATGCGACTGCCGAAACCCAGAAGTAACCCGTTCCGGTACTTCCAGGTTTCAGCGGGTGCGTAACCCAAAAAAATGCAACCTGAAGCGGCTGTAACCCGAGGTATGACTGTAATTTATCCAGGTATCTGCCAGATATTTTAATCCAGCTAGCAGGGCAGTATGTTTCCTATGTTACTGGCTCTACCTCCCTACAGAATTGAACACTTACCTATAAAGAGTATTAACATGCTGTAGTTTCCCAAGGAAGTAGAAACAAACAAAAGTGAGCTAAAGAGAGCAGGAGCCAAAGTATCACTTGAGATGCACAGCAGAATTCAGAACCAGTGCATGTTCTTTTCCCAGTGTCAAAATGCAATGTCAGAAAACCCAACCCAAAACTCGGACAGCATGTGAGGTAGGGGTACAGCCTTAATTAGTCCTAAACCAATGCAAATGTAAAGGTTGGGGAGTCTCAGAAGGTAGTTTTAAGTGAAGAAAGCAGGAACAGGAAAACACCGGACCCCAGAAAGGTAATCTTAACCATCATTACTTTTTTTTATCCTGCCCTTTCTCCCAAAGGAGCCCAGGGTGCCAGATAAAAAAATATATGTGCATTCAGGAACATCACACAATGGATTTATCACCGCCTGTATAGCACTTCCCACAGCAAATGCCAATGTAAATACAGACAAGGATTGTAGAGTCACCAGAACATAGGTGTGGGTACAGGCATGATCAAGGGAAATAGCACAAAGGCTAAATCTGTTTAGAATTTAGGAAGACAGGGGAGTGGAGAGGAATTTAAATCTTATGAAAGCCCCCCCCCCAAGAAAAATGTGGTGTCCTCACCTGGCCCTCGCTTGTCCCAGCCACAGATCATGGTACCCATAGAGAGCCCCATTCCCTTGTACTGATACACCATGTTGGCCAACAGCTTTGAGGCAGCAGCCACTGATATCTGCTCCTTGTTGCGGAGTTCATAGATGCGACACTGCCGTGCCAGCAGCCGCTCCCAGAAGCTGCAATCAGCTGCACCACCAGCCATGGTGCCCAGCAGGTAAGGGTTAATCTCGATGACCTTCTTGACCGTCTGAGAAGCAATGTAGACACCTGCTGTTGCCCGGGAATCCACGGCCACTATCACACCATGCTGAAACTGGAGGATCAAGGAATCAAGAGGTCAAGATCATGATGAACAAACCACAAAGGATACACACAACCAGAATGAATGGCAATCCAAAGTGTGCCCACCCTGCTTGAAGGCACCAATGCAAGAGGGTTCCTCACACCCTATTACATGGTCCAGGTGATAAGATACCATCCTGAGGCAACATTCACCTGCCAATCCAGTATGGGATTTGCCAAAGCAGCCTACCTGTGTCTCAACCTGAATCACCAATCCAAAAGTACACCAGGGTTTGTGAGGCCAGTATCCCTCTCCCTCAGAAGGGCCCACAAGACATCAAAAACCCATTAATTCTATTCTGGAAAACTCAGGTGATAATCTCAAAGTGACTTTTGATCATGTAAGACAATGCCACCCATTCTCAGGTCTTCCATTTCCTGAAGCCTTTCCTTGTACTTCCTTCCAGTGAATCCCTCTCTACAAAGTGCGCCTTCCACTTCCCAATTTTCTATGCCCCCAACTGAACTAACCTATTCTTCCAAATTATCCCAATATGGACTCCAGTATCCTTCGCACATATCTGAACACCCGGTTCAGGCCTCTTATTCGCCACCCCCAACTAACTACAGCCACCACCAGCCAGATATATTTCTCGTCATCCCTACTCCCAGGAGAGCTTATATATTTTAAGTCATTAACATTCCATACCACTTGTTCTGTAAACCACCTTGTGATCCTCAAATGAAGGGCGGTATATAAATTTAATTAAACAAACAAACAAACAATTATCAGTAGTATTTATTACATTTGTATACCACCCTTCATCCACAGATCTCATGGTGACTCGCAATCATAAAAACACAGTACAGTGGTACCTTGGGTTAAGTACTTAATTCGTTCCAGAGGTCCATACTTAACCTGAAACTGTTCTTAACCTGAAGACCATTTTAGCTAATGGGGCCTCCTGCTGCTGCCGCGCCGCAGGAGCACGATTTCCGTTCTCATCCTGAAGCAAAGTTCTTAACCTGAAGCACTATTTCTAGGTTAGCGGAGTGTGTAACCTGAAGCGTATGTAACCCAAGATACCACTGTATCAAAACACAAATTACATCATAAAAACTGGAACGATAAAGCCCAGAACGAACTCACAACAAGCACCCACCACCCTGTGAGGCTGAGAGATGGTGGCTGGCCTAAGGTCACCCAGGGGGGCTTCATGGCTGAGTGGGGATTCGAACCCTGGTCTCCCGGGTCCCTAGTCTGACACTGTAAATGCTGCACTTTGCCTTCCACGTGCAAATAATAAAATCAGCGAAGAAAAGTTGTGAGCAAACAAACAAGATAAAGGTTTCAAAACCATGGTTTGTAATCCAATGCTGGCCGTACTCAAGAGAGGACCCAACTCATTCGTCTCAATGAGTCTTCTCCAAGTAGGGCTCACCCCCCCCCAAAGCGATGCATCCAACCCCCCACCACTCGCACCCAAAGCGCCCCCTCTCAGCCCCCAAAGGGGCGTTTCCCCCCGCCGCCCACCTTGAAGGCCAGGGTGGTGGTGCCGTGCAGCAGCTCGATCTTGGCATCCCCCGCGGCGGCGCCTCGGTCCAGGCCGGGACAAGGGGCCGCCAGAAGCAGGGGCATCCCCGAGGCCTGGGCCTCCGCCCCATGGCCGCCCCCACCGCAGGGGCCGAGCGCGGGGAGTCGGAACTCGTTGCCGGCCCCGAAACCGAAGAACCCGGCCCTGTTCACGGGCAGCTGCGGCTCCAGCAGGCTGGCCAGCGCCATCTTGGATAAGGGCTAGTCACCGTGACTCAGGGCCTACAGCCTATATAGGCTCCGGGCGCCATGTTTGGTGTGGGCAGAGCTCGCGGGAGCCGCACGCATATAAGCAAGCGGCGGGCGCCATCTTGGTTGTGGTCTCGTTCTCATTTCACGCCGCGCGTGAGAGGTTGGCTTCGCCATTTTTAGTGAGGGGGCAGCGCCGTTGCCTGAGGCTTGCTGCTACGAATAAAGGGCCGGGCGCCATCTTAGGTGAGGGCAAGGCTAGACCTGAGAGACCGGTTGCCCCGGCGAAAGCAAATAGGTCAATGGAAAGGAAATGTGTCAGTCACCGTCTTCATTTCCTGGGAGGGGGGGGAGGGATGTCGTTTGGGGATGGAAAGGGACGAGTGCTTTTATCCCTTTACAATCTGAGCAACTAGTGAAGTTAGGGGTTGGACTAGATGACCCATAGGGTCCCTTCCAACTCTAGAATACTAAGATTCTAGGACAAGGATGAAACAAAGCAAAGGAAATGAGTTTTCCTTGTACGGTGCACGATGTGCAAAGTGCTAGTTTCGTTTCCTATGGAACTCACCGCCACAAGGTGGCATGCAGGCCAACAACAAATACTGGGCTAAAACAAGTAAACAAGATAGCCCCTCATTCATGATTGGACAGTAGTAGCTGGGGAATCCAGAAGCAGAATTCAAGTACCCTGAAGTGTTTGATCTTTGCAGGTGTGAAAAATAGGGGTTAAAGACTCATGTGCAAGTGTGCCGCTCTTCCTCTGAACTATTATTATTATTATTAAATTTATTTTCAGCTTTTCACCATCTAGGTCCCAAAGCAGCTTATAACAATAAAATGACAAAAACAAACAGAATGTAAAGAATGAATTTAACCTCATAAATTTTAAAAAACAAAAAACAAACCTAAAGCACCAGAAAATGGAAAACTTCTAAGATGCAGTCATGTTGCAAAGGCCTCCTGAAATAAAGCAATGTTAACCAGGCACCTGAAACTCAGCAGGGATGGTGACAGACTAACATCTAGTGCAGGAATAGCATGGTCAGTGTGTCTGGAGGTCCTGGGCTGCCCAGTCGATGAGACTCTCAGCCTCACTGATGCAGTCATTGAAGTTATTCAGGGCTTTATACACTAATTCAATAACTTTGATAGGAAGCCGGTACAAGTCTTTTAGCACCGGTGTCCTATGTTGACGATATGCAGTTCCCATCACCATACAGAGCCACAGCACCCTGCACTGGCGGAAGCTTTGACTGGAGAGGTCAGGGAGCAGCCAGTGTCCTCACATCTTTGGTATCAGCCTCTTCACCTTCTCCCTGGCACCATCAGGGTGGGGTGGGGTGAAAGCCTCCAAGATGGAGCGTGTGCATTTACACATGGGCTTCCTAGAGATGGCACTGCTCTCCAACGAGCCTGAACGCTGTGCCATTGCACAGCACTTGAAGGATGCTGATGCATGGAGACAGGAGTCCCTTCTACCATCCATCGTGCCCCAGCAGCTGCCTGTTAGTGGGGCAGCTGGCTCAGCCTTTTTGCTTCCGGTGGTGGAAAGGGAAAACTGCAAGCGGGCATCCATGGTCCCTGGCAGCTGCCTGCTAAAGCCCAGAGGAATGCAAGAAGAGCCAGCTGGACTGAGCCAAAGGCCCACCTAGTTCAGCACCCTCTTCTCACAGTGGCCAACCAGATACCCAAATGGGAAACCCGCAAGTGGGACCTGCGTACAACAGCTCTCTCTGCTCCTGTGGTTTGCAACAGCTGGTATTCAGGAGCAGCCATGGAGGCAGAGCATAGCCATGAGGGCTAGTAGCCATTGATGACCCTCTCCCCCAGGAATTTGTCTAATCCTCTTTTAAAGCCACGTTGGTGGTCATCACTGATTCCAGTGGCAGCGGGTCCCATAGTTCAACTCTGCATTGCATGGAGAAGTTCTTCCTTTTACTGCACAGTCAGGGGAAAAACAATGCTTTCCAGGGTTGTAAAGACTGTGGAGAGAATAATTGGGTGTACTCTTCCCACCTTGGATCAAATATATGCTTCCAGGTGCCATAAGAAAGCTGCAGAGATAGCGCAGGATAGTACGCACCCCGGAAATGATTTCAATCAGCTTCTGCCTTCTGGAAGAAGGTACAGGGTTATAAAGACTAGGACTAGCCGCCTGAGAAACAGTTTCTACAATGCGTTTTAAACGCATTGTATGGAGTCTGTATGGGAGTATATTGTATTTAAAAATGGGATATCAGAGTTTTTAGGGGGCTAACCAGGTTGGGATAGCTGGGATAGCAGGCTTGTTGGGTTCTGAATGTCTTATGTAGATTTTTCAATTTCATTGTTCTGTATGGGACAATGACAATAAAGATTATCGTATCATATCGATTATCGTACCTGCCCTGAACCTTCCAGCATTCAGCTTCATTGAACATCCATGAGTCCTAGAGTTACGACAGAGGGATAAAAACTGTTCTCTGTCCACTTTCTTCATGGGAGACATCATTTTATAAACTTAACTGTGACTTGAATTTACCAGACACACACACGCACCCCGTGCCAAGTTCGGAATGCATTCACACTTACCTTTTCTGCTGCAGAGTTAAGTTCTCCGGATTGTACTCCTCTGATTGTTCCAGTGATAAACGCTCTGCTTCCCATTAACGCAGCGTAAGCACTAAACATCTTCTGAAAAGGAGCTTCTGCTTCCCATTAACATGGGTGTCTCCCGTCCTACTTTTTTCTGCTGGAAATGCCTGTTTGTACACCTTTAACGGCACTGAAGCCAACTGTTTTGGTCTTGGAGGACAGGGGACGTCCTCCAAAAAAAGCCAAACCGCCTGCACTCCCTCTTTAATCACCACTTTCTCTAAGATGTTTTGCATGCAAAGGGTCTCTGATTTTGCCCCCAATGGTGTCTCCAGCTAGGGCTGCCCAAAATCTTGCCAGTCAGTGCAGGGAATACTGAGCTAGGCAGACCAACTGTCTGAATTAGCATAAAGCAGCATTCTGCAATTGCTACCCATAGCAGGATCATCCAGAGGTCTTGACTATCACTGAGCTAAGTGTGACCCCACCCCCGGCAAAGGTCAAGGCATTTCTGGAGAGAAAGCGGAGGCGAGCCATTAGTGCAAGGCCTGGTGACAAAGTGTACAGGATCGCCCCATCACCATGTAACTGGATTACAACCAGGACTGCCCTTTGAGGGTCTTCTTCACACACACCTCCCATTCCCTCCTGGCTCTCACATTCCCCCACTCACTTCCCACAGCCCCCCAAGCACTAGGTGGATGCTGCTGGGGGACTCGGCATCATGTTTCGGTGGAGCACGCGGAAGGACGCATTTGAGGGTGACAGATGCTGACAGGGCAGCGTCTCTTTTAGGTCAGGGCGGGAGGGAAGGGAGAGGTAACCCTCTCGGTGCTGGGGACCAGTTTGGCTCAGGGTCCCACTTTCGCTAGGCCAAGGTGTCTGGGCTGCACGATGGGCTACCTAATCGAAGCTGAGTTGGTCAATGCCTGTTTTGCGCTGATGGGCCATCCTTGCCAATAACTGGTGGAGACGAGGAAACGAAGCAATATTTATTATGAGCTAAATTGCAAGCAGCAAAAGCATATTTGATGTGTCTGGTTGTATAATTCCAGCTGCCAGTTTGCTCTCTCAGAGACTGTCCTAAAGCAGCTTCCCAGGAGCCAAACACAAAAGCAGATTGCAGCCTCTGCCAAGAAAGAACCCCATCGTTTTTGCCTTTGACGTGGCACTGGGGACGCGGCAAGGGTGAAACGTGCTTTATTGGTCTGACTGGGCTTCCACTCGGCCCCCGACCCAAACGCTTGGGGGAACAGCAATACCTTCACTCGATTGTGATGGCTCTGGGTGTAGTGAGGTTTTGTTGTGGTGGTTGCTTTACAAAAAGAGGGACCTCGATGCCAAAGTATATGGGAAGTTCTCCTTGTGAAGAAAGGAGATGGTCCCAGGCTAAAGTCCCCACATCTCCAGGTAGGCCTGAGAGAAACTCCATGCCTGAAACCCAGTGTGTGATGGGCGAGTGTGTCAGACTAGGCCCTGGGAGACCAGAATCCAACGCCCTGCTTGACCATGAAGCCACTGCTTCATTGCCTAACTACCTCCCAAGGCTGGCTCAATAAATGTTGCCGCTTGAGGCAGAACAGAAAATGGCACACACAAACACACCACCTGAAGCAACTGGAAATGGCCTGGGGAAGCTCTGGCATGCTGAGGGGGATGGGAGGGAAGGGAGGCTAGAGAGGAGCGGGTGGTGGCCCTGCTCTTTGCAGGAGGGGGAGAACAGCACACTCCTTGGGGGGCTGGATTTGCCGCCCCTCTGGGCTGTCCCCACCTGAGGCGACTGCCTCACCCTGGTGAACGGGTCGTTTGCGGGGACTGAATGTGGAGGGAGGGGGAGGGACCACGCACACCACCTCGAGCTCCTTGGAGAAGATAGGTTGTCAATGCAAGAAAGAAGAGTAAATAAAATATTCCCAGTCAGTGTAGGCTTATCCTGGGCTAGATGGACAAATACTCTGACTCAAGTCTAGGGCAGATTCTTCGGTCTCTCTGGGGGCCCAAGAGACGGGAGAAGCAACAACCCTGGGACAGAGGAGGTCACTCACTAACTTATGTTATCTAGGCTCTAGTAACCTCTAGGTTATATCACTGCTATGCATTACACGTAGGGCTGCCTCTGAAGATGGTTCAAAAACTTCAGCTGGTGCAAAATTCAGCTGCCAGGTTGCTCACCAGGGCAAGATGGTTTGAGCGCATACAGTGGTACCTCAGGTTACAGACGCTTCAGGTTACAGGCTCTGCTAACCCAGAAATAGTACCTCGGGTTAAGAACTTTGCTTCAGGATGAGAACAGAAATCGCACAGTAGTAGTGCGGCGGCAGCAGGAGGCCCCATTAGCTAAAGTGGTACCTCAGGTTAAGAAGAGTTTCAGGTTAAGAACGGACCTCCAGAACAAATTTAAGTTCTTAACCCGAGGTACCACTGTAATGCCAATCCTGGCCCAACTGCACTGGCTGCCAATTAGTTTCTAGGCCTAATTCAAAGTGTTGGTTTTGAGCGATAAAATCTTAAATGGCTCAGGACCTCAACACCTCAAGGACCACCTCTCTCCATATGAACCTACTCGGGATCTGAGATCACCATCTGAGGCCCTTCATCATGTGCATTCTCCACAAGGTCCAAAGGGAGGCCACACGTGAATGGGCCTTTCTGTGGTGGCTCCCCGTTTGTGGGATGCTCTCCCCAGGGAGTCTTACCTGGCACCTTCATTACACACATTACACAGGCGAAAATGTTCCTCTTCAACCAGGCCTTGGGCTGATTAACATTCTATGTCCTTTTAAATGTCTGTGTGGAAGGTGGGGTTATGGGTTTGTTCTTGTTACGTATTTTTGCGTTTTCGTTTTGTATGTTCATGTTGTGAACTGCCCCAAGATCTTCGGAGGAAGGGCAGTATACAAATTTAACAAATAAATGAAGAAGACGCACCCCGGGGTGTGAATGAGACCCAGCTTTTCTTGCTGCATCATTCACCGCTCACTGTTTCAACCCCATTATGAAGTACTGGCACACCCGCTTCTTAGGCTGCAGTCCTAGACACAGGCTTGGGAGCCTGCCAAACTGAATACAATAGAATCCGCTGCTCATAAACGAAGGATGCTTCTCCCACCTGCCTTTAGACTAAAGTAAAAAATAAAAAAGGAAATTAGTCAGTGTCAAAAAACAGGTCAGAGCCTGTCACCTAGCAGAAGCTTTTCGTCAGCCTCCTTTCCCCACCGTTAAACACGCAGCTTTACCTGACCATCTCACCTTGTCTCCAGCCCCGCCCCAATCCTCTATCTGATCCTTCCCAAAATCTAGGCCCCCTCCCTCCTTTTATAAGCTCTCTTCTCCCAGTCTTTCCAGAACCCTTCCCAAATGGCTCTCCAGAGTGTCCTGGGCCTGGACCTCCCGCTGCAGGCCCCCAGCTGGCCCCTGCCACCCCCGAGCGGGAGAGTGGTGCCCCTGCCGTTTCCGCTGTCCCACGGCACCACCACGCTGGCCTTCCGCTGCAGCCATGGGGTAGTGGTGGCAGCGGACACCCGTGCTTCGAGCGGGAACCTCGTGTCTGACCCGTCGGCCCGCAAGGTCATGACCCTCCACCGCCACCTCCTAGCGACCACGTCCGGGACATCGGCCGACTGCGCCTCCTGGTTGCGCCTGCTGCGGTGCTCTCTGCGCCTGAGGCAGCTCCACGGCGGGCGCCAGGTCAGCGTGGCAGGGGCCGCCAAGCTGCTGGCTTTCCTCTTGCGGGGCTGTCGCCACAAGGACTTGTGCGTGGCCACCGTGCTGTGCGGCTGGGACGACGGCGGGCCTGCTCTGCGCTACGTCTACAGCGATGGCACGTGCCTCCAGGGAGACATTTTCGCAGTGGGCTCCGGGTCTCCCTACGCCTACGGGGTGATGGACGGCTCGTACCGCTTCGACCTGCCACGCGACCAGGCTTTCATGCTGGCCCGCCAGGCTGTGGCTCACGCCGCCCACCGAGACGCCTACTCCGGGGGGAACGTGGACCTCTACCACGTGCGGCCAAGCGGCTGGGTGTGCATCTCCCGGGAAGATCTCAGCCAGGTCTATCGGGGATTGGGGCCACTGGGCGACGGAGAGGGCGACACTAAAGAAAGGCACCGTGGAATTGACTAGATACCAGCCTAAAACGGGACGGGTCTGTCGGTTTCAGCAAGAAGCAGCCATAACCCAGATTCAGAAGCCATTCATTTCAGCAAAGTAGTGCAGAGAAAGCAAAGCACAGGTTGTAAAATAAGGAGTGGGAAGGCCCGAGTGGACTAAATTGATTTTTTTTTTAAACCCACCCCAAAGCTGCAAAGCTGGCAGCCTGGACCAGGGCAAACCCAACATAGGGACAATTTCGTAGCAGCAAGACGCTTAGCGGAGAGGGAAACCAATCGCCTATTTCTACAAACGGCGAATCAGAACCCCAAATAATTCACAAATATGGTGAAAAGCAATCAGCGTGGCTTATTAAAAAACAGCTTGATTTAGCATAGGGCCAATTACGGAGCAGATGGTAGCGCAGCGTACATTAGATGTGGGGCGGCGGGGGGAGCCTTGGGCCAGTGTAAACCAGTATGGAACGGACTCTGCTGGTTCTGATGTATGGAACTGATCTGTGGAGGCCGAAATGACGCCCAGGATCCCTTTGGACCGGCCAGGATGGCGCCTAGGAACCCTCCCAGGCCTGGACTCATGTTTGTGCAACTGGGTCGGAATAACCTGCGAGTCTCCTTGGATGGACCAGACATGTTCACCCTCCTGCTCTGGAGGGAAAAAGCCAGACGCGGCCGGAACCAAGGGGGACCGAGCCAGGGCTGCTCCATTGTTTGAGAAAATAAATGGGGGGCGTCTGCTGGCCGGCGCCTTTCATCGCCTCATCTCCTCCTCCATCCGCCGCGCTGCAGAACGTGTCCCGGCGACGGTGACAGATAGGCGCTGTTATCTCTGCCGTCTCGCCGCCGCCTCCTCCTATCTTGCTGCCATCTCCCCGCTTCAATGTCCTTCTTGCCCGGCCCGCGTCGCCGCCCGTCATCTCATTACACCCCCCCCCCCGCCGCCGCCCTCCAACAGCATTGTCTGCCGCCGACGCCGCCGGGAGCGCAGCCTCCTTCTCCCTTATCGCGCCTCTCCATCTCCCCGGCGCGGCGGCTGCTGCTGCTGGGGAGAAAACAGCTCCGCCGAGGGAGGAGGAGGAGGACGACGGCGATCGAACCTTCGGCAGCAACGCGCCGCGGGCCGGATCGCGGCCCCCGGGTCCCTAAAGCGCCCCTAGTGGCTGCCCCACCCCCCCAAAACCAGCCGCGTAAACACAGCTCCTTGCTAGGCCTGGCGCGTTCTGGGGACGCCGCGCCATTGTGCGCCCTTATCTTAATTGGCATCTCCCGGCCGCGGCTGCGGTGCTGGCGGATGGCCCACTTCCGCGCCCCTTCTGCCTCGCCCTGTCGCTCCCGATCCGTCTGCCTCCTGCCGCTGCTCCACCTTCCCCTTCTCTTCTCCATCTGCCCCTTTCTCCTTCTATCCATCACCCGGATCCCCACGTCGCCTCCTTCTCCGCGCTCCCTCCGCGGCGGCGCCTGCCCCCTTTTCTTCCTGGGCCCATAGCTTTCTCCATTCTCGTGCTGCTGCCGCCTCTTTCCATCTTCTCCAGCCCGCCCTCCGATTTTTTCCATCCCTCTTTCATTATTTCTGCCTTCCGTCTTTCCCCACTCCCTCCCACCCCCATCTTGCCTTGGCTCCTGTTTCCCTCCTCTCCTCCCCACGTGGCCCTCTGCGGGGTGGGGTGGGGGGCGCCCGGGCCTGTCCATCAGCGCTCTGGCGCCACGGGGTGTCAGTCCATTAGCGAGCGCCGCGGGGGAGGGGGGCGCCAATTATCAGCACTTTAGCTGTTTCACGCCTGGGTGGAGGCTGCACCTTGAGGCGCAGAAGAGAGCGAAGGAATGAAAAAGTGGCTGGGAAGGAGTGCAGATGGGAAGGGAGAGGCAAGGAGGGAGGCAGAGAGAGGCAGCGTGTTTGGGGGGTACGCCGAGAGGGGAAAGCAAGGGGAATAAATGTCTGGGGGAAAAGGGTGTTAGGGGCGAGGCGACGGCGGAGCGAAGGAGTGTGAAAGTGATGCGAAAGGAATGCAGAAAGGGAGAGGAGGAGGCCTGTGAATTAATGGAGGGAGCGAAGGGAATAGGGAGGTGAGAGAGGAGTGCAGAGAAAGACAGGCGGAAGGATTGAGGAAAGAACGGCAAGGGAATGGGAAAAGAGGAGGGAGAAACAAGGCAGTGAAGAAGGGACAGTAGGTGAATTGTGGAGGAGGGATGCGGAGAGCGCTGAGGAGAAGGCCAAGGAAAGCAGGAGGTGGCTGAGGGATGCAGAACGAAGGAATGAGAAAGTTAACCATGCCAGTGAACAAAGGCAGAGGAAGAATTTTATTTTATTTTAGGTTTAGTACCCTGCCTTTCCCTCAAGGAGCTCTCCACGCAATCCTCACGACAACCCTGTGAGGTAGGTTAGGCTGAGAGATAGCCCCCCTCCCTCCCCGAGGTGGGGATTCGAACCCTGGCCTCCCAGGCCCTGGTCTTAGCACCCTAGCCCACTACACTGCAGCCGAGTGAGCTAGCGCTGGCCTCAAAAGCTCAGGCAGACCTGGAAGGGATGGCTGGCCAAGAAGGGAGAACATCGGGAACCAGCCTTCGTTTTATTAAAATATTCATATACGCCGCCCACTCATAAAATATCAAGGCGGTGTACAGCAGCGTGTGTACCAGACACAACAGAAGGTAGAATGCCATTAAAAAATGCAGTGCAGAATTAATCGTAAAAGTTGATTGGCTCAATGCAAGGAAGGGTGGGGAGGAGGAAGGGACTGTGCCTTGTTAAGTAATGAAAAGGGACAGTGGGCCAAGTGTGGAGATCAAGACGGAGGAGATGAATGGAGGAACAAGAGGGGGATCAAAGGAGTGAAGGGGGGAAAGGGGATTGCAGATGCATACAGACAAGGGGAGAGGAAGCGAAGGAATGAGAAAGCAGGAAAAGGAGTCAGCCGTGTGGATGTGGCCGGGGATGAACTGGAGGAGGAAGGGGAGCGTGCCTGTTTGCACTTGAGCTTGGAAAGTAATTAATATTCTTGTAGTGCTGGGCACAGAGGGGGCAGGCCCGCCCTCCTCATTTGCATATAAATTAAACGACAGACAAAGACACTGGCAGCCAGAAAAGCAATCACAGCCCCAGCTCCCTCCAGCCCAGGGGTACCACTACCACCCTCCAGGCCTTCTGCCCCAGACAAGCCCAGAAGTGCCCAGATGGAACTTCTCCCTGCGCCAAATCACGGGAGCGCAATCCCACCCCGAGAAAGTCCTTGGACTGACATGAAATCTGTCTCAAAGCTCCTCCGGAACCTAGATTCCTTCTCCATGCTGGGATGAGAACCCAGGAGATGCCCACCTTTCCAACCAGCTCTTCAGTGACGCTCCAAACCCGGGGGATGTATCCCCCTCTCTTCTAAACCAGTCGGGTATCACACCTTCCTTTCCCCGCTGCTGCCATAAAAACCATATTGTGAGTGTGTGGGGAGCCAGGCATCTCTTGAACATTCATAATTACTCGTCTTTGTATCATAGGGATGGCCAACTTTAACTGAACCCTGGTTGCCTTACCAATGTTCGTCCAACCTACATTAGGGTCAACATATTTCAAAAAGTAAAAACCAGGACACCCTGAAATTGAGTTGTTTAGTTTTTTTAACGAAACCCCAAAAATTGTTGAGCGCCACCTTTCGGAAATCCGCCCCCAACCCCCCGGACATCAATTCTGCCTTTGAAATCCCAGTAATGTCCAGGTAAATCCAGATGTATGGCAGCCCTAACCAACAGCAAAGAGAAACGTCTTTTTAAGTTGTAAGAAATAAAGAGATTTCCCGCAACATAATGTCATTTGTCTCTGGTTGTTTTGTTTGCTTGCTTGTATTTAGCATGTAATTTTTCCCTGCAGGTGTGATATATGCAAAATCCTTATTGATAGATGGTACCAGTTCTTTTACGGAGCCCAGTCATTTGTAAGCTGGTCAGTTTGTGCCACGATGATACACTTCCAGCCTCCGGTCAGTTCTCCTAGGTGCTGGGTGGTTTGGTGAGGTTGTAGAATTGGGCATTCCCACTATACAATTCACTATACAATCTTAAACGTACAAAGTGTTCGACATGAGAGGAGCTTTGTAGGATCAGACTAAAGGCCCATCGAGTCCAGGATTCTGTTCCGGCCAGTGGCAGACCAGACACATCTGGGAAGCCATCAAGCAGGGCTTTGAATGCCATGTTCCTCCCCTCTTGATGCTCCTCAGCACCTGATAATCAGGAGCATATCCTGCCTTTGCATGAATGTTCTCTGTACAGGCGCCGCTCCCCATAATTGTGAACTCAGCTGGTGAGTAACTGAAGTCAGAAGAGGGTAGCTGAGGTCCCTCTCGGCACTATACCTTTAAAGCAGTATCACTCCAAGCAGTCGTAGCTCTTCCCAGAGAATTCTGGGAAGTGTAGTTTGCTAAGGGTGCTAAGAGTTGTTAGGAGACCCATCTATTGCCCTCACGGAACTACATTTATCAGAGCAGCGTAACAATCCTTGCACGGAACCCTGGGAACTGTAGCTCTGTGAGGGGAATAGGGATCTCCTAACTTCTCTCAGCACCCTTAAACTACATTTCCCAGGATTCTTTGGCTGTTTAAAGTGGCATAACACGGCTTTAAATGCATAGTGCAGATAGGGCCTGAGAAACAAGAGTACAGTGGTACCTCGGGTTAAGAACCTAATTTGTTCTGGAGGTCCGTTCTTAACCTGAAACTATTCTTAACCTGAGGTACCATTTTAGCTAATGGGGCCTCCCACTGCCACCACACCGCCGCGGCGCGATTTCTGTTCTCATCCTGAAGCAAAGTTCTTAACCCGAGGTACTATTTCTGGGTTAGCGGAGTCTGTAACCTGAAGCATCTGTAATCTGAGGTACCACTGTATTGGCCTGAAAACCAGGGGGAAAGGTGGGATAGCCTTCTTGTGCACTTTAGTATTCTGGGAGAAAATGTGGCTGAACAGGAAGACTTATAGGAAGGTCCATCTACCTCAGTATTGCCTACACTGACTGGCAGCAGCTC